CGTCGTCGCTACTACCATCACTGAGCCTTGTGTCACCGATGGTTCTACTATCGAGGGATCCTCCACCGTCAAGACCATTGAGACTGAGATTGTCGTTCCCGAGGTTGGCTTCACTGACGGCCCTGGTGGCAACGGTCCTATCCCTGCCCAGACTGTCCCCGCTGATGTCCCCGCTGCCGGTACTGAGGCTCCTGCCGCCCCCGGTTACGAGGCTCCCGGCGCTGGTGAGACTCTTATCACCAACAAGCCCGTTGTCGGTACTGGTGGTCTTCCCGCCCCTACCGCTACCCCTGGCGTTCCCGTGACTGCTGGTGCCGCTCGCAACGGCATGGGCATCGCCGCCGCCATCCTGGCTGTTGCCATTGCCCTGTAAGGGTCATGCGTTCTGCACAATTCTGTTTTTCCTTGTTTATAGATTAGGTCTTAGTACCTGAGGCGGGACCTGTATGTCAATGTATGTTACCGCAATCGAGACCTTTCTAGCTTCCAGGGAAGTTAGAAAGTGTATCCAAACATGTATCATTCTCACGATCCTTACGAAATATGCTTTGGTGGACTTGGTGCTTGCCGGACCATCTTGTGACATTAAGTCTAGAGGTCGAAGAAAACATTAAAAAAGAAAAAGAGCAAGGGAAGTTACCAGTCGAGCCGAGATGCATACGCAGCACATACCCGCTGGCTGGTTGTAATGTTAATATTGACTTATTTATTTTAAATCGATTCCTTCTGCTCCATCCATGACTGGTGATGTGTGAAATGTGATTATAAAATGACTTCAACGTTGCCTTGCAGTGTTGAGTTTTCTACATGTGAACGTATCCAAACTGATAGATATTGTAGACAGCTACCTGACTGCTCCTGGCAGACGAGGAGCACGGAACATAAGCCCGATCAACAGTTCTTCTTCATTCATTACTCGTTCATAAACTATACCAAAATTCTGCGTGTTGGTGTTGAACGTATCGTAGTTACACTCTACGTCAAGTGTATTTGACCCTTCGAATCATCACAAGACTTTAGTTTTTACTAGCATTGACACACTATGTAAAATTATTACATTGGCCAACATGTTCACATCTGTATTTTACTTCGAATGTGTAACCGTATCTCAAATTACAGGGTATAAGACAGTACACGCTATCTGACATTTATCCCAAACACCTCGAAACGTTCAAACAAGCATCTACAGCTTGGCACCCTTCTCCTTCCTAGCCTGCTTCTCACGGTCTCGTAGCAAGCGCCTCAGGATCTTGCCACTGGGGCTCTTGGGAATCACGTCGATGAATTCAATACCGCCCTTCAACCACTTGTGTCGGGCCTTGTGCTCTTCGACATGCTTGTTGATGCTCTGAGTTACCTCATCGTCCGACTTGCCCTTGGCTTGGGGTGCCTTGACGACAAAAGCCTTGGGGACTTCGCCAGCGCGGAGATCGGGGACTTGAATAACGGCGCAGTCGTCCACGAGAGGGTGGGTGAGCAAATGGGCTTCGAGCTCGGCAGGCGCGACTTGGTGACCCTATTTCAGTGTGTCAATAACATAGTTCAAGACATGGAAAAGTGGAATGCTTACCTTGACTTTGATGAGCTCCTTGATACGATCAACAACAACAAAATGCTCTGTGCCCTTTGGCGATTTTCGTACAATAACCTCATCGCCGGTTCTCATCCAGCGACCGTCGTCGTGGTGCACGAATGTCTCTGCCGTAGCCTTTACATTGTTGAGATAACCAAGGACGATGGTGGGACCTTGGACATAAAGTTCTCCGGGCTTGTTGTATTCCGTAACCTCTTTGCCCTCTGCATCAATGATCTTTGCTTTCAGACCTGGCAGGAGAGTTCCAGAAGAGCCGGGATCAATGTCGAGTTCGCTTGTTGAAGTCACGACAGGAGAAGTTTCAGTGAGGCCTAAATAGTCAGTTACAAGTTAGGGGTTAAGGAAGCGGTTTCATACCGTAGCCTTGGCAGATGTTCCAGCTGGGCCAGTGTTTGTTCAAATCGAGCGTCGTTTCCTTTCCAAGAGGTGCAGCACCGCTGAAGATGAAACGTACGGAGCTGAGGTCGTACTTTTGACACTCGGCGTAATTGCTCATCATTTGGATAAAGATAGGGGGAACAAGAGCCATTTGCTGAATCTTGAAGCGTTGGATAGCAGAAAGAAGTAGTTTGAGATCAAACTTAGGAAGGATTATTGTCTCATCACCATTGTAGATACCTTGACTTTATGTCAGTGATTGGAAAACAGATGTAAGAACTGTTACTTACCGTAGTGTGCGACCGGGACTAAGCCGTAGATGTGGCTCAATGGCAAAAGACCAAGCTGGATCTGGGCGTCTACACCGGCGGCTTTGCGGCCTTCTTCATTCTGGACTGTCGCTTGGAGGACATTCGCAATGACATTGCGATGGGTAATTTGAACGGCTTTCTACAATCGCATGAGTGACTTGTCCAGGGTTCAAACGTGAAGCTGAGACTTACAGGCAGACCAGATGTTCCACTAGAGTAACACAAATACGCCACTTGCCTCTCACCTTGACCCTTGATCCAATCCAAGGGCTTCAGCTCAGGCGCGTCTTTACCCTCTGCGACCAAATCGTCGATTGTCTTAAAAGGTTTCTTACTCTCAGCCCCAGGAACGGGTAGGAGAAAGATGCGATCTTCAGGAATACCGGCGGCTTTTGCTGCTTGAAGAGCGACTTCGAGAAGGGGAACGCATGTAAACAGCGCGTTGGCGCCAGAAGATCGAAGTTGATGCTCAAGTTCAGGCGCGGAATAAGCGGCGCTGGCAGGTGTGACAATACCATTGAGACGATGGACAGCATGGGTCATGGTAATGTAGTCAATCTTTGCAATGTCAGTTTGTAAGCTGATACAATAAGCGAAGTTACACAAACCGTGTTGACAGAGTACAGCGCTATGACTCTGTCCCACTCAGTGCCCTCACGGATATCATATCCTAGACGTTTGGCGAGAGCGCGCGCGAGAAGCTTCTGACGCTCAATGACCTCTGCGGTGGTGTATGTTTTGCCAGAGATACCGCATGTAAAGGGGTTCCTGGATCTGGAGTGAGGTTTGCGGACACCATCTTCTCTGAAAACAAACTCCGGGACGGTGACAGAGTCCGGGGGATCTGAGAAGTGTGAGTAAACAGGGTGGGATTTGAGTCAGGGGGCGTTACCAAATGGGAGCTTAACAGAAGAGGGCGGGTAGAAGACCATTGTGAATAAGTGAGACTAGGAGTTGAAGAGTATGAGAGTAAAAGATATGAGCTGGAAAGAGGAAAATGTGACGGCAAGAGCTGAAATATGTACGGGAGTACGTTACAACAGTAGACTAGATTACTCCGTTGGACTGAATCATGCTGTACCTCGGAGTGTCACTTTAAATCTGGGGAAGGTCTAATTTAGCGTGATTCCATTTTCTCCACACTGATATCAGGGTAGAAGAATCTTGGCTGTGATGCTAAAAGCCATGGTTCAGTCGCCAATCACGATAGTGGCATTTTGGAGGCTTGTTTCGTCTCAGCTAATGAGGAATGAGCTAAGCAATCACAGGACTACTTGAGGCTCTTATAGAGTGGTAAGTTAGTTTATGAGTTACCATCCCCATCAAGAGCTAGGTTCGCTTCTGCGGTGTGGCTAGAGAATGGGGAAGTGGACCAACGGCAGGTAACTAATGAAGCTTGGTCATATCAATTAATGCCGATACCTCGGTCCAAGGTTAGGACTGTACCCAATATTTCCGCTCATTCCGCACGTCGATCGAAAACGGTCTTTGATGAGATAACAAGAGATAAGAGCGGTTCATTGAGATGAAACAGACTCACCTAGTAACCTTCTTCATAGCCAGGGTAACAGCAAAGTAAGTGGCCGCTCATAAGGGATTTATTCCTGTGTATTCGCATGGTACCTACTGCTACCTACATCAAGACTGTGCCTCGTGTCAAATTAACCAACCACCTTCGTGTCTTCTTTAGACATCGCGTCCATTTTATCTAGGAGTCTGATCAATAGACGTTTTATATACACAATGTTTCATTAATCATCATAGTTCAATTAAACTCGCATATAAGCTTACATTGCGCGTTTGTCGCCCGGTACTATCTGCCAGTCACAGAAGGCTTGATCGCCTGAGGGATCGAAAGGTGAGATTTAAGCGTGCTTCTAATGTTTATCAGATCTTTGGTCGTCTTCTAAACCACGTTATGCTTGATACGATATCACTCCTTCATTTATACGAGTAGTTTAGCGACCCACGACAATGTAAACATAACGCCTTGCTTATATTTCCCCTTCACCGCTTCTACCAATGAGAATGATTGTGGATTTGCCGAGGCCAACTATAGGCTTTGTGGTTTGTGGTTAAAGTGCCGTCAGCTTCCAAACTAGCCAAGTTGACATCTCCTAATACGCCGCACCCTTATTAATACATAAAATTGGGACAAATCGCTGAGTCCAGAATTGCAAAGAACAACGTTGATCAAGTGAGTCCATCCGCATCATCTGAGATCACTCAACGTGCACAACAGTTGAGGCCTCACTATACAAGCCACAAGATGTGTTGGTCCAATGATCAAATCTCAAACAGGTTATTTAGAGACAATTCTCCGAAAATGTCTCGATCAATGCGCTTCCACGCTGCCGCTCATATGTTGTGCACGAGTGACGACGGACAGAAAACGTCATACCTGAGTGGTCTAAGCCACAGGGTGTGTAGCGATTGCATGTCATGTATGAGGGACACATACATTTCGGAACAAAGGTGAATATGCACACCCAATCGATAGCATACGATGCTTATGCATGAAAGTACCATGTTGTCTAATATGAACAACTGGAACGATGCAGATCTCACAGCATTCATAACCACAGACCCAACGGCCAAAGTACAGAGATCAAACGCCGCCAATGCATAGGGTCGTAAAGACACTAAATTCGGTCTATCAATTCAAATCATAATATGTCAAAATGTCGTCAAAGTATGTACAATCATATCCTCATATTCTAAACCAAGTTCAGGCCAAGAGCAAAACCGCCAACCACAGCAAACACCCAGCCCAGGGGCGTGGGCTGCCATGCGGCGTTATCATCATCGCCGTCGCCGTCGCCACCTGCGCCAGAGGTGACGGTGACGGTTGGGCGTTCGCTAAAGGTCTGCGTTGTCGCGACGCCTGTTACGCACTCGCGCTCAAAGTCGGGACACGAAGTGATGGTGTAAGTGGTTGTGTACGCCCCGGTAGGGAATGAGTTCCCTGTGCGAGTAGCACCGCCCTGTAAAGTTTGTCAGTACTATCGAATCGTAGTGTCGCATCCTGTGACTTACACGTCCGGTGGCTGTGATATCAGAGCTCTTACACTTGCCCGTCTCACTAGGCACAGCATCAGAGCCGGAACCAACAGCAACAATATCCTCATCGCCGCAATCTGCAGCCTGAGCAAGATGGATCTTCTCATTATCCCAGTCAAAAACAAAGTATCCAGCGCGTAGAACAGAGTCTCCCAGGATTTGCTGGTCGGTGGTAGGGACGAGACCAATGTAGCATGATCCAGGACCTAGCTCAAGGATAAAGTCACCAAGAGCGACCTTGATAACCTTGTTGCCGAAGCCAAAATCAACTGTAGCATCGAGGTCCCTATTTCGGCAGTCGGTCGTGTAGAAGCCCTCGCCATCGTTTTGAGCACCGAGTTCCTCCAGAATAGGCCGCGCGACAGACATGTGCATACGGGAAAGTGTTGTTCCGGAGTCGAGCATGACATTAGAGTCAGATCTCGAAACAGGGATGTTGGAAGTTCTGCCGTTGATTGTCACCCCGAGACTGTCCAATCTAGTAGCAAGACGGTATTCGCCGCCTTCACCTCTGATAATATCGACAGTTTCCAGCTCGCCAATGTACTTGCTGCGGTCAATGCCGCCGTATATAAGAGCTCCCTCGGTATCGTCGGAATGTCGCAGATCAAGGGCAAAGACGCGGCTGTTGATCAGGCCCTGGTCAGCCATTGAGGTGAGCAACAAACTATAAGGCTCATTGCTATCATAGCCACCTCTCAAGTCTGGCGCCAGCCCTAATATGCCCTGGCTAATGCCATTACTCTCTACCAAGACACCAAAGGTTTGGTTGGTTAGTTCTTCGTCTCCAAAGGTGAATTGATCTGTAAAATAGACTATCGAAGCTGACGTATGCGTGGACGAGTCAGAAGCATCGCCATAGTTGAGCGTCTCGCCGCCGAAGGGGCCGATGGGTGGCGTATCTGACTTGTCGGGATTATATTGACCAAAGGCAAGACATTGACGATACTGAAGACTTGATTGCGCTTCTTGACAATCCGGATTAACCCATAGTTCGTTCGATCCGGTATCGAGTAGGACGGTTACTTTCTGGGGAGGAGTTCCGATCTCGACTATATCATCTTGTTAGAGGGATAAAGACGGCGAATGGAACGTTGACAACGCACTGTCTGTGGTATAAAAGAAATCCTTATTCTCTAGTCGCACTGCAATAGCCTCATCTGAATCTTGTCGCTTGTCGTGTTGCTTGTTCTTTGATCTTTCGGTAGTGCCGACATGCATGGATAGATAACCTCTGCCGGTCTTGGATCTGGGAAAACTGACAGCGTTGACGCTGCTTCCGAGGACAGCGACTGCCACACTTATCGTGGTCCACCTCATAATGGCTGCAAATAAAGATGCAAATAAATGATGGTCATCAAGTAAATGTGTAAATACAAAAGGAAATGCGCAGAAGGAGCGCAGCGCCCATCTTTAAACAAGCACGACGTAGATTGAATGGCTGTTGATCGTTGGTGGCGCTTCTCCCGCCCCCCAGCTGGGCTGAATTAGTCCTGGTCGGTCTGCCAAGGCATAGCCCAGGATCTGGTCGTTTGTGCTACATAATATGATCGAATACGGTACGGCTGAAAGTCTAGGTGATTGACGTAGTCTATGGATTCTGGACCTGCATACCGTGGCGTCAGGGGACTTTGCTCTCTTTACTGTGTCTGAGTTGATCGTAAGACGGTCATGACGAGACAAACATACAATGTCGGTGATTAACATTCATAACAATGCCTTTCAGTACTTGGTCCTAAAGCGTCATTTCAAGGCATCACCCTTGTCTCACTACAGGTGCAACCCGTTCAGCTTGGATTATTCATCCCAACCTACTACTCCGCCCCTCTCTAGGTCCCCAGTAAACAACCTAACCAGTCCAAGTAAACCACCCTTCTAGGTCACAAGAGACATGGGTGACCAGTTCAAGTTGTCTTGGCCATGATTCAGCTTTAAAGTCCCCATTCAAAGGGCATTTCAACACTAGAGGGGGCTTGCGCGGCCTTTTCTTACATGGGATGATGTCTTTGATATCTCGATTGGGATTAGACACATGCTACCCGTGGCAATTCCGTCCCTTGGCGGCGTACGACGGTGAAGGCGTTGTTTTTGAAATGAAGAGGCTTGAGGGAATACGACATGTTTGGCTGACAACGAGTCATACAGCAGTGAAACGTTGAATGAAATAAAGTGTGAAATCATTGGATGTTGGTGCAATGGAACATTCATTTATCAATTTAAGGATGGAATAGACTCAAAAGGTTCTTTCCACTGTCACCAGGTAGCGTTACTTTGTCTGGTGGTTGCAACGACACAGTAACTTTATCTTGATCACCAGCCATGAGATAATCTCTGCTCACTTTAACTTTGTCTCTCATGGTCATCCCAGCATGCCATCTCTCAGATTCCCCCCAATTGGCCATCCTTTCGATAAAAATAAGTGCGGCTGTTTGAGTTTGATTAACTGCAACACTTGGACTTAGCTGGAAACGAGACGGGTATAGGGTATAACAAGGTTCTAATAAACAATATTTAAATTGACAGCAGCAAACAAAAATAACATCAAAAACATCACTATCTTCGTGCTACTTATCAAAATTGATTGTTGAATAGTTCACGACGCGCGCTCAGTTCTGTCTAAGGCGTTGAAGTCCATGTTCATGGTCAGTTCATAAAATTACGACATCTGACTGCCGGATATGAGACAAAAGAAACCGTTCTAGAACTGTTCCGTATGTTACGATTATCAAGATTTATTCTATTGTACATGCCATTTTATTCTACAAGCCAATCCAGCCCATTTATACTCCATTTTATACTTTGATCTCAAGCCTTGCCTGTTCCAGAAATCAACAGGACAACACTGCCCAGCTGTCTTCTCACATCCTCCTTGTTAACGTCATGAGTATCCTCAACCTCTCCCCACTGCATGGTCTGCCAATTAACCTCAAGACTGGTAGCAACGGCGGCCTCCTCAATGCCAAACTTATTACCAGTGTTCAGACTGCCCTTGCCCACTGAACCTTCGCTCCACTCTGCGACGAACCTCGCAGCAGCGAGCAGACTCTTGCCAGCCAATGCAGCCCGCTCAAGTCCCGCAATCTCGAAAGCATCGAGGCCGACAATCCAACCTTGGATGATTTCACGGACTCCGGGGGCTTGTGACTGAGGTAAGAGGGAGTGTCCGTCCAGAACGGGTTTGATGGTGATGCCTGGCCAGACATGAGTTGTGAGGAAAGACACAATATCATCAGCGGTACGCTTTTGTACGTCTCGTAGTGATTCTCCAGCTTCGTTTTTAAGGTCATACTCTCCGGCAGGAGGATTCCAGCAGAGGATCGAGTCGGTGTCGAGGTATCGTAGCAATACAGTGGCAATTGAACTTCGGATCTCTGAAATATCAGAACCGGGGGCGTTGTCAGCCTCGGCAATGTCGAGAGCTCGGCAGGTAAGGCTTGTAAGTGGGATCAAGTGATGTCTGGTAGCATCTTGAGCCGAAGTCAAAAGGTCCCATTCGAGAGCGAGGGCGGATGCAAGGTCGGGCTTCGTGATGGGGATTCGAACAATCGCTTTCGTAGAGGGGTGTCTCAATGGTCGAGTATCAAGAAAGACTTGAAGAGCGCCTGATCTCATGGTTAGTATATTCGATAGTGGCGGGGTTCAATGGCAATTACTTACCATCCACTTCCTGAACAGTAACATCTTTCCAGAACCGCTTCTTCAAAGCACCACCGGCCTTTCCGCCACTAGCAGTTCGAAGCTCCTTGGCATTCTTGAGCATCTCGGCCTGCCTTCTTCTCCTGGCGACTCGCTGGTGAACATCTTGGGCTTGAACTGGAGACTCTGGAGGAGGGCCCGTGCCGACAACCGGAGCGACATTGGCGGCTTTGACAACAGTCGAGTGAATCGAACGTACAAACGCTGGGCGCTGAACGAGTCGAGGTGCAATGCGCAGCGGTAATCGAGTTAAAGAACTCATCTCGGGCGACGAATTGGGTTGTGGAACGGAGTTGAGGGAGTCAAGCTGGAAGGGTTCAAAGATCAAAGATGCGAGCCGGAAAATTGGGTCCGGCTGGTGAAGTTCGGAGTGGGTGGGTTCTGTTCTTCAGGGTCGACATGATGTCACTTTGGTCTTTATATAAGAAGAAAGGCAGTGATCATCATTAGTTTTAGTATTTTAGATGATATATTGATCCAGACAGAGTGTGTATAAGTATGGAGGCATTGGATTCTACCGCTGAGTTAGTAAAGCGATGCATTGCTTTGACAGCTTGTTCCTGTCAAGGTACCTGGATTAAAGAATCCTTGGGGAAGTGGATCAGTACATGAAACGGTTCAACATTAACATTAAGTCTGTAAAAGAATTAAAAAAAAACTCCAAAGCAATTGTTACATATCCTGTATTATATTATTTACCATGGTATATAAGAGCTCTTAGGCCGGGGAGACTATTTGGGTTTTTCTATCGGTGAACAAACAAGCTTCAGAAGTACAACGATGCGGGTACTTGAAGCTACGATGCTCCATTCTCCAGCAGATCAGCATATAGCTAGTATTTCGCATAAGGCAAGTATAATGATACAAACTAGCATCGATATAAATATGCGAACCAAAAGAACAAGTATCAAGTTTGATCTTGTCTTTGGATAAAATCCTTTCAATTCCCGTCATTCTATAACAGATGCAGCTGAATACGACAAGTTGACACGAATCACTCCGATAAGGGGTTGATAACGTCACGTGATGAGGCACCACTCATCCCTGAAGCGTAACTGCGACGTGGTGATTCTACCTTAGGAGCGTTTCGACCGCAACCTCAAGTCTCCCTCGACCAAACCTTTAACCAACAACCCAATTGCCCAACATGAGTTACGGCAAGAAGGATGAAGACGCTGACCTCGGGTTGGTCAAGGTGGACAGAACCCAAGTTTTCCAAGAAGGTCCGTCTCTTACAATTGCCTTGCACTTCCCCCCCCCACAGTCAAGCTAAATAGTTGAACAGCACGACTCTTCAACAGCTCCCCTATCCAGCCTCGACGATGTCGCATTCTCCTCACAAAGATCGCTCTCCTTCTCTACACCGGAGAGAAGTTCCCTACGAATGAAGCTACAACCCTCTTCTTTGGCATCTCCAAGCTCTTCCAGAACAAGGATGCCAGTCTCCGACAGATGGTCCACCTTGTTATCAAGGAGCTTGCCAACTCGGCCGAGGATATTATTATGGTTACTAGCACGATTATGAAGGATACTGGAGGCAGCACCGATACAATCTACCGACCCAATGCTATCCGTGCGCTCTGTCGCATTATCGATGTAGGTGGCTTTGCTTGGAGGTACACCGACACCCCTGGATGCTGACAATGTTGAAAAGGCCACGACCGTCCAATCGATCGAACGAGTTATGAAGACTGCAATTGTCGACAAGAACCCCTCCGTATCTTCAGCCGCCCTGGTTTCATCCTACCATCTCCTCCCGATCGCAAAGGATGTCGTACGACGATGGCAAAGCGAGACACAGGAGGCTGCTGCGTCTAACAAGTCCTCTGGTGGCTTCTCCCTCGGTTTCTCCACATCCAGCAGCCAGGTCCCCATGAACCACTCGACCATGTCGCAATACCACGCTGTTGGTCTTTTGTACCAAATGCGCATGCACGACCGAATGGCCCTGGTCAAGATGGTCCAGCAATTCGGAGCTCCTGGTGCTCTTAAGAGCCCTGCTGCTATCGTTATGCTGGTTCGACTTGCCGCACAGCTCGCCGAGGAGGACGCTTCATTGAGGAAGCCCATGATGCAGCTTCTTGATGGCTGGCTGCGACACAAGAGCGAAATGGTCAACTTTGAAGCTGCCAAGGCCATCTGCGATATGCGAGACGTTACTGACGCTGAGGTGTCGCAAGCTGTCCATGTCCTTCAACTCTTCCTGACCTCTCCCCGCGCCGTCACCAAGTTTGCCGCTCTCCGAATCCTTCACAACTTCGCCAGCTTCAAGCCCAACGCTGTCAACCCCTGCAACCCCGATATCGAACTCCTCATCTCCAACAGCAACCGATCTATCGCTACTTTCGCTATCACCACGCTACTCAAGACCGGTAACGAGGCCAGTGTCGACCGTCTAATGAAGCAGATCTCAACCTTCATGTCCGAAATCACCGACGAGTTCAAGATTACAATCGTTGAAGCTATCCGAACACTTTGTCTCAAGTTCCCCAGCAAGCAGGCTGGTATGCTTACCTTCCTCAGTGGTATCCTGCGTGACGAGGGTGGTTACGAGTTTAAGAGGGCTGTTGTGGAGAGCATGTTTGATTTGATCAAGTTCGTTCCCGACTCTAAGGAGGATGCGCTTGCTCACCTTTGCGAATTTATCGAGGATTGCGAGTTCACCAAACTGGCTGTCCGAATCCTCCACCTTATTGGTTTGGAGGGTCCCAAGACTGCTCAGCCCACCAAGTACATCCGATACATTTATAACCGAGTGGTTCTCGAGAACGCCATTGTCCGAGCTGCTGCCGTCACCGCGCTTGCCAAGTTTGGCGTTGGCCAGAAAGACCCTGATGTCAAGAGCAGTGTTCGAGTTCTCCTTACCCGATGCTTGGATGATGTTGATGATGAGGTTCGTGACCGTGCTGCTCTCAACCTTAAGCTCATGAATGAGGAGGATGACGAGATGGCCGTTCGATTCGTCAAGAATGGTAAGAAACAATAACCCCTACAGACAAACTATTACTAATGCAGCTATAGAGAACATGTTCTCTCTTCCCTACTTCGAGCAGCAGCTCGTTATGTACGTCACCTCGGACGATGCGTCTGCTTTCGACAGCCCCTTCGACATCTCCAAGATTCCCGTGGTTACCCGGGAGCAGGCTGATGCCGAGGATCGATCTAAGAAGCTGATTGCCACTACTCCTACCCTCAAGGCCCCCAAGGTTGGCCCTACCAAGGCCACAGGTGCCGAGGCCGTTGCGACTGCCTCTGCTCAGGCTCAAAAGTACGCTCAGGAGCTTATGGAGATTCCCGAGATGCAGGAGTTTGGCAGTGTGCTCAAGTCTTCGCCTCTTATCGAGCTTACCGAGGCCGAGACCGAGTACGTTGTTTCTCTGGTCAAGCATATCTTCAAGGAGCATGTTGTTCTCCAATACGAGGTCAAGAACACCTTGCCCGATACCGTCCTCGAGAACGTCTCAATCGTCGCCACCCCTGCTGATGACGAGGAACTCGAGGAGGTCTTCATCATCCAGGCTGAGAAGCTCTCAACTGATGAGCCTGGCAAGGTCTACGTGGCCTTTAAGAAGATTGGCGGCGAGGCTTCTCTACCCATCTCCACCTTCAGCAACGTTCTCAAGTTCACCAGCAAGGAGATTGATCCCTCAACGGGCGAACCTGAAGACACTGGCTACGATGATGAGTATGAGGTGGCCGAGTTTGACCTTTCCGGCAGCGACTACGTGATCCCCACATTTGCTGGTAACTTTAGCCATATCTGGGAGCAGATTGGCGCTTCTGGCGAGGAGGTGACAGAAACCCTCCAATTGAGTGGTATGGAGAGCATCGCAGGTACGTTGATCATTGAAACTATGAAAAACCCAACACTAACAAACTCGCAGATGCCACGGAGCAACTTACAAAGGCTTTGTCTCTGCAGCCACTGGAGGGTACCGATGTACCCGTCAACCAGACCACTCACACACTCAAGCTTCTGGGCAAGACAGTTGGCGGAGGCCGCGTGATTGCCAACGTGAGAATGGCGTACTCATCAAAAACAGGTGTCACGACAAAGATCACGGTGCGAAGCGAGGAGGAGAATGTGGCTGGCCTAGTTATCGCGTCAGTCGCTTAAAGATGAGAAGCAAAGCCGGCGTTGAAAGGATAATGATGTATCGAAAGCTTTGTCTCGGGTTTTAGAACATACCGTATGAGTGTGGCGAGTAATGTGATTATTTACGATTCATTTCCCTTGCCACAAAACAGGTGTGGCGGTTGGTCCAAGGCTCGCAAAAAGTGAAGAGAGGGGATGTATATTCTTTGGTTGGGTAGACGGAAGCGATGAAGGTATAAGAGCATGTTTTTATCGAAGCACGGTTATTATGACCATGAGATTTGTTGCAAAAAGATGGAATTTTGTCAAATTTGCGTGAGAGTGATGTGATATAAGGTGTATAAGTGAAGCTAGGCCTTTGAGTAACAGCAATCAGACATCGTTGCTTCAAGGAATAAGAGAGGAGTCTTATGTATCTCGATGAACGTCATGTTTGTAAGTGTTTGCTTGAAGCTTGATCTTGTTTGTAATGTTGGGGTAGTGTTTACTGGGAAAGTGACCGGGCCAAGACGCACGATGCAAGCTACAAAGAGAGCACCGCGCCTTCAACTCAAATGGATGTCTGTGCTCTGTTCTGGCATTCGGTGGGTTTGTTACTCAATCACTTATGCTGTATGCTGTTGGTTCCTCTCAATCATTCCTGCGGCTTAAGAACTTCATATCACAGGGAAGTAAGAACATGCATTGAAAGTATGCTGGGTAGCGAGCTTGATGACTTCGAAGATATGCACGTTTTTGCGATAACAGCTCAGATTGCTCGAGAAAATGCATGTGACAGGGCAGTAGTGTGTATCATGAGGCAGTAAACAGTTTGAAGTTGGAAGCACAAACAACGGGATGATGTGTCCCTTTAACTTTGTAAACATGATTACATGTACCCATTTATTTCTTGAATACCATTGTCAAATTGAGATCAATGGCAAATAACCTCCAATGTATAGCCTCTACACGTTAACTCACCTGCATCGACATGGCCAATGGCTTCACCAGCCTCCTGTCGTGGACCATGCTCGGTCGTCTTGTTACATTAACAAGAATTCGGATCAGAGCAACCCATGGAACTCTCACACGCTCGCCTTGCTCGAGTGTCTCTCGGGACAAACCTGAGGGAACGACACTGCCCGCCATCTCACCTACCTGGCTAAGGTTCTACGACAATGTTAGTATTTACACAATAGGCCAGTAAAGAGAAAACGGCGACGAAGAACAATTACAGAAACTGATCTAAGGCTACAGTCGTGTTTGTTATAAGAGAATAGAACCATGGACTGTATTCAGTTCCAGCTAAGAAGAATAGACGTCGACGTCGCTTGAGCTTGCTGCACCTTTCAGGGCTGGTCTAAGGAGAAGACTTAGAAGACCGTTCGTACTAGTAATGGCTGGGTACTTTGGTGTTGCCTTGATCCCTGTTCCGAACGCTATGTGTAAGTATATCCTACACAATCTTTGGTGCGAAAATTGGACTGCATTGAGAGAATTGTTCCCGAACACACTATACTCAAAGTCTAGAGCTTCGATTCATCGTGCTACTCACCACATCCATGCGGGGATGTATCGTTTCCAAATGCTTTTCGCCCAGGGTCTAGTACATCAATAGATCAAGGGTGGTTCCACGGTGGGAAATCGAGTACTGATGCGACCACTGCGAGGGCTCTTCTAGAAGGCGACTCAGCAGTCCTGGCTATCGGATCTGCCCAGCTATCTGTGCCCCAGGTTAGCTTAGCAAGTCCGACTGAAGGAGATTCCGGCTTCAAGTCCGACGTAGTAGCGATGATCTTAGCCGAGGCGGTTCTTGCTGCCATCGCTGCTCGGAAGACTGTCTCGGCTGAGTAGGTTTGACCTGGTCTGACACAAAGAGAAGACATGTTGACAACAAAATATGCATCGCTTTCCAAATCAGGGACCAATCAAGTAACAAGACCGAAAGACGAAAACATAATTGCCCCCAATAGTCATTGAAACCTCAGCGGACAGAGCATGTTGGTCTGCTACAGGATCCGGATGGGGAGAGAACGAGCATAGATGTAGTTCCTAAACCTGGTGGCGAAACGAACATGGGCTCAAACTTATCAGGGGGCAGAAGAAGTAGCTCTACCGCCTCCCTCTTCCCAAAACAAGGACCTCTGACCTCATCCATAGTCCTGTCGGTCCGGATTGACAGCTCCGGAAACGCATTACAGGCACTCATCTTCCAAAACCGTCGAAGACAGCAGACACTTGGCCTGACAACACTGAGTTAATATCCATGCGCAGATCGACAATCATACATCTGTCTCTCTTAGCGCCTAGAACTTAAATACCGAAACTTCCAAATCGTTGATCCAGGGTCCGCGTGACGCGGTGAACTGAGAGGTAGGATTCATAAGAACGCCCTGTCTAGGTACCACATATTAACACAACACTAATGATATGGCGACTCCCCCGCGAGAAGTTGAGGCATCTATTCGGAAGACTGTTAAGGAACGAGTCAACAAATTCGTGGTCGGATCTCAACAACCGAGCACCAATGTTAAATGCATAGTATGGAGCTTTGGGATTGTCGAAGCGGCAAGACGTTCGATAGATGCACCAGAGGTTGTCGGAAATGTTCTTGGCCTTTGAACTCAAGCTCTGCATCGAGACGAACTGTTTATATTGCTCTTGAAAAAACTTTCAGACTGGACTTGACACGCCCACGTGTTTCAGTACTGGTGAAATCCGCCGATACATAAGTAAATACAACCCCCAACACCACATCACTCCCATTATAAAGCTTTGTTTCAGGTGATATATAGTTATAGATCTCCTGACGTACCCTCGTTAACATTGATGCTGATACTGCGTAGAGCCGAAAGACCATTACCTCTACGACCCATACTGCTTCCATCTCTGAGGTCCAGGAGAGGAGATGAAAGATCTCTAGACGGAAGACCAAGTCAATGCACAGGGTGAAGTTGGCGGTACTCATCAGTCTTCCTGTTCGGAAACTTGCTGTAGTCGAAAAGTTTATTTGAGAATACAACACCCAAAAATTCGCTGGCGCTTTGCGGGGAGGATCTCATCTGTGGTGTTGTCAGCTGGTGGCTTACTAATGGAGACAGGGGGGACTGACGACTGGGCATTGATAATGTCCGCATTGAGGAGACAGCGAAGTTCGAGGCTTTCCGATGAGGTACATTTCGGTACAATTATGGCTGTGCTTGGAGGTAGATAGAGCTATCGAGAAAGAGTTAGCATGATAACTGCTACATTGTACATAGAAAGACAACACCTGCCACTCTACCACGATATGACACTCGACGTAGTGAAGTCACTCTCGGACCATTGTCAACATAGCCAGACTTACATGAGAGAAGGAAGAACCAGAAGAACTCTCGGTGTAGACATGTGGAACAAAGAGACAGTGTTCTAAGAGCTACTCGTCTTTGAGTAACCAAACTGGCATGAAGAAGCATGAAATGGTCGGGTTCAGATATCCAAAATGATTCCCTAGAGGCTAACTCAAGCTCTCTGTATCTCGAACCGCCAGCCTCGAGACCTCCTGCAATGGAATTACTCATTGTCGGGATCGTCAATATCAACACTACTTCGAAGGGGCTAGAAAGCTTGTAGTGGTTCAATAGGTGGCCCTGCAGTTGAACTGATCCTGAGTGTTGTCGAGTCCGACGATGGGACGTGACTTCCTGCAAATCTCACCAAGACTCCGTCTTGGACCGATCAAAGCAAACTGGTTGTCTTGAGCTGTGCAAATTCATTTCTGCCCTGATGGCTCTGTGCCTGTACTTCAGTATGCTCCTGAAGTCCCCCAGATGAACCCAGGAAGCAGGCGCATAGCTTTGAATTTGGGAGTGGATAAAAGCTGAAGCGAAGATAGTCAAGGATGTAAGGATACAGTGAAGAGGCGACGTGTGGAAAGGGATGTTGTAATCGCGGTTCTACTTGTATAGGTCGGACGATAGAAGGCCTAAAAATAGGTAATTAGCACAGAGACGAGACGGAACTACCTGGAGAAGGTCATGGATAGATGTAGTTTAATTATGAGAGGGATTGGATCATAAATACACACCGCATGCTTATGGTATATTGTTCAGCATAATGTTGATGCAGCAATGCCTGCGAGTGGCTTTAGGTACAGCACCAGATAGAATAGGGGAAATACTTTGGTGGGAAAATTATATCACGGTTACCCAAATCTCACTAGAATGGCAGTCTAAAGGAATGGATGAACAAAGAACAGCATACAAGTACCTGAATAGAAGGGTATGGGGCTTAAACTACGGGAGATGAATTGGCAGTGGCACTGATGTTGGAGCCTGCTAATGCACCCACCATTGCCGTCACTGTGGCCACCAACTACGGAAGAATGGCCATGGTACTTGTACAACAACGAATATGATGAAGAGAATGATGCAAAAAAAGAATTACTACAAAGAATAGGCAGCTCGGTGCATCGTGGGAAGAATAGTTGCTGAGTTGCAACTTGAAGATAGGATCTTGGCCAGGTATGGAATTCGTATAGAAGACGACTCGTTCATAAAATCAGATGCTGTTACACAATAAATGCAATGCAATGATATTGTAGGCTGCTAGATAGCTGAGTAATGAATGATTCGAGGGGGAAGGGCGTTTGGTCTGGTCTACGCAGCCCTAGAATCGGCCATCAAACCGCACTGCCAAAAGATCACAAATATTTCTCCCACGTTCTTTTCAGCTCCCCCCTCCCATAAAACATCAGCAGAATTTCATCCCAAAACATTCTTCAAATCGTTTACCATTCAGCTTTCCCTGATATATTCTTCCTTCTCACATTCATCTACCCCTTTATGTCACCGTCTTTCTATTGTAATCACTTTCCTCCACAAAAGTATCCCAGCACCATAATCATGCGTCGAGATTACGAAGAAAACCCTCGAGAGGGAACCCGTGACTTTCGTATGGATCTTCCGTCGAACAACCCAGAGAAACACTTTGACTACTACTTCGATGAAGAGTTGAACGACATTGTCCCGGATCGTGACGAGCCCTCCCCTCTCCCAGAGCCGTAAGTGTTTATTACCCAGGTGACCTGCGCCTCTGAGAAAAACACCACTGACTTACCTCGTTATCAGCGAAATGATCCAAGTCTATTTTGGCTTTGATGAACAACAACCGGAAGACGCAGTCCATCTTGAAGTCCTCGAGGAGCTCTTCCCTGATAATGCTGAAGACTTTGCTTCTAGAGAAGAGATTCGTTTCCCTCAAGTCCCTGATGAAGTCAAAAAACTCTTGATTGCATTCCTCTATACCGGAGGACTCAACCGTCCCGATATAGACGACAACAGCACCCATGAGAAGATTTGCAAAGAGTTTGAACTCATGTTTCATCTTAACGCTGCAGGCTGCTACACAGCCATCAGCAGGCTGACGACCGACTCTCATGCGTCTCTATGGGAAATCAATTTGTGGATGACCGAGGAAGAAATCAAGGACTTTGTCAACAACCACATTCATAAAGAATGGCCCAACCGTATCCCTGAGTGGTACAAAGCCTTCCTCGAACATTGTATCAACCAACACATTCACGCAATAGCAATGGAGTTGCGCAAGCCTATAACCGCTGACTCTAACTTGCAAGGCCAGCAGCCAATCACAACAACGAACGACAGTTGATGCTACTCCTGGCCGAAATGGCTGTTGTGGTACTTTGGTGTCATGAAGAGATTGATTTTGCACCATGTTTCTTGACGGCTGGTATATGAAGGCAAAGCCTCTCACTCGCTCTTCCTGCCCAACGACTTGTCCAGACATGTCGGTGAGCATTGCGCTGTAAGACTGAGATCGAGAAGGTAAGCCGCAACCCAGATATATAACAGGACAATGACTGACATTGGTAACCTATACAGACGACGCTGATAATTCAGCCGAACTGGTGTCCCTTTTTAGGGTTTGGATGGTGCCTGGTCTTAGACCAAAGAAGTGTAAGTTGCGACTTGAAGATGAGACATGTGCGTTGCTAACTGCCTCAGAGTGTAGAAAGGACTGTTGATTCCTATCAAAAGGTGCCTCTTATAGCACCAAACGGTGCCTGGCCTTGCATCAGAAAAGGGGAGAGAAGTGGGCCGCGGCTCACTGACATCAGCTTCGTCATGACGGAGAGGAGGGACCCGCCCCCTGTAGCACTAAGCCTTGTCTTTGCCTGCGAAGAGTATGTTGTTGTTGAATGGTGCTATGGATACCAGCTAATCATAATCAGCTTCGCAAAAGACAAGCTGGGCTGGGGTGGGTTATTACTACACAACTTCGGCTTTTATCAATGAAAGTATAACCCGCCCCGGGCCTCGATGGCCCGAACACTGTCCCCACCGGGGAAAAGTAAGTCATGACACAGCTTCGGACTACACCATAACTAACAACAATCAGTTTCGCAAAACTCGGCGGGGCGGGGGTGGGTTGTCCACTTGATACTGGCCTCCTTGGCCTAGCTAGGTACTCGGACCGGAAGGGTAAGTACTACTTCGCGATGGCATGACCACAACAAATGCCTTTCAGTTCGCAGAAATATATCTGCGTGGGTGCGGGTCAGGATTACCTGAACATGAGCCGCCGTGATCCAAATAACACGGCGGCGAACGGGTGGAGGAGCGGAAAAAAGTAAGTATCAACCTTTACATAACATGACATGGTGGCTGACTTTCACTAGTTTCGCAAAAATGCGGCGGGCAGGTTGGGTCTCCTCCAACCCAACTTTATAGTCTTGACTATTTCAATAGCCCTGTCCTGGCCACCCCCGGAGAAAAGTGAGTCGAGAGCCAGAGATATTTTGACTATAGCTAACTCTTGTCAGTTTCGCAAAATTGCGTTGGGGGTGGTCGGGTCTGTTCAATATGGGAGTTGGTGATTATCATCATGATAAGTCTTGGACCAGCCCCCCTCCCGGAGAAAAGTAAGTCGAAATCTAATGAAGTACCAAGATGATGGCTAATATTTCTTAGGTTCGCAAAAGGATAGAACGGGAGGGGGCTGGCGATCAAAGATAACCTCGGTCATTGGTAGTTGGGACAACAATGAAAGGTGGCAGGATTGGTATAATGGGAAATGAGAAGTGGGAAGAATATTATACTGTCAAAGAAAGACAAAATCTCACAAACATGAATCTGCCGCTACCCCTTTCAAGATGTCGCTCAAAGCTCAATAATCAGGCATGATCTCATGTACTCAGTGAACGCAGCACCCGATTCACACCATCCACACTTTGAGGGACTTTGTACTTTGATGCAAGTTGGCCGCCAGCCTAGATATAGGTTTGTTTGAGGAGGCACGTGTTCTAGTCCTTCTAGCACCATACCCATGACTGTTGCAATCAGCTGGATGACATTCCCGATACCACATATTGAGGTCGAACTGGAGATAAAACACAAGCTACACAATAGGATCCAATCACGATGATTTCATCAGATTTCCTCTAGTATAGCGTGGCTCTTGTTATGGAGTCCATATTGCTTGTGATCTGTTTGCTTGCCGCATGCCATTAGACATAAGGGAACAAACCAACAGTCACATTTGTTGAAATTGATTGCGCATACAAAGTATTGCTAGATAATACTTACTAGTGTAACCATAATTTGAAATCCATATTCTGACTATGTTTCAGAAGTCGTGAAGCAAGAACAACATGAAAGTTGGCTCTAGAAGATATCACGTGAGTGTACAGCAAAGCTCCAACATTGGGCGAATGGTCTTCAAATACGATGCAGACACTCTCAAGCTACTGGGTAGTGAGATGGATGTTAAAAATCCTCAAATTTCATCATCAGAATTTTAAGTTCGTATGTGCTCCAACGGACGGCCGAGTGAGGCTTCCAGGGCCTTCACAGATGGGATGGTCAGTATGAACCAAAGAGGTAAACTGAGGATTATCTCCCATTAAACTTTTCTGTTGCGCCGCACACAATGTCTGCCCACGTAGAGTAAGTTCAAGCAAGGCACAGTGGAGTTTTCAAAATTTGTTCATCACCTGGAATCCGGAAAACCTTGAGGAATCCAGTGCCCTAACCTGTGGCCTATAAAGGTTTCCCTCCCCCCTCTTCCCCCCCAGGTACCATAAAGCATTGCAGCAACACCGATTATTGTTCCTCGAAACCTCTTTACTACCAGCTGCAGCATCTGCCCCACACTCCAGGAACTACCATCATGTCAGACTCGGGAGACCTGGAAAGCCTAGACAGCTCCAATTGGGAGATCGTTGACCCTGAACTGTTAAACAAGTCCCGACCAGTTCTGACTCAGTACGTAACTTCTTGTATTACAAATTTATGTCTGCTAATAAGTTTTTTCATAGTCCTGACCACGGGGTCTGCTGCTCAATCAAGTTTTTCGACGGCCCTGGTGGAGAGCGTTACGTTCCTGAGCATCTCATCGAGAAACACACCGATTTCGCCGCCCTCTTCGATAAAAACAAGCATCTAGATTGCAGTCCCGTTAGACGTGCTTCCGTTTCAGTTGTCATGTGTTATCTCAAACGAGGTCGCCTTCCTGGCCCCAATCGGAACGAGTCTGAAAGGTCGGCGGTCATCCGGCTGTTCAGGAGATTGATCATGTTTCGCGAAGACGCACCCAGAATCAGAATTGAAGGTTTGCAGGAGTTGAATGTCAAGGGAGTCACGCAACTACTAGAGAAACCGACAATCTTGGATATGCTTGAGGTCGCTACCAAGGAACGTGAGTGGCGACTGGCCGAGACAGACGACATGCTGATCAAGCTTCTCACCCTCCGGATCTTTGCGCAAACGGAGCTGGTTCCAGTAGAGGCCTTTACTGTTATGGATAATTTTTGTAACAAGGTAGCCGATGTCAAATGGAATGTGTTGAAGGCTATGATCAGCATCATGGTCGATTATCAGCGCTTGAAGAACAAGGACAAGGCCATGATTCTGGATAGATGTAAAGCCTCGGAAGATTGAGAATTGCGCATCTGGCCGTAATTTGTTCTACTTAGAAGAAAGAGAAGAGGATGGAGGGAAAAGGAAGAGACAGAGACCTTAGACAGTATTCCACTGGGCAGTAGCAAAATGGGCGAGAGTTGAATACAATATCGCGACTATGCTACCCTACTAGTACTAACATATGATATGTCAGTAGAACCGAATTGGGAAGGATTTGAGTAATATTGATGGCAATAAACGTGAGTAGAGTTGCGTACTGCAAGGTTTAGATACGTGAAGGTTTGGATGCGTGGTCAACTTTACTTGTTTTACCTTTTCCTCGCTCCGAGACGACGACTGTAGATTAGGTTAAATTTCATAACCTTTAGTATGGGATCCAACACAGCCTCTATGTATAGGAACGTATAGTGATGAAACGCAAGCAATGTGTAGGTAATGATCCGGTCTTTGTAATTAATGACTTCGGAGCTGTGCAAACCAACGTGCCAAGTGTAGACTGTCCCCCTAGCGGACCTCCACACTGCAACCCAAATCTTAGTCAAGGGATATAATTCGAGTACTGAGATCATTGCTGTTACGTTGAGTCGTCTGTGGGAATGTGCCTGTGTGCCTACTCCGCAATATCAAATAGATTAGGCTATATATGAGAGGCCACGATTCAATGATTCGGTAGATGACAAGCAGAAGCAGTATAAAGGCCTTGATACGATTCATGGTGCAGTGCAGTTCGAGAAGGTGTGATAGGATTCTTGATTCTACCGCAACGTAATGTCAGTTATGTCGCGGGACAGTTCAACATGACCGGTGAGGCTTACTATAACAGTAACTGATCTGAACGAGCTCTTGTTTTTTCTTCGAAGCAACATCAGTAAAGAAAAGACCGAAGATGTTTTAGTGATATCGGTTGCTGAAGGAGATATTGTCGAGTGTCTCGGATGCAAGTATAGTCGACTCTCCAGCTGTGGATATTCATGATTTGAAACATAGATCCGTATGGTAGAAGTACACTGAGTAGATGAACGTATAGTTGTTGAAAATATGAATATACCAGTTGGAAAGGAGGAGCTAATTTCTTTGCTGAGACGCGAGGAGGATGCAAAAGAATGAGAGACAGGGGCTTGATTTCTAGCAGAAGGGGAAGAGGGGGGATCTAGCGAAGAAACTGAATGACGTGATGGGAAGCCTAAGAAATGAAAACAAAAGAAATTGGAAGCATTAGGGACCAGAGCATAACCACTATCAACAATCTCATAGGTAGTAGGTAGTGGGGCGTAACAAGATTGAGTAAACAAGAATAGACCTGACCAGGCAGAAATTCTTGCTCCCCCCCATCTCAGCAAAGGTCAGTCTTCTCTTTTGTTACATCTTCACTTGAGTCTAGTTCCTAACCATAAACTGAAAGAATTCCTGCAAGCTCCTGTCCGTCTTCCTATCCAACAAAGAAATAAAACTCGCCAAACATGCCTCCTCGAGCAGTACGCGACGGCTCAAGCTTCTACGCAAACAAGTGAGTTTTATCTTTGCCTTTTCTCTCTAGTCACACTTATTCACTGTCGAAAGTCCTTCTGTTCCTCTCGTGACCATTAGTTTTATTCACTGCCGGGTTCAGTTGCCCCGAGCTGTTGTCTTGCGTCAACCTGAGTTCGCAGAACTGTTCCATCAGAGTCGCCTCCAATGGCCTGGCTTATGTCAAGAACAAGCCGCAATCGTTGTGAACTATCTTATGGAAGATGTTTATCGCTCAGAGCGACCTATCATAGGTTCTACCTTCGATTGCCAGCGCCAGGATCTCCATGATGCTATCATTCTTCACTTCCAAGGATTAGTATACCGTCTCCCCGGTCTTCGTGCACTCTGCCGCATGGAGATCATCCGTGCTGCAGTCACCATGCCCCTTCTGGCCTTTGTAGGCTGCCTCCCCGGCTACCCAGACTGGATTCAGATCAACAGTCGCTGGTTCGACCTGTTGCTCTACCATCGCATCCGTATGGAAATCCCTGATGCTGTATCGGCCGACATACAGGAATTCCGGTCCCTTGAGTTTATCACGCACTATTGTCTTGTTGTTGCCGTTGCCGGCACCCTCTACATCGCTCTTGACGACATCAACCAGGGTGTGAGTGAGAGCTCTGACTAATTCAGTTCACTTGCTGTTTCCTACTGGTAAGGGATCCATCTCTTCAAATGTTACAATCGACGCAAAGTCTAATGGAGTGATTACTTAGGACGATCTTACCGAAGATGATGGATGTAACTATATACTCCTGTCAAGAGGGCAGAATAGACAAGGATGATCTAATACAATGGTAAGTCAGCCCGATACCATCTTACTCTCTTCTATCTTATGCCCTAACATACCAGGCAGGTTGGGGCAGGTTGGAACGCTTTCTATTTGGGGTACCACAGGCAATTGACTGGCTGGAGAATGGGCCACCCCTGACTAAGGGGAGGTACGATCAATACTTGATATTAATGTTCTCTGATGCAACATCTTGGAACGCTCTACTTTGTGTATGATGTGGTTCATTGTCTATCTTACTGAAGTGAGGTTCGGTTCTGTATCCTATCTCCCGTTTATCTGGAGCATCACCTAGCAGATTAAAGCAGACACTCGGGTACCGAAGATGGCAGAATTCAGTTCATATACTATCTATACTTCCCTCCCTTTAATAATTACGTATTAAAATCGAGTGTCGACCTAATAATATCGTCTCTCATGCTCCTAGCTGGCAATTTATTCGATACCCTGATGCCGACTTTTAATAAAGCGATTGGGAATCTATATCTGGATCACACTCACACTGAAAGTATGATGTAATTGATACTCATTACCTCTTGTCTAGGAGTAATACTGACGCTTCAGATGGGTCATATAATACCCTTGCTCAAGACGAAGACAGGAGCGATTCTGGGCCTTTGTCCCTACCATCTTATTTTCGGTCCCCAGAGTCAACATGCACATTCAGCGAAGAATATATAAAAGCGGCCTCATTGTATCAATATATTTAACTACTTAAGACAGAAGAGAGGAAACTAGAGGCCGCTTTATACTATTCGGACTAGAATCTTAGATCATTCATGTTTGTACCCTGAACCTTGGAGGCCATCTTTTATGTTACTCATGAGAGGGGACATTCTTTCAATTGGACTAGAGTACAAAGTGTGGTTTTCTCTCTCGTGGCATAAAGCCCTATCCTCCTTTGCCGCCAAGATCAAATTAGCCAACATAATTAACCATGACAAATCATCTTGGCGTGTGTAGGCATGTGCAAAATACTTCTGCTTGACCTGTGTGCCTTTCCAGTCCGCTCCAATGTCCCAATAGTACTTTCATGTCCTCCCTCCACCGACTAATTCCCCGGCAGTAAAGAGCTATTCATGACAGCTCTTGTGTTGCAGAGACGAAACGTCTACTACGGTCCATCGTCGTTATTGTTGGCGGCGGCAGCCTTAAGCTGCTGGATTTCCATCTTCATGTCGACGATAGTACCCAGAAGGAAGTTTTCCAGGGTCTTGCTGAACTTCCAATCCTCGCCAACGTTGAGCCGGTCCCGACGGCTGAGAATCTCGCCATGCATTTTGGCCCTCTCTCGCATGTACGAAATAAACAAGGAGTCCTTGCCGTTGAATTGGAAATTCTGCTTCGACAAGATTCCCGCAAGATAAACAAAGCCGAGTTGGTCACCAGCCAGTTTCAAATAGTGAAATGAAAGACTTTGCAGAGACTTGATCTTGTAGAAAGTGGCGAATTCGTAGATCTTCAAGTGATAAAGAAGTCTATCACTGTCTTTGTCTTCTACGCAGCCATTTGGACCGAGAATGGGCTGTAGGTACTCGTCACTGTCAAAGTGGGCGGACTTGCTTTTGATGATTCGAATACAGCAGCAGGCCTGACGCGTATCCATGAACTTGAAAAGATAGATGTTGTCATCTTGGCATGCCTTGAGAAGCTGAGGCCAGGTGCCAAGAGTATCCCAGTCGACAAGGAACTCGTTATCTTCATTTTTGAACAAGTATTGTTTACTGGGATCATGAAATCCACTATACAATAAGCATGTGAGATATAAAGACTATAGAAAGAAATACTCACGGCGTGGCGGGCAAGTGTCTTGCCAATAGTTTTTGATATGACAGTGCCATGGGTGGTGGGCCACTGCTCTGTCACTTTTCTGTCAAGAGTGTCAGTGTATATGAGGTATGAAGGGATAGAAAGCCCTTACCGAGATATCTTGTCTATGGCAGATGTGGTAAGGATAGCTGCTGTTGGTTGATGTAGGGTGAAGATAAAATCTCACAAAGAAAAAGCAGGTGGGAAGATTTAAGTAGGTCAGAGGTGATGTGGGCCCGTTTGGATATGAGATATGCCGGTCCTCTGACAGCTGGCAGTGCCGTTTGAACGATGGCAGCGACATATGATAAAAGGGGAGACCTGGCAGTGCCATGTCGCCCGGCGAGACACATGCGAAGGCCCTTTCTCTTAAAACGTCTCAAAGATCTAGTGGATACCTAGATACCTGTCCAGATGAGGGGTCTAAAGAAGAGCTGATGTTCAGCAGAACAAATACAGTCTCTTGTGGAGGAGTGTTATTAGTAGACAATATATTTCATGGTGAGCAATCAACCAAATATAATATCAATATAAAAGTCTGACTCCCTACTATTCGATTCTTTGTCAAACGCTTATATGCAATGCATAAAGAGGTCCAAAGTGCACATAAAATATCATCAAGAGGCAGGAACATACTCTTGGTTATATAGCCGACCTAACCGAAGCCCCTTCCTCTGCTAGGTAGCTTTAGTGACAATACTCCATAGACCAGTCAGTTTCAAACCCAAGACCGAGAAGAACCTTCTTGTTCTTTCACACTATATATAGCTGACCATAATTGTGATTTACTCGCGTAAAGCCTTGACCAGTGCGATGTCTACCCATTGAGTGATACAGACCCATTGCAAAATGCTTTCATGTCGGCCGACATACGCGACAGCCCAAAGGCTTGCTATGCGGAAGCAAATGTGGCAGTTGGTTTAAAAAGGGGTGATCCAAAGTGGAAAGGAAAGACTTTACGTGTATAAGTCCTACTAAAGCCTACAGTGCCCATAATCCATAACGTATTCTATGAAACATATAGAAACCCCTTACAAGTTTTATCCTTGACCAAGGAATCTTGTCACTAGTAAAAGTTTTCGGACATGATTGAACCTTTGGACACCTGATCATCAGTCGGGATCCTTGGCTAGACGCATATTATAATTAACTAAAGCCCTTCAAAATTCACCTGATAGTATCCGACTGACATGTAATTCTTTGAGTAGGAATATTAAGTATAGAAGGATCTTTTAACAAATTCCGCTTTCAAAAACTACTGGATATAATCTCGCGATCGCTCTATAGACATTCAGCTTGATGCGTACGTTCCTAGACATAGGTACCTGTTACTGTTAGACAGTTATCCCAACTACGCCAGAGGTAGTAAAAACAGATAGTATAACACGGTAACAAATAGTTGAAAGCTTAGACTTAAAGAGTCCGAAGCTATAGGCCGTGTTATAAAGGCCTCTAGAACCGAACAGCGCAAAGCAGAGAAAGATATGATAGCAGCGAAAGATAACACAAACTACTCGTTGAGAAATGTTACTAGAAGGGCCCAAGTCGGAGAACGAGATGAGATATAATGCCAGTATCGCAGAGACGGAGAGTCTACTCTGGTAAGCTTATAAGTTGTTTGCGGCATAGACCAGAAGGATTATCTCTCACCCCAGATCAGAAGTTGAAATCAAGTAGTTTTTGGTAGTCCTGGCGTATTTAGAGCGCCCAGCAGTCTAGGAGATAGGTTTGAGCGATCGTGGTGAAGTCTTTGCCGCCTGGGGAAGCAAAGAGACTAGGGAGGAAGGTTTCGGAGGCTATTTCGATTGTCCTGAAAATACGTTGTAGTTGCTTCTTTCACGAAACCAAAAGACATCAAGCCGAGGAACGAAATCTTGACCAGGCGTTGATAGTTCGTCGAACACCGGACAGGCTTCTCAGACATTTTCAACAAGTGCCAGTATTCTCGAGATAGACTTACAGTGTAGGCCTCCTCCTCGACAGTTCCAAGATATACTGTGATGTTGGACTTGGAATGCGTAGTGACTTTGTAGTGGTTCGGTTTCACTCAAGAGAGTATCTTCTATTGCTTCTCATCCGGAACCGTCTGGAGTTTCGGCAGTTGAAATACCAACATTCAGATATTAGAGGCTTCGTCTTGGTTCTGTTATTTCTTTGTTGAGTCGGATTCCGGTTGGTTTGTTTGTGTGCAATGTTTGGTTGAGACAGAATTCACATGCTTGTGGATGGCACAAGTAAAAGAATAAAGAGTTTTATTGTAGCAGGCTGCTACAAGAGTGGGGGTGGGTAGGAGGGAGTTTTTATTTACAGCCATACATATGTCGATGACACAAGAGGCCACACAACCATCAACAAGACCTCGACATTCCATTTGGAGATATCACGATCCAGTCGGAGCTTTTATTGTCTATCGAAACTATTCCGAGACGTCGTTATTTGGTATCGTGGCGTCTATCCTCGAAGGCGGCCTACAAGCGATCTCACAGAAACTGGTGAGGCAAGGGACTCAATTCCAGAATAGAAGGTGGCGCTCTGGATCAACAGACCAATTATGCTCATGAACTCAGAGAACTTCTAGAGCAATTGTCAATAATTAACACACTCTCTCAGTTTGCACTGATCTTTCTGTCAGCTCCTAACCCCTGGATCCCGTTGCGGCGGCTAACACTTTCTCATTCTTCCAGGAACTTTCTTCCTATCTCACTCTTTGATCCGTATACATACCATCACTCACGAATGTGTCTTTAAGACCGATTGGCTAGAGATCTCCTACTTCATAACGAGAAGGGCCAAGTAATGGATCCGTCAAGGATCCTTAGCGGCGGTCAACCCTTCGTTAGCACGCTGTTGGGACGTCCGGCTGGCCTGGAGATATGAAGAGTTCCCTTACATTCCGAACTTTAAACTTACCTCCCTATCACCATCCATCGACAGTCTTAGATCATGCGGCAGTCCCCAAATCCAAAATATCTACACATGTCAGGTCGCTATGGCCGATAGCGGCTACTCTTGTACACACTTTAGTTCACTGAGTCAGGCGTCTCTAAAAAGTTTTTTGGAGATATCTGGAATGATCTTATGATACAGTTGATATAATGGACAGGATTAACAAGACGAATAAGAGCTAGCACTCACCCATTGAACAAACTTGGGACCGACCGCGAGCATAAGCGCCGGGCTTTCCTATGTCTAATTTCGATTGGCTTTTCAAGACATCGTTCATCCCCTGCAGTAGGTTCATGTTCCAAAACATGCTGGTCTATATCAATAGAAAGCCTAATTTCATAAACTTGACAGAAATCCTCGAGTCCAACTTATGTGTCAAGTTCAATAAACTCCATCCGTAAAGTCAACCACAGTAGCCTTATCAAGGAGGCTTCCCACTTTAGCAACAAAGGCCTGATGAGCTGGGTCCTTCTCTACATAGTAGTCTCGATCCTCCGTAGAGTTGAAAATAGCGACGAAGCCATGAGTGAGCCCGTTCTAAATCCATCATGTTAGGTCATTGTCTATTCATCCCCAATGATTGCCCGGAGGCACTCTCACCTGCATTCCCTCTGGAGAGTTGTCTTTGCCGCCTACAAGTGAAACAATGTATGGACTGTTACTTGTAGGATGGATGCATTGGTCTTTGAGAGCAAGAAAGGAATCGCAAATCTGACACGGAGTGGGGATGGTTAGTTGGTTTGCGTTACACGGCATAAATTCAAGCGCACTTTTTTTATTTCAGATGCATCAACATCTGACTTGAATTGGAAGAGGACAGTGTGAGTGAGAGCCATACTGCAGTAGTCCTCTTTGTTGATAGTGTTAAATGTCTCTGTTGACTTTGATGCGGAGTAATAATCGCGTCGTCAGACATGGACATGGATACAGATTCGGACATAAAGGCTGCTCGACTGATTGGCTCAAAGGTCACGTGAAGCTTGCTGTAAGTACAAACTGGCTGGGATTGGGCTCCTGTCAAGCCAAGTGGCTTATGTCGCAAAGGTTATTTCAGTTGACCTACCTCTAGCACAGGTTTATGAAAACATAGCACGAGAGCATTGCGATCCCCCTACTCGTAGATCTGAGGTCTGTTACGATTTTCAGTCCGCTTCCTGGCTTGTCCTTTGCTCAAAGAGTCTGGTACTACACTAGACCGGCATAGGTCCACCTCCCGGTGAAGCCCTGCCATGTCGTTGATTGGCTTACGATATCATTTTTTCTTGACACCTCCAGCTTGGTACTCTGCAATACATTGGGAGGCAGAGTTGTTATGTTTTGACAAGTGGCCGATGGAAGCAATCCTGTCTTACACCTTGCAATAAGAAACATAATGTAGAGTATGACCATTGCCTCGACTGACCACATTCTTCAAATCAACTCGCATTATATCAAGCTCAACAACACGCCACTATGGATCGGCTAGCTTTTTCTACCACTGGGATCGACTCTTTTTTGGACTGATAGGCAACGCTTACTTAGACCAGGTTAATTGCTACAGGCTGTCGTGGTACTAACCAGTTATCTTGTCATTAACATAGATTATCAATGGACCTGCTGAAGATAAATGCAGGAATTACAAAGAATAATATACATATTATAGTTATATTGAGAAAGGAGAAAATATCTGCCCTTTAGATAATTACTCTATAGTGAGAAGATTGTTTTGCCAGCTATCTACCCTGTACCAGTATCTTGTGAATGCCAGTGCCATCTAGATTTATATAACAAAAGTGGGTTGAAAAGAACTCGAAAAAGGAAAAAATGAATGCGTAATCTGGGAATCGAACCCAGGGCTCCCCGATGTCGCTTGAATGGCAACGGAGAATTTTACCACTAAACCAATTACGCGTTAATTTGCTCTTACCCGAGTTCTGATAGAAAATGCTACAACCCTAAGGCCAGAGAAGTTATCAGAAACAACCCTTGGAAAAGTAGGTACGCTAATCAGCTGACAACTATAACAGACGCTGCCACGATAAACGCTAAAAGCCTTATTTCGTTTTAGTGCGCTGTCTTTATTCCAACTACTGATGTCTACTCTTTCCTCTTCAGGCTTTGGCGATGGTTTCTCTCTCCACCTTAAGGAATATCTCATCCCCTGCCAGCTCGCGGCTTTCAAAATCCCCGAAATGACAAATGCAACAGCACTCAGACTCTTCTTGTTCGATATCGCATCTCAAGGCACGGATCAAGGAGTCGGTAGCTGCTTCCATATATCACGGCAGGGGGTTCTTTTAAAACATGTCAATGGCAATGGCTGTCACTTGATGGCTGATAGAGAGTCTAGGGTTGCTGACATGACTGAACGATAAATTCCAGCGTAAGGGTAGTGGTCTAAAGTTCCCCTTAGTCTATGGCAAGACCACCAAATCCGCCGTGATGAAAGAATATATGGATCCTTCTCCCGGGCAGTGGAAAACCAAATCTTATCAACGTCGAAGAAGTTATTTTCCCTTAGGAAGGCGCGGCCCCGAAGCTGCTCCTATGAGTCGGTTATTAGCAGACATCATTTTCTTGCTGCAATGCAGAGGTAGCTTTTCTGATTGCACCGCTGGCTAGGCGAACAAGCTCCATGCAAAACCCCTTGACGAGAGTCGTCTGTTCATCTTGCTGACATGTGTGGTTCGATAATGGAAGGTTGTGGATCAGCTCAGTGGCAGATACAAGTAGTTCAAGGTCTGCATGGGCCGTTACACGGAGGGGGTGCATGAGGATATTGAAGAAGATAGTAATCATAGCAGCGGTGGGGTAAAACACAACAATCCTGACTTAAGGTTAATCAGATGCACTATGCATTTCTGTGAATAGTCAACTTACCAGAAGGCTTCACCAGCCAGACCTTTCAAAGTCGCCTTGAGGTACACAAGCGTTGAACGACTCGCTTCCAGCGCCAGAGTAATGCTTGATTCAACGCCTGATTCAATAGTAGAGCGCCACTGTGCATCAATGTTTGACTCCTCATGGTCAGGATCATGCATGCATCTGCCACTAGCGCGATGAATAGTAGCCAGAAGGTGATGGTATTCAAGGTGAAGGGTAATGGCTCGCATGCTACGCGGAAGATGCATCTCTTCAACGTTGACTTGAGAGTCTTTGACAATAGAAAGTTGGGGTCGAAAGTTTGGCGGAATAGACTTTCTCCAAGTTTCCAATTCGTTGTCCAAATCTCTAATGTCAAATAGAAGTTGGGCAGGGGTTTTTTTAGCGGCTTGCGCGGAGTAGAGCAAGCGGCTGGTCTTTTCCTTGATATGACTAAGACGTGGATCCCCTGGAAGATGGGGTGCGAGGCCATTGTCGCCAAGAGACTCGGGAGGAAGATGATGAGTTAAGTCGGGGAGATATTCGTAGCACTCCAGGTAGTTCTCTGGAAGGGTCAGGTCGCAGTACTCATCAGACATCAAAGGAGGTTGGCCGGTTCGAAGAGCAATGTCCTTGTCGAAGATGTAGGTAAGCCAGAAGAGCAGTCTTGTTTGGCGACGATGTCGGCCATCGTGAGAGATATGACCGTTGTTGGTCTCAGTTGTGGTGTAGTGATGACCACCATGGGTAAAGACCATGCGACAAGCAATGGCGTGAAACATCGAAGCGGAACGGAGTCGTCCTAGGAAGATCTCATGCATATTCTGCAATCATGTTAGCTCATGTGCTATATGAAGAAAAGGACTTACCAGCATGAAGGCCGTTTGGAGAGTGACAAGGCTCGATCCCTCAAGAACATCCGTAAGAATATAGCGAGCTTTTGTGGCACAAAGATCGGTGTCTACAGGTGGCAGATCAGTCAATGACCCTTGGAATAGTGGTATCATAGACGCGAAGGCCAGGACACAGGCTTTCTGGCTTATTTGCTCAAGTGAGGGAGATTTTCCACTCCAGTTAAGATATGCAAGGTTGATTGTATCATAGAATAGCTGTGGATCCACGACCGGGAAGACAAGTCTGAAGGAGGAATTGGCAAACGCATTGAACATTGTTTCGATGGCCAATCTATCTGGGAGAGTGTATAGATCCTGTGGGTCGGTGAAATGGTGTGCTGACAAGGGTAGTGCAAGTGTCGGGAGAAGCTGTTGTCCTGCGTCGAAATCGATAATTAATCCGGTCTTAGACGCAATCCACTCCTTGCCTTGATCTGAGATCAGTGGCAGCCCGTTGTGTTGACTAATATGGCCTAGATGAAAGCCACCGAAATGGAGCTGGCCATATGAGACAGCACTAGGGGAGGCCACAACAGGAGGGAGACTCTCTCTTTGGACAACAGATTCTGAGTCCAGCATGGGAGAATTAGATGGGTCTGGCTGTGTAACAGCCACCTGAGTGTGCTCTTGACCGGTATTTATTGTTGAGTTTTCATGATTCCGCTTGTTTTGTGAGGGAAAGGAACTCGAAGTAAAATGCTGTGATACTCGGCTGAGAGAATCGTTCTGGGCGGCAAGTGTTTGAGCGAGTGCTTCTTCCACTTTTCTCAATCTTTCTACAAGGCTTCCTTCTGATGTTTGTTTGGATCTGTAGTATACCTAGGTAAGCCAAGATAGTCTTGGTTCAACACCAGGAGATAGAACTAACCTAGACCTGACGGCTTGCTTCCTACGACCCCTGACACGATCGAAAGTGCAAGCTAGGTTGTGGTGTTGGCACCAGTTACATGGGGCAGCAGAGTCTGTCAAATCACATTGGATCTAGTATGGTAAGCCACCTGAATAGTGGGTAGGGGCAGATGTATGGGTGATGATCAGGGTCGCCAAGTGACGAGTTTGGTAGAAACGTTTAGGTCAAGCCCCAGGGGTGGATGGGAAGAGAATAACGGAGGGAAATTATTGCAATACTGTACGTACTTTCCGTTTGTGGCAGGCGTCACAAGCTTTCTTAGCCTGTTTTTGGACCATATCTATTTAACAAAAGGGACTGGGAGGCAAAGCAAAAGTGTTGTTGAAATGCACGGAAGTTGAGTTTTGTGCCGAATATTAAAGCCGATTAGCGTTGGTATTCAAAGGCCCGTCCTGCAATGAAAACAAAATGAGAATCGATTCCAATTCGGTCGCAGATTGTGTTCGATTCGTCAGGAAAGTTGAGTCCGAAGGTAAGTCGGAGTCTCAAGAATGTCCGCAGAAAGAGGGATGGCGGAAGTAATGACTGAGAAGATGCGCAAAGTACCGCTGATTAAGCGGCAGTTCTGACAGCGCTAGACGGGATGTGGAATAGATTAGGGGCGTCTAGTCAAGCCTGCTATGTGAAGATTTGGACTAGAAACCCGCTAGACAGGGAGTATTTGAGCTAATTGAATCACTAAGCGGCAGTTTTGTCGCTTCCGTAGCTTCCGGTCCACTTCTTTTGATTTAGAAGATCTTCATTGCCCTGTCAAATTGACTTTCACTGATGCTGGCCTCCCAAACATCCGGTACAACATCAACGCTCCAATCTATCCGGATCGATCCGGACGCGGTACCTGATTACTATTATACGTCATCGCCTTCATCTACCGACGGTTCTCGCTGTTCTCGTTTGTCCGAGTTGAGAGTCTAGGTAAGGATTGCCTGGGATACGATTGCGTAAGATATGAGTCTATAGAACTGATAGATAGTAATCCCCACAAAAGAAATACAAAGAGACTCATGTTACATTTGTGGAATTATGGTTAACACTGCTGGAATGTGCTATTTACAGGTTGTTGTTATCGTTATTCATCAAAGTACCCCTACGTAGACGACTTAGCCCCCTGTCACTCTCATCCGTAGTGTCTTCAAGCCACTACTACCTTAGCATAGTATGTAACTGATAATGATCCGGTTACTAAGCGGCAAATCCCTCGCTCGCACTCGCAATTTCCAGACGTGTTCCATCAGCCTCATACTTGATCCACAGAATCCAACAAGGATCGCTTGATCAAAAATGCCTTTGCTCAGATTCAGTAATTCCATTGGCCGCAGTCCGGCAGTCGGACACCGAAAAAGACCGTCATGTTTGTAAGAATCTGACGCAAACACAGCAAGTCTTTCTTTATAATAAGTTTGCTGCTTCCTAATTTAACATGTTATACCAGCATCACTGTTATTTAATTCTCGTTCTTATTCATTCAGATCTTGTTGACCTGGGGGTTGCGGCTAATTAACCAGCCAGGACCATTTCTTGTCCGCCATCAAAAAACATGGAATCCATGGAATCTGATAGCATCGTCTCGACGGTCTACGAACCGACACCTCTCAAAGAAACCCCCCACGATGACTCCGAATGGAAGATGAAGTCAGATGTCATCGGCTTCAAAGAGCGCGACAAAGCTTCAGGCGTCCCCGATAGAGAACTCGGCGTTACATGGAACAACCTCACAGTCAATGTCATCGCCGCCGATGCCGCCATCCATGAAAACGTCCTCTCTCAGTACAACCTTCCAAAGCTCATCAAAGAGTCCCGACAAAAGTCACCACTCAAGACCATCCTCGACAACAGCCATGGCTGTGTGAAACCTGGAGAGATGCTTCTCGTCCTGGGTCGTCCTGGCTCTGGATGTACCACACTTCTCAACATGATTTCCAACAAGAGACGTGGTTACAACAGCGTCGAAGGTGATGTCTTTTATGGCTCAATGACAGCTGAAGAAGCCCAGAGATATCGCGGCCAGATCGTCATGAACACCGAGGAAGAAGTATTCTATCCCGCCTTGACTGTCGGTCAGACCATGGACTTTGCCTCTCGTCTCAAGCTCCCCTTTCAGCTCCCCCAGGGTGTCAACTCACATGAAGAACTTCGAACTCAGACGAGAGACTTCCTTCTCAAGTCCATGGGTATCGAACATACCATTGACACCAAGGTTGGCGATGCTTTTGTTCGTGGTGTTTCCGGAGGTGAACGAAAACGAGTCTCCATTATTGAGACTATGGCTACCCAGGGTTCAGTCTTTTGCTGGGATAACTCTACTCGTGGTTTGGACGCAAGCACGTAAGTCAACCTCAAAAAGACACAATTTACATTCTTTCCCCTCTAACAAATTATAGTGCTTTAGAATATACCAAGGCGATCCGCGCAATGACCGATGTCATGGGCCTAGCTTCCGTGGTCACCCTCTACCAAGCCGGTAACGGAATCTACGACCTCTTCGACAAAGTCCTTGTTCTTGATGAAGGACAACAGGTCTACTATGGCCCTCTCAAAGAAGCCAAGCCTTTCATGGAGAGCATGGGTTTCATTTGTCAACATGGAGCCAATGTTGCAGACTATTTGACAGGAGTGACCGTTCCCACCGAGAGGCAAATCCATCACGATCACCAAAACCGTTTCCCACGAACTGCAAAAGTTCTTCGGGCTGAGTATGAGAAGTCGCCGATTTACGAACGAGTACGGTCTGAATACGACTATCCTACTTCCGATATCGCCAAGGCAAAGACAAAAGCTTTCCAGGATGGTGTTCGTCAGTTCAAAGACAAGAGATTGTCTGACAGCGATCCCATGACGGTCGGTTTCTGGAATCAGACGAAATCATGCATAATCAGGCAATATCAGATTGTACTTGGAGACAGGGCTACATTCTTGATCAAGCAGCTATCAATGATCGTTCAGGCTCTCATCGCCGGTTCTCTCTTCTACAACGCTTCAGGTGATTCAAGCGGCTTATTCGTCAAGTCGGGTGCCGTGTTTGTTGCTCTTCTTAGTAATTCTCTCGTCTCCATGTCTGAGGTCACTGACTCCTTTACTGGTCGTCCTGTTCTTCTCAAGCACAAGTCATTTGCTATGTACCATCCTGCTGCATTCTGTATCGCTCAGATTGCTGCTGATATACCGATTATATTGACACAAGTCACTACATTCTCGGTTGTTGAGTATTTCATGGTTGGCCTTACCGCGAGTGCTGGGCATTTTTTTACCTTTTGGATAATTTTGGTTGCCATTACCATTGTAAGTCATCAGCGGACCAATCTACCGAACACGACTAACATGTAACAACAGTGCATTACCGCCCTCTTCCGAGCCGTCGGTGCCGCCTTCAGCACTTTCGACGCTGCTTCCAAGGTCTCCGGTCTTCTCATCACCGCTACAATTATGTACTCTGGCTATCTCATCCAAAAGCCCTTGATGCACGATTGGTTCGTCTGGATCTTCTGGATCGACCCTCTGGCATACGCTTTTGACGCTCTGCTCTCAAACGAATTCCACGGGAAGATCATCCCTTGTGTTGGCAACAGTCTTGTTCCCAGTGGCCCCGGCTTCAATGATGGCGATCATCAAGCTTGTGCCGGTGTGGGAGGAGCCAAGCCTGGTCAGACCTTTGTTACTGGTGATGACTACCTGGCTTCTCTGTCCTATGGACATGATCACTTGTGGAGGAACTTTGGCATTATCTGGGCTTGGTGGCTACTCTTTGTGGCCATCACCATCTTTTTCACTACCAAGTGGCATGCTGCCTCGGAAGACTCCCCTTCTCTTCTTATTCCCAGGGAAAACGCTCATATCACTGCAGCTCTTCGCCAATCTGACGAAGAGGGTCAGACCCAGGGAGAAAAGAAGATGACCGGTAGTCAAGACGGCGGTGTTGTCTCGGGCGATGATACTGACGCCAGCGGTGTCGCTGACAACCTAGTCCGCAACACTTCAGTCTTCACTTGGAAAAACCTGACTTACACCGTCAAGACACCCTCTGGAGACCGCGTTCTTCTCGACAACGTCCAAGGTTGGGTCAAGCCCGGTATGCTCGGAGCCCTCATGGGCGCCTCGGGTGCTGGAAAGACCACTCTTCTCGATGTTCTTGCGCAGCGTAAGACAGACGGTACCATTCGTGGTTCAATCATGGTCGATGGCCGTCCTCTGCCGGTTTCTTTCCAGCGCTCGGCAGGTTACTGTGAGCAACTCGATGTACATGAACCTTACGCTACCGTCCGCGAGGCCCTCGAATTTTCTGCCCTACTTCGACAAAGCCGTGATACTCCTCGCGAGGAGAAGCTTAAATACGTCAACACCATTATTGACCTTCTCGAACTTCACGATATTGCTGATACCCTCATTGGAAAGGTTGGTGCTGGGTTGAGCGTTGAGCAGCGCAAGCGAGTCACCATCGGCGTCGAGCTTGTCTCTAAGCCTAGTATTCTTATCTTCTTAGACGAACCGACGTCGGGCCTAGACGGTCAGGCCGCCTTTAACACGGTACGCTTCCTACGAAAGCTAGCTGCTGTCGGCCAAGCAGTCCTTGTAACCATCCATCAACCTTCGGCTCAGCTATTCTCCCAGTTCGATACCCTCCTTCTTCTCGCCAAGGGCGGAAAGACAGTCTATTTTGGTGACATTGGGGACCAGGCAAAGACCGTCTCTGGCTACTTTGGCCGCTATGGCGCGCCTTGTCCCAAGGACGTTAACCCAGCTGAGTTCATCATTGACGTTGTTTCTGGCCATCAAGGAAAAGACTGGAACCAAGTCTGGCTATCGTCGCCTGAACACGCTGCTGTCGAGAAGGAACTTGACCACATCATCACTGATGCTGCCTCCAAGCCACCTAGTACCACCGACGACGGTCATGAGTTTGCTACCTCGCTCTGGGAGCAGACGAAGCTCGTTACCCATCGAATGAATGTGTCGCTGTATCGCAACACTGACTATATTAACAACAAGTATGCCTTACACGTCTTCTCAGCCCTCTTCAACGGCTTCACATTCTGGCAGATCGGTTCATCGGTCGCTGAACTCCAACTTAAGCTGTTCACCATCTTCAATTTCATCTTCGTGGCGCCTGGTGTTATGGCTCAACTCCAACCTTTGTTCATTCAGCGTCGAGATATCTTTGAGACGCGTGAGAAAAAGTCCAAGATGTACTCCTGGATCGCTTTCGTTACCGGCCTTATCGTTTCCGAAGTTCCGTATCTGGTGGTCTGCGCTGTCATTTACTACGTCTGCTGGTACTACACTGTTGGGTTCTCTGATGACTCGTCTCGTGCTGGAAGTACCTTTTTCGTCATGCTCATGTATGAGTTTATCTACACTGGTATCGGCCAGTTCATAGCCGCCTATGCGCCCAACGAAGTCTTCGCATCGCTTGTCAACCCACTCGTCATCACTATCCTCGTTTCCTTCTGCGGTGTTCTTGTGCCATACGCTGGTATCCAGGTCTTCTGGCGATATTGGCTTTACTACATCAACCCTTTCAATTACTTGATGAGCAGCATGCTCACCTTTAGTGTGTGGGGTGCCGAGGTCAATTGCAAGGAGAAGGAGTTTGCTCGCTTCAGTCCCCCGAACGGTACTACTTGTGGCGAATACCTCTCCGAGTGGCTCACTCAAGTTCCCAGTAATCTGATCAACCCTGAAGCTACTGATGAATGTATGGTGTGCTCGTACACCAAGGGCGAGGATTATCTCCGTACTCTCAATATCAAGGAATACTCCTATGGCTGGAGAAACGCTGGCATCACCGCTGCCTTTGTCTTTACTTCCTACGCTCTCGTTTATATCTTGATGAAGCTCCGAACAAAGACTTCCAAGAAGGCGGAGTAGACCTCTATATCGTGGCAATCTTTTTCATATTCCGTTTTATAGACTGCAGACTTTAGGCTTCATTAGACTTTCTACTTATAGACATATTTACTAATACGTTTCTTTTATCGATACCATCTTTCGCTTTGCAGTTGCTGTATGTATGTCTGAACTTCCATTGCTTAGGGCTTGGGTGGTGTCTAAGTCTCTGTAACAATTTGGCATGAGCCTACCCTGAACTTAGTCACTTATATATAGTGTCATGTTCACAAGTGGATGACAAGCTAGTAAATAAATATACACAGGCGCTTTATTAAACAGAAAGATTGAACCTCGACAATGGAAACATAAACAAGAAATAATCAAGTACCTGGAAAAATTCATTAACATTACACAAGACTCCTTGTCCTTCTTATCCGGAGACAGCCACACTCGTGATGGCCCCACTTTAACCATTCTGATGTGCGCCGGGCATCGGCCCAAGTCTCGGAAGTTCGGACGAAGTCTGTAGTAGAAGTCGAGTGCAGATGAAGATGACTTCCATTTAAAGGAAGGAAACTCAAAGAATAATTCGAGCAAAAAACTTCAATTATTCCAGAGAAAGAAAAAATGGCAATTTCCAATGGTGTCAATGGCCATACTAATGGCACTGGCTCGTCATCGAAGAACGGCAAAGTCTCTACTTTGTCTAACACAATCTCATCGACGTTGTCTGATCTTTTTGACGAAAATATCACTGCCAAAATACTCTATGCCGCGGAGAGCGGACTGATAGATAATGTATGTTAGATTCCCAACGTCCCAGGAAAATTACTTACATATTACAGAATCCACCAGTCGCCTATCCAGAGTATGTCCCCCAGACTGGACCAGACACTGGCAAATATGTCCTTCGAGAAAAGCTCTTTTGGACATGTGGTTTCTTTCCAGGCTCCATATACTCTCTGATTGAGCGCATGACCAAATTTCCGCAAGCGTCACCCGGTAGTTCCAAAAAGCAGCAGCTTCTAAAGCAATTACTCACAGTCGGACGGGCTTGGTCTGACCCACTGCACAACTACGCGAAACGAACAGACACACACGACATGTCTTTTATGATTCAGCCGTCGATGAGAGTGCGCTGGGAGGTTCTACATGATCTGGACGCTCTACAGTCTGTCATAACGGCTGCACAATCACTTTACTCTAGATACAACTCCAATGTCGGCGCTATTCGCTCTTGGGATGTACTGTCGCAAGATGGCGTCGAAATTTCGAGTATGACACAAGACTTTCTGGTAATCATCGACTCGATGTGTAATCTCGATCTACTGTACTACGCAGCAGCACAGACTGGTCAGACAGAGATGGCTGATGCGGCGACAACCCATGCCAAAGCCCTGATCAAAGCCCTTCTTCGAAACGAAACCGACGACTCTGTTGGCAGAACTATGTACAGTACCTTTCATGTTGTGAACTTTGACCCCAACAACGGATCTATTAAAGAGAAGAGGACAGGTCAGGGGTATGCCGCAAACTCAACTTGGGCCCGTGGACAAGCCTGGGGCATCCTCGGATACTCGCAAACATACAACTGGACCAAAGATCCCCAGTTCCTAGACGCAGCTATGGGACTTGCTGAGTACTTTATATTCAGACTCCTCAAGTCTCCCGACTGCGTTGAGGTACATATAACCGGCGAGAATCGCACCAAGGGCCGCTATGTACCACTGTGGGATTTCGATGCACCTATAGATACCTCTGCTCCGTTGCGAGACTCATCTGCGGGTGTTATTGCCGCGAACGGCATGCTGGTACTTTCGCAAGCTTTAGCCGGCAGTGAGCTGCATGACCTTAGTGAGAGATATCGATCGATGGCTATTCGGATCGTCAAGGATACTCTTGAATTTTCTCTAGCACAAGAAAAGTCCAAGGTCGCGTTGAAGTCTGACGGGACCTTTGAAGTTCTGGACTTGGAGCCCAATAGCCATTTTGAAGCTATTCTGAAGAACGCCACGGCTAATCACAATGCGAAGGACTACAAGAGATACTGGGACCATGGGCTTGTGTATGCGGATTATTATCTTCTTGAGTTTGGAAACAGGTTGCTCAAGATGGGTCTAGTATAAATACATAGGCTTCGTATTAGTTAAATCGTGGTGACGCTGAGAGAATGATCAAATAACATCTGTTCTGATTTAACCCAAAGTCCAATTATCCACAGGAAAAGCAGCTCCTTGATCGTCGATAGTCTGTGCTGTAAACATCATTTCGTCAAAACTAATCACCCGATCCAACTGCATAAAGTCCTGATCCATGAGAACAGTAGAAATAGCAGATAATTCGTCTGGAGAATTGTGCTCCAGGTCGGGATTCGTAGGTGATATTTGAGGCAGGAAGTTGAGCTGCTCATTTGAAATCTGTGTCTGCGCGGGATCGAAAGGTAGTCCAGTATCCGTCGGCCTTGTATCGAACGATGTCTGCCAAGCTCTTGCGGCCGTCGAGTCCTCGCTCTGAGTGCTATGTCGAGTAAGATCACGTCCCTGAGGAGTCTGAGCAGAGTTCTGATCAACGAAGCCGTCGGCGGAATAACCAATCACATCGGGTGAGTAATCTGGATTCTCTGTGCACTTTTGATAAAGAGCACGTAGCTGAGTGCTGTATCTCCCGGCGAGCGAGCTTTTGGGCTTTTCTTTGGATATTGGACCAGCCCAGCGTTTGGCAAAATCATCAAGACTCTCAATCAAAACCCAGAACTCCTGAGCCAACACAGTCTTGTAGTATCTCCAGTGAACTACAGGTTCATCAGCTCCAGAATATAGGAAAGAAGTAATAGGAGGGGGCCTACCGAGCAGCGCCCGAGCACTAACAAAGACGCAAAAAGCAAATTGGCTGTTCACTGGACTATTTCCTGGAGTGTACTTGAGATACTTTCGTGTAATTGTTGTTGTTTCCGCCGCAGCGACTTGACATGTTTCGGCACTATGGGCACTGGGCATTCTAACAATGCTTGTCCACTGCGGTGCTGGATATGCTATTTGTTGGTGTAACAAAATCATCGAGGTATTATGCGTGATATGGGCAAGTGTGAGGTTCGGATCCATGTTGATGATTGTTGGTCGTCGAGAGATGTTGGAGTCTTTCCACTTTTGAGGCAGGAACATTTTCCAACTAGTGAGAGGTCAGTCGATGTGTCAAGAATGGCATCAAGAAACGTACTGAACAAGGCGAAGATCTAATTCCTTAAACCTGGTAAGCCAATTCCCGACCTCTTGGCGATCTTTGAAATTGATTCTCTGCTGGAGAAAGTAAGTAGTAACCCGACTCAACGACTCGGTTGCTTCAATACAATATGCGAAAGCGCCCACAGTGGTCATATCGACTGTTTCATTCCTTTTGGACGCCGTAGTGTTGGTCGATGGCGTTTCCGGCGGTGCTTCTGTAACCTGCTCAGGACTCGGATAGTGAGCTGGAAGAAAAACGATCGAGCTACCCATCTTTGCCAGAGATCGGGGCCAGATACCAAAGTAGGGCGTCAATACTGTCTCTTCCTTATGCCAAAGACCACCATCGGCAGGAAGTCTTCTACGAACGTCATCCGATGTCAAGCTTGTGTTCCATCTACTTGGGTTAGTACAGACTGGCATGACTTTCGCCGTTGCAGACTTACCCAGTCATGACAGAACAGAGCCTATAGTCTGGTTAGTACTACCTCTACCAGAACTGTTATAAACGTACCTATCCAAGTTAAATATGCTCCAAAAGACTCGTCTTCGTTCTTCTTCCTGTGTCCAGTTCTGGGATGGCAATAAGGACGTAAATGGTTTCAGAAGAGGTCCTTGTTGTCGATCGTCAAACTCGACACTGAGCTGAAGATATTCGACTGTCCTCGTGAGCGAGCCTATGATAGGCCAAGCCCGATGCATATCTCCATTGCCCATCTAGTATGATCGTTAGATTGGTTCATTGATAAGAAAAGTTGTCCTTACATCCGTAAACGCTATTATACTCAGAGCTTGTAAGTTCTCGACCGACATCCCGTCCATGCCGGACAGGAGAACTATGCTTCTGGATTTGTATATCCATGCCTCAGTCTCTTTCTCAGACAGCTCCTCGCTACTGGAGTCCACGAAGCGAATGGCAGCAACCACTATAGCATGCAAAAGTACAGTGAGGCATGGTAATTGCTCATGGTTATAAAAACGACTCCTAAAACGAGTCTCATGTAGGATTGGTATCCATGGCTGGACCAGAATGAAATATGCGTTGATAACTTCTTCAAGCAGCTCCGGTGGTGGCAGTTGGCTTGTCGTACTTCCCAGCTCGCCGAGCTGACTGGCCAGCTCTATGTTTGGATTGCCACAGCTGTCGACTCTTCTCCTCTTCCGGGGGTGCTGCTGGACATCATTTGGGGATGAGAGGGAAACTGTTCCAGGTGTTGCGTGTTGAGGAACTGAAGGGTTGTTGACAGCCTGTGATGGCAGCGAAACGCCAGCATTGGATATCAAGCCACGAAGTTCTTGTATAAGGCTCGAGAATGCTCCAATGATTTGTGATGAATTGACTGAGTCGGTTGAATTATTGGTGCCCGAGCCTTGAAATACTGTACTTTCGAGAGCCTCTTGATGTTGTTAGTAAGATTCCAAGCCACCACCATTGTACATACCAACTCTGCGATTGAGCCCTTCTATCACACCGGTCTTGACGCCAGGTTTGGCCCTCTTTAGATCATAAACGCATGGCGAATCTGTTTAGTTAGTAAACGTGAAGTTTGGTTCGTGTGACTTACCTAGCCGCTGGCAATGATTGCATGTGGGTTCTCTATCACAACGAAGTTTGCGTCGCTTACAACCCTGACAGCTCGGTTGAACAGCGGATCCATTCCCGGCGGTGGGCGACTGTATATTTTGATGATTCATATCTGTGTTAATGACTATGGCTTCGCCCGCTGCCCGATGGATGAGTGAAGGAGCGGAGATATCTGCGTCGATCAGCAACCCTTGAGAGTGTTTTCCCCATGGGGAATAAGCGGGCCAATCGTGGCTCTCCATAAGCCAAGAAGCCTCGGAGATGACTCCCCCGATGCCCGAAATTGGGGTTACCTCATCATCTGATTAGGAGCAGGACACACCTGTAAATGAGACCATACACAATAGTACATAGTAAGTCTCCGATGAAATACACGAGTCAATGCAATCAACACCCTTCACCAACAACACGGAAAGACTAACCCACCAAAATGCCACCACTATCAGGATTCTCCGACAACAAATTTGAAAGTCGAGATGACTTCATCGAGGCCATAATCGCACTCATCAACCCCCTCAATAAGTACTTTTCGCCAGATAAATCTCGAATTCGTATCCCAGTAGCGACAGGTGCACATTTCGACGAGTCAGCTGCCCAGCTGGAAGGTTTTGCGAGGCCACTATGGGCGATTGCGCCGTTACTCTATGGTTATGACTCTATCAGCAACAAAGATCTAGCAACTCGTGTTGACGAATTAGTCCAACCATGGGTCCAAGGCTTCATAGCAGGGACTGATCCAAATCATCCCGAGTATTGGGGTACTATGAAAGATATGGACCAGCGAATGGTCGAATCTGAGATGATAGCATTTGCACTCATAGCTGCACCAAAACGATTCTACAATCCTCTAAGTGACGGTCAAAAACACAACATCAAATCCTGGCTGAGCTCCATCAACGGAAAGGAGATGCCTCCAACAAACTGGAGATGGTTTCGCGTATTTTGCAACTTGGCCCTAGTCAAGACTTGCGGCGTGCCTATATGTCAAGTCCAAGCCGAACTAGATGCTGATCTAAAGATATTAGACAGCTTCTACCTTGAAGATGGGTGGTCAGGTGACGGACCATGGCAAACAGCCGATCAAGCAGCCCAAGAGAAGGAGCTTACCACCAGGACTGGACGTCGAGACGCCATTGGAGTTGGAAGACAAGCAGATTACTACTCTGGAAGTTTTGCCATACAATTCAGTCAGGTTCTTTACTCCAAGTTTGCGGCTGACCTGGACGAGAAGAGATGTGAAGTGTATCGACAAAGAGCCTGTGACTTTGGCTCGAAGATATGGAGGTACTTTGACGCTCAAGGTAAGTCAAAACGCAGGCCCTAATCGATGGATGCACTGACCAGTATAGGCTCATCCATTCCCTTTGGTCGATCACTAACATATCGGTTTGCATGCGGAGCATTCTTTGGTGCTTTAGCCTTTGCCAAAGTCCTTGGAATGCCTAAACCGCTCGATTCACCCGGAGCTATCAAAGGATTCCTCACAAGACATCTGAGATGGTGGGCACAAAACTCAGCCGACATCTTTGCTACTGATGGTACCTTGACTATCGGATGGTTATATCCGTAAGCTAGAGTCCAATGCCACTTGACCGTCAAGAAACTAAGAGATTACAGGAACATGTACATGGCCGAAGACTACAACTCTCCTCAGTCGGTCTACTGGTGCCTTAAAACACTCATAGCCGTTGGCTTGGATGATGACGACGAGTTCTGGACCTCAGAAGTGCAAAAATACCCCCCCTTTGATCCACCAACACAGATAGTGTCAGCTCCACAGCAAATCATATGCAACCATCCGCTTGGCAACCACCATTTTATGCTCACACCCGGTCAGTTTGTGGCTTGGCCAATGAAAGCCAACCAAGCAAAATATTGCAAGTTTGCCTATTCCTCGGCCTTTGGTTTTTCTGTACCTACAGGACCCCTCATCCAACAGATTGCCCCTGACAATCAGCTGGCATTGAGTAGGGACGGCAGAGAAACCTGGGCAGTGAAGTGGAAATGCGACGAAGTCCAGTTTGGAACATTGAGGACCAAATCAGACGGGTGTCAGGCGGAGGTGTCTGTTGCGAGTGTGAGATGGTATCCCTGGGGCGATCGAGCTGTGATGATTGACACTATTCTTCTTTTACCCACTAGCCAGTGGCCAGACTGGCATATCCGGATGCATCGTATACGCTGCAACATCAGAATTCCTTCTCTTCATACTGTTGAAGGTGGATTTGCTATATATGGCCGAAAGGCCGCTGATGGCATGAACCTTCCATCTGTCGAAACCATTGACGATGCCGTGCCTGGCAAGTTTGAGGGAACTTATTCAGATGATGATTCAGCACTGATCTGCTCGGAAGATGGATGCAGCGGTGTGTCAATTGAGGCTCTCCTAGACCGATCTAAGACGCCACTTGAGAGTTATGTGCTGAAACCAGACTCAAATAGTAACATTGTTCGCCAAAGGACCCTCATTCCCGTCAATGGGGTATCAATTCCGGGTGGTATGGAGCCTGGGCAAGAAGTTTGGATCAAGAGCTCGGTATTCGCCATTTCATCAAAGGCCAACGGAGGGATTTCAAGTGGCACTTCTAGTCTCAGAGACAGGTGGCTGAACCGCCCTTCAATTGATGTAGCAAGCATTGAACAGATCCTCCACAACATGTAGTTTGAAATGACTCGATAGGAGGGATGTCAATCTGAGTATATAAGGACAGGATTTCGATTTCATTGTTTGTTAGCTGTACTAGATTTCTGTGATCTATTATACCGCTTCTATGATTTAGAGATACCCAATTGAACAATCGATCATTAAAAACTGGACAATTGAAGCCTTTTGGTATCCTTCTGGCGCTGAGACAACTCAGATCGATCAAACTAAGCAGAAAAGGCAGGTCAACATGATGAGCCCATTATGAGAGACACGGAGTTCCGGATAAACTTGGTTCCGATCCTTTATGATTCCGATCCTCTATGACTCATGTCCTACCATCAAAGGAACACATGTACATATGTTATAATTCCTCAGATTTGCAATAGATTTCGAAAACTATCCAAAACTCTATTTCTACCAAATACTAAAGTCTAATTTTTAAAACTATCTCCTGCCATCATGCCGTCAGCAACTCGTGACCAAATCCTGCTGATTCCCTGGGACTCCGGCTCAGCAGAGCATGTCAATCGTCTCTATGAACAGAGAGTTCAATGCGGTTGGGATAAACAGAGGGTTGAGGGATGGAAGGAAAAGCAGACGATAGGAGAAAAGTGCATATTTTGGATTGTGAGTCAACGGTACAACACCATAACCGCAACTGCACGCTAACCTCTACTTAGACACTTCGACCCGAGGACACCCAAACTCGCGAATATCTTGAACTTCACTTCAATGCATTCCCTTCTGTAAGTATATATAAGATGGGTCTCTACGACCAACTATTAACGATCTCATAGGAAAAAGGCCCATTGATAGACACAGCCGAAAGTCTCCGAGCCAAGCCACGAACGCCATCACATACCAAATTTCACCCAGTTGGTCACATCTCACTTGACCACACCAATGAGAAGAAAGGGGACTTCGTTCTGGACCTTCCCGAAGAAGGAGTCTATTGGATCAAGACCTTTTACATTTCGAAAGCACTGCGAAGCAAAGGCATTGGACGCGCCGCCATGGACCTCGTCGAGTCAATGGCCATTGATGAACCACTATGTGCAAAGACACTGGCCCTTGATACTGCTCAGAAGGATACACAAAAGAGACTTTACAGAGAGAAAACTGGCTCGGAGTTAGCTGTAAGTTGGGATTCTGGCAATACGGAATACTGAGCTAACACGTTTGCAGTCTACTAATCAAGATTGGTATCAGAGACGCGGGTATCGATTAATTCATACGGAACCAAACTTTTATACGGATCCTGAAGAACCTCCGGTCGATGCTGTATTTCTGAGAAGGGACATTGCATAGAATCTCATTGCTAAAGCTATCGATTGCATTCTTGCCTCATAGGCTTACCTAAAGTAATAGAACAAATATCGAATGGATAATGCATGGTCCCGGCAACTGTTCTTGAATACTCGTGAGGATTATGCTTCGCATGTTGTGACGCTCGCTCTATTAAGCAAAATCTTAATGTGGGGCGCCTTTAAGGTTCAACGGCTCGTAGCGACCTCGCTTCGATGACGATCGCGAGGGAAGGGATAAGGAAAGGATCCGGGGCAAAAAAGAGAAAGAAGGTCAAGAATAAATTGTCAATATCAACACCAATACCTTCAATTGACGATATCATTGAGACCTCACTGCGAGCTAACGGCGACCGTATCACTACTTCTTATAGCCAAGATTTAGGCCCCTGACAGACATCTGGTCTGCTTAACTCAACCTGTAGAGTCGTCAGTGTACTCATAAGTGTTATCTTCCATAGATAGGTCGAATGGACGCTCAACTCTTGGGCATGAAGAGCCCGGACGTTTTTATTGTCATCATATATCGATTTAGTCGGCATCGTTAGTAAGATATAGACACATAGCTTTCTACCTAACAGCACCACAAATTGCATATAAGTAACCCTAGTCCCAAGCTCCAAAGAAACGGACAGCCTGGTAGAACGCCTCTGTTTTTGCAAAAGCCTGCTGCGGATTCGAAAGATTTGCACGAACCGCAAATCCATGAGTCGTTCCGCTGTACAAAGTTGAAGAAAACGGCTTTCCGATCTTTGTGAGGATAGCGTTTGTTTCTGCTTGCCTCAGCTGAGGAAAGATATTATCGTCGGCTAAAGTAGCGTCAGCTCCAAGTCTGAAGATGTGGGTGAAACAAGTCTTACCAGCACCAGCAATGGATATGGGTTTCACGATAGCCTGGATCTCCTCAGTCTGCAATAAACTAGGATGCGCTGTGAAGCCAACATCTGCTCCGCCCTTCTTGTCAAGTTCCCGGACCACATATCTTCCACCGTAACAGTAGCCAGTGGCAGCAACCTTGTTGACTTTGAGTTCTTGCCGAAGGTATTCAATTGCTTTGGCAACAACAGGGTCGGTCACACTTGGGGGGTACTTAGCGAGGAACTCTGTGACGTTAAAGCCAGGAGTTTCCTCGCTTGGAGCGGGTGATCCATTGAAGAGATCTGGCATGACTGTGATATATCCCTCTTTGGCAAAGTTGTCGGCCAATCTAGACACAGTCAGTCACAAGACATTTATCTCCTCACAACACCCTTCCTTACTCTTTGTTCTCTTTGAGTTTGAGGCCGTAAATGTCTGTCAGAAAGAGGACGCCAGTTCTGCTTCCTGGCTTCTTGTAGCCCAATGATTTGTGCGGCTTTGACACGTACAAAGTTACTGTTGTGAATTGTTAGGCCACTCTTCAACACGAACTCTTGAAAAAGTGAATTATCCGGTACTGACATCCTTGGTACTTGACCTCCTCACCCCTCAAATAACTGCTTTCAGCAGCTGCAGCCTCTGCTGCTACCCCAACAGGGGCGACAGACAAAACAAGCGAGAGTACAACAGCGATTGGGTTCAGAAACTTCATTTTGCTGATGCTACAGTGAACAATTCAACTACAAAGTGGAAGAAATGACGGGAGGTTGGAAGAGGGGCTTGATATAATGTTTGCTGAGCTGATCGGACAAACAGGCTAAAAAGAAAAACAAAAGTCTGTTTCGTCATTAATGGAACGTGCCTTTGCAACCAAACTTGTTCCTGGCCTGGAAATATTGGAGCCATGCAAACCTTGCCACAGGGTATCAGAAAAGACAGTCACTGGAAGCATAAGAGACAAAATTAGCTAGTCGATCCTATCCTCTTTAGACTGGTTCCTTAAGCTATTCATTTTTGAACCCTGGTCCCCGAAGTCCAACTTTTCTTTTGTCTGCTAGCTTCGATACCACGCTAGAGCGGGGTTTGGAGTCGGAGATTAATGGATTTATGCTTAATGGCGATAATGTGATAAGTATTTGCACTACTATTGGACACAAACTAAATACCTAACAAAGTATAGCTATCCACGCCTTCTTGGTCAAGTCAAACTAAGGCAGAGGAATTGACTGTCTGTGGTTGATAAACAGGCCCTCAGGATCATATCGAGCCTTGATTTGCTTAAGACGCTCATAGTTACCGTCGTACAGACGAGAGCTCCATTCCTTCTCAGTAAGTTCAGTGTCAGCATAATTGACGAAGCCGCGGAGCTTAGCACCACTCTTGACAAGTGAGTCTTCGAAGGGCTTGATAGAAGCTCTCATGTAGCTGATGCCATCACTAGGGTAGGCGCCAATTGCATTGGCGTCCCAACGAATTAACCAAAGGTTCTTGCCGTGGGCATAAGCGGTATCGCTATCCTTGATAGAGCGCGATACACCACCCCAGAGATCCATGTATCCGAACTTTGTCATGTCGGTACGGTTGAAGGCTAGAGTGGTGCCCTCAAAGAGGATCTGGGCTTGTTTGACAGTGAGAGGGTGGTCGGTGGTGGTAGTAAGAGATTGAGTGTAGAAAGATCGTCCTCCAAGAGCGCCTCCGTTGGGCAAATTCATTCCTGGTCCAGCAACAGCAACCTCGAGATCCCACCAGGGAAGAACGGTACTCTTGACCGCAGTGTTGGAGCTGATGGCCTTGAGTTTCTTGACAAGAGGAGCCATGACGCTGTCAAACGAAGCAGGGTTACCATAGAAGTATCCAGTGCCATCATAAGGAGGAGCCATGATATTCCACCGGAAAGCCCACGTGTCAGGGCAGTCCTTGCTAAGAGAGTACTCCTGGATGGCGACGAGAGCCTTTGCGCCAGCCTCGGGGGTAAGGTCGCCCATGGTCAGGGTAAAGTTGATAGCCTTGTCGAAATGGGGCTTGAAAGTCTTTGTCTTCGTGGAGAGAATGATACCAAACGAGGCCCCAGCGCCTTGGGCAGCCCAGAACAGATCGGAGCCCTTCTTAGCGTTGACGATACTTCCGTTGTAAAGCATGTACTCAATCTCAACAAGATTATCCATGGGAGTTCCAAGGAACCGAGAGGTCGTGCCGAAGCCACCGCCTATGCTAGAGCCTGTACTTCCGACGTGAGCGCCACGGACATGAGGGACGTGACGACCAGCAGTATCCCAGAGGTACTTTTGAACGGGGCCGACATGGGTACCTCCACCAAAGGTAAGAATGGTGGATTTTTTATCATAGCTGACCTCGTCGAAAGCAGCCATATTGATAACCAAGTTGCCAGGGTTTCCAAAGCCATTGCCTTGGAATGAGTGCGCAGGTCCAAGAGCATTAGCCTTGACCTTTGACTCGCGAGCACATTTCAGTGCAGAGGCGACGTCGTCACTGTTTTCAGGGAAGGCGATAGCTTCAGGGTCAGGCTTGAGACGCTTCTGGAACATTACTGTTTCCTGGGCCCAGGAGCTGTCGGTGTCGATGACATTGCGAACACCGGCTTCGTCGAGACACTTGGAGATGACATCAGCCTTGTTCTGGGCGAGGACAGTAGGAGTCAAAGAAAGGAGGGCGACGGCGAGGCGTCGAAGGGAACGTGGAGATTCCATGTTCGCTGATCAGTGAGGATCGACGATAGGGGAGAAGAAGAAGAAGACAAAATTAGTGAAGATTTAGGGTTCTTTTTATACTGAGATCTTTTGGTATAAATGGGTTTTGGCTTTTGCTTGATAAGTGTAATCTAACCGATACTTTGGTTCTATATTATGCAAAATGCATTGTGCTTTATGCATCGTACTTAAATACTACTCTGATATCCAAACAAACTGTCACTCGTCTCACTCTGTTTGTCTTGGAAGTTCCTGCTTAAAGGCCCGATATCATAAAATCGCTTCTCAATCCGGAAATTTCAAGGGGCATTTGATGCAGGTTCCAATCCAAGCCACACTTTATTTGACTTTACCTCAATTGTATATCTACCGGCAATCAACTCCTTCACCTTTCCATCATTGCCCAGTGGATCCTCGTTCCAACGTAGTAATGAAACGCTGAGTCTCCACTACTACCAGGTTCGGGGTGCCTGGCTCCGGATTTTTCGACCTTCTTGTTTTAGTTCACCTTCCGTTTCTTATAAGGAAGGGATCATAGTTGTAACTAGCTAGTCACATTTCGAATCAGACAACTTCGTGGACTTATCCGACTGATGGATTTAGCCTGTTACCCAAAACACGGATATTGCTAGTCGTAGGATGAAGCAAGACATTTAGTGCGGTGTGACACTTAGAAGGATCACAGCGTGATCACTCCATGTAATACAGAATTGTGACAGATTCTCAAAGGATGACTTGCGTTTATGTAAAAAAGTCAGCATCGAATGTTTTGAGCTTACCTGGTTATATGACAACCTCTGCATCTAAGCGAACTAGTCGAGGAACCCCAAGTCCTTCAAATAGCCCCAATTACCACATGTGAACCTTTTCCGTGATACTACTTTGAGTTTACTATGTATTTGCCGAGCCTACCGACAGGGTTCTCTGACTGGTGCGCTAGCATGTCACGGTTCCCATTATTTAGGCGTAGCCGTGGCTTCAAGCCCCTGATCGACATGGAATAGGATTAGCATTGTAATAGATCAAGTATAATAGAATGTTATGAATTGATGAGGATACAGAAGATGGTATATGGAGCCTTTCTAACAGAAAGTTAACAGTATATATCTCAGTCGAAAAAAAAAAACAAATCTATGAACCGCTTTTTACCATGCTGGTGATAGTATAAATGTCAGATAGAGAAACAAAATAAATTTATGAGTCGCCGGTCTCTCTATCAAGAGACTGGGCCTTGCACATATCCGCATAAACACCGTTCTTGGCCTGGAGCTCCTCATGCGTTCCGACTTCAGCAACCTTGCCGCCAACAAGGACAAAGATGATGTCTGCATCTCGGATAGTTGACAGTCTGTGAGCAACAGCTATCACACTGCAGCCACTCTCCTTCCTGGTTTGCTCGAGAGCTTCTTGAACCAGCTTCTCGGAATAGGTATCCAGTGCTGAAGTAGCTTCATCGAGGAGAAGTAGCTTAGGCCTGCGGATAAGTGCTCGCGCAATGGCGATACGTTGACGCTGGCCACCGGAAAAGGCTGTGCCGCGAGCACCACAGGGAGTATTGAATCCTTCAGGCAGCGACGATACAAATTCGAGGATATTGGCTTGTCGGGCTGCTTCGTTCAGGCTTTCGTCGGTTGCGTCTGTGGCATCGCCGTCCAGGCCCATCAAGATGTTTTCTCGTACAGACCCTTCGTACAGAATAGGCTCTTGTTGAACCATGGACATCTGGGAACGGAAAAGTCGAGGAGACATGTCCTTGATGTCTTGCTCTCCCACACAAATCTTACCACTGGTAACGTCGTAGTACCGCTGCAATAGAGAGATCAAAGTCGATTTACCGCAACCACTGGGGCCGACGACGGCGACAAACTGGGAAGGATTAATATCCATAGACAGGCCGTGAAGAACCTTTGTGCTTCGGCTCTTATACTTGAAGTGTACATCGTTCACGCCCACATGTTGATCAAAATCTGGACCCTTATCCTTATTGTCATCGGTCTCACAAATAACGGGCTTTTCTTCTCGAAGGTTGAACAAATAATTGGCCGCTCCCTTGGCCATGGTGAGGCTAGTCAAGTTTGCAAATAGCTGACCGGCAGCCTGTCCCGCGAACAGAACTCCCATGAAAATGAGGAAGAACTGGTCGGCACTATACTCGCCAGACGCCATAAGTTGCGAGCCGTACCAGAACCCAAGAGCCATGACAAGGAACTCAATCGACTGCGAGAATGCGTATGCAATCATCGAAACAGATAATGACTTGATAGACTTAATGACAATGCTGGAAAGTGTTTCAGAATACTGAGTGATAAAGTCCATCTCAGCAGTCAAAGATGTAACAGTTCGCAGTGAAGAAACAGCCTCGCTGGCAAGACTTGCACTCTCTCGGAATCTCGCCTCGTTGCTCTCATGTAGTCTTGACTCGAGGCGGACCTTGAAGTATCCAGATCCCATAAGTAGTGGCAATCCAGCAAATACCATCACAAGAGCGAGCTTCCACCCATACACAATTGCAAGAATAGAACTGGCAGTGACATTGACAATCATCACCACAATCACGAAAATGTTGAGCCCGAGAAGCTCCTGAAGGTGTCCAGGAACTGAGGACAGAATAGACGCCAAAGCACCAGATGAGTTCTCTGGACGATCAAAGAACTCAATATCGAGTCCAATCATTCGGGTAAACAACTCAAGGCGGTACTGGTATGAGATGGTTTGTGCGACGTGGTTGGCGATGTAACCAATAATACCATATGCTACCAGGTTTCCAAGCGCAATGACAAAGAACATGAGAGCATAGAAGTTGACATCCGAGGCAGAAGTCTCGACTGAGAAAGCAGTGATAATTCGCGAAAACAGAACAGCTTGGCCTGGCCATGTCGCCGCAGCTATACTGCAGCAAAGGGCAGATATGATGATATAGGGACGAAGCGCTTTCTGTTCCTTGACAACTAGGAATATGCTTGAGAGGATAGATCGGTCCTTGGGTTTCGACTCCTCGTCCTCGGCCGCCATGGACTTGTGAGTCTGCGTTGTCATAACACGACCCACAGTATCATCTGTATCGAATGAATCAGGGTTCTCCTTGGCAATCATGTCAGCCTTGGTCTCCTGTTCAGCCACAGCAAGATTCTGTGCACGAATAAGCCGAGCGTAATGGGAGTCAAGTGCAAGGAGCTCCTCATGGGTGCCCTGCTCAACGACCTGTCCAGAAGAGATGACCACGATGTTGTCGGCGTCCTTGATAGTCGACAGTCTATGGGCAATAACAAGTGTCGTTCGCTGTTGGGAAACGCGTGACAGAGCCTTCTGCACGATGCGTTCAGCGTTGGGATCAAGAGCACTGGTTGCCTCGTCGAGAAGCAATATTTTCGGATTCGAGACAACGCTACGAGCAATAGCGACTCTTTGCTTTTGACCGCCACTCAGAGCCCCACCCCTTTCGCCCAGGTGTGTCTCATAGCCGTTCTCAAGATTTTGAATAAACTCGTGAGCATAGCTGGCCTCACACGCTTCTTGGACAAGTTTCCGCTGCTCCTCGATAGGAAGAGCTTTTTGAATGTCGGTGAGACCCTTTGAAACGTTCTCAAAGACGGTACCCCTGAAAAGCACTGGTTCCTATAGAATATGTTAGTTGAATGGGTTAAAAGTGAATGACTGATACTCACCTGTTGAACAAGAGCCATCTGTGATCTAAACCACTTGACGTTAAGTGTCGAAACATCCACGCCATCGAGAAGTAGGCGTCCCGCGGATGGGATGTACCATCGCTCCAATAGCCCAATAATCGTACTCTTACCTGAGCCACTCGCACCAACGAAAGCCGTCGTCTTGCCGGCTGGGATGTTCAAGTTGATACCCTTGAGCACCTGTGTGTCTGGTCGTGAAGGGTAGGAAAACGAAACATTCTCGGCCTGAAGATGTCCGTTGCATGTTTCAGGAACGTGTCCTTCGTTGGAAAGAGGGTCGAGCAAAGAAGGCTTGTCGAAGATCTTGAAAAGCTCTGATGCTGCTGCTGCACCGTTGGCAAGAGCTGGGATCTGAGGGTAGAGGAGACCAATGGAAGACGAAGCAAGAAGGACAGATAGAACGACGCTGTGAATCTATAATTAGCATTCCATGGCCATTAGTAGATAAAAACTTACGTAAACACAGTACCGACGGAGTCAATCTCTCCGCTCCGATACATACGAAAGCCTTGCCAGAACGCCAAAGCATTCCCAGAGTACATGCAAAAGTATGTCGATGCGCTCATGATGCCATAGATCATTGACTTCTTTTTTCCAGTCGTATGAGCTTCCTGGAGGTAACTGTTGTATCGCTCACTCATTCTACCTTGTGCCCAAAACGTATGGACAGTTCGGATAGAAGTCAGAACTTCCTGTGCAAAGACGTTGGCTTGAGAGTAAGTACCCGTGACCTTTGCTTCAATGGGAGCATCAAGCGCCATACCGACGCCCATGATGATGAAGAAAAGGGGCACAACGGTAAGGGTAATGAGAGCCAGCTTCCATTGGACTGCAATGGCCACCACAAACGCCGAGACAAACATGGCAAGTCCTTGTACCAGAAGCGACAACTTCTCGGCGATGCCTTGGTTGATGCGCGTCACATTGGTGGTCATCTGGGTTGCAGGAGATCCAACATTGGCGGTATCGAAATACCACACCTCAGTTCGCAGAAGCTTTTCGAGAAATCGCTGTCGAAGTACTCGTGTTGTTCGGATGCCGGATATCGTGATTGCGGTTGTTGCGATATAGGCCAAGGCGAATTTCCCTAGAAAAAGGTAGATAAACCAGAGAACGAAGGAGTTGACCTCAGATTTGAAGTCGTCAGGGTCAACAGAGCCTCCGGCGAAGTCTGCAAAACGACTAGTGAATTGTCCGAATATAATAGTCATGAGCGGCATGGCTCCTCCACTCGCGATAGAACAAATAAGGGAGATGATGTTTAAAACCCAATCGAGACGGTCGGCGAATTGAAAGGCGCGCTATTGCATGTTAGTTGTGTTAAGAAGTATCAGTGGGGAGGGTTTTGTACCCATAAATCGCCCAGTTGTGCTTGCTTTTCACCGTCATCTTGTTTTGTTGTTGTCGTTGAATCCTCGACAGAAAACTTTCTCTTCTCGTTTTCCGGATCCATGATGGATGGGTGTTGGTGAGGATTGCTGTTGTTAGGTATCTAGGTAGAGGAATGAGTGGAAAGAAAGAAAGAAAGAAAGAAAGAAAGAAAGATTGCTAAAAGCTTGGGAGGCAACAAAGTAAAATCGGGATTGTTTCTTCAAGAATCTAAATCATTGTGGCACCATCGAATACTTAAAACTCTTTGCATCCTTCAATGGATATCTGTAAAGGGCATGTAATTAAGATGGCTCATGCTGACTTTCGACCATCCCTGGAGATCATCAGTCAGAGCCCCCTGTCGCATCTTCCTTATAGCGGAGCCATGGAAGGCAGGATATCCAATCGATTTGATCGCCACTAACGTTGTTAGGACATGCAACGCCCGGACCCGCGGTTCCGTGGCAGTGAGGGAGGAAGCAGTAAGCAAACAAGTAATCATAAGCTTGACTTGCTTTCTTATTCTTCTCCGAAAACCCGCCCGCCCGTCCGTCAACCCGTCAACCCGTCAACCCGTGAAAGCGACATTAACAAGTCTACAGTCTCGGACACGTCATGTCTGGTGAGGAGACTATCCTGGCAAGACGAGCTCGTCTTTCTCAGGTTCCACGAGCGGTGCGTACCATATTTAGAATATACTCTAGCACTAGTTGCAGGGCTGCAGCACAATGCCATACTAACTCCCTAATAGTGTGAAGCATGCAAAGTCAGAAAGGTAATTAACACTGAGATCATTCTATTATTAATCTAACTAAACTTGCTCAGATCCGATGTGACAGGTCTCAACCCTGTGGCAATTGCAAGGCCGCTGGTATTACTTGCCAACAAGCCCATTCCATACAGCAGTCAGACCAACGACCCCGGCAAGACAACAGGATATCACATCTGTAGGTTATTCACACAGTTTCCTCAACCGTACTAATAACAATGAAAGAGAAGAATACGTGGCGTCTCTTGAAGCTCGATTGGCCAAGGTTGAGGTTCGATTAGACAAACAGCCTGCTCAGTCATCCACATCAACACCTGCGTCCACTAATCCTCCTATTTCCACGCCTGCGGTTTCGAAACATGATACTTCAGTGTCTCCAACAGCCTCTTCTGAGCCAAGCGTCTACGATGTCGCCCAAACTCCAGTTGGAAACTTATACGAGGGAAGCTCGTCGTTTATATCCCAATTTCAGCAGGCTAGCGAAGAGATCAAACGGTCAGCAGCTGCAAAGACACCCGAGGGGCAGCAGAGTATCAGCGAGTCTTTCAACCAGTTAAACTCGATACTACATGATGCAAGTAGCAAAAAGCCGCCTTCCCATGTTCCAGCGCGGTCTATACCGGATATCACACCTTTGCCAGCATCGATTGTTCTCAAGATTATACACATAATAAAAGGTAACAGCACGCCACTGCCCTATAGCTCAATTAATATGACGTCTAATTATACCTACAGCCAATCCAACTCGCTTCTTTCCTGGCCAAGCAATGACCGACACAAAGTTGGTTGAACACCTCTGTCAAAAGGTCTATTTTCCCACTGAGCCAGTAACTCTTGGTCATATTACAAGCGTCAATGGCATCATGCGCCTTCTCCTTCGTGAACTGATCATCACCGAAGACCCTTTGAGCAAAGAGCATGACTTGGAATCACTGAAAGCACAGGCTGAACGGAACTTTCACCTGGGTCTCGAGACCTTTGAGACTATGACGGTACCTAGCTTTGAAAACGTTGTTGCCATAACAACTGCTGTAAGTCCAAAATATCTTCATATGTGATGGCATTACTGATGTAGTTATCCAGGTCCTCAAAATACAGAACGAAAGTAGACCAGTTCTCGCACGCACTCTTGTCAACGCAGGACTCAGTCATTGCCAGATGTTAGGCTACCATCGAGAGATTACCTACCAAAAAGATCAAAGCGGCTTTGCTGAAAACAAACGTCGTCTCTTCTGGACTCTATATGTCTGTGACAAGACCAACTCTATCCACTTCGGCAACGCCTCCAGGATGCAAGACTTCGAAGTCGATGCGCAATACCCAGCTATTCCAGAAGATGCAGCTGAAAAGCCATGGATTGAGTTGTTTAACCTTGTGATCAGACTTGCCAAGATCCAAGGGCTGATTTTTGACAAGTTGTACTCTGTGGCTGGGTTACAAGCACCAGCCATGGAACGTCGACAATGGATTGACACTCTTGTTGCAGATGCTCATCAATGGAGATACGACCTTGATCAAGTAATGTGTCTCTTTGCTTTCTATCGAACACCTACTAACATTCATACAGCTCGATGGCAGTCAGGTTCGCTTTATAAAGCTTCTTACCCTTAGCCTAAATCACTGGGACATCATGTATTACTCGACTCTCACCACTCTCCTCAGAGCACCGGCTATGCCTGGTGTCAGTACAGATATGACTTCGCAATGTTTCCAGGCCGCCAGGCTCGCTTTAGAAAGCCATCTCCGAGCATTCTCCGGCTACGACGGAGTCAAACTGTTTACAAAGGCAGACTATATCGATTGGTGAGTTAAACATAGATCGCTATCTTTCATCAGCTTATATGGCTAGGGCTCTTCACAATTCATCATTTACTCCATTTGTAGTGATTTTTCTCCACTCTATCGCAGCGTCCAATCTTGAAGACGTCAATCTTCTCGAACAAGTTGTAGATACCTTCCGGCACGCCCGAGAAATCCATGCCGGCGCCGAGAAGCTTTATCAGATTTGTGCAACCTTTAGTAGATTGGCACGACGTATGGTGGAGTCACGGAACACGTCCGTGGGCATGTACGACCAAAACACCGACTCACTCCAAGTAGCTGGTGTGTCTGAAAATGTGCCACTTATTTGGCCTGAAACATTTGCGCCAACCGGACAAGGACAACAGGCTACGGCTGATGCTAATGCTGATGCCTTTTTGAACGATGACATGACGTCTATCTTAGCGGACTGGATCAATGGCCAGCCTCCTGCTACGGAAATGTTTGCTATGGATTTCGGGGAGTAATTTATTTAATTTTGGTCACTTGATTAAGATATTGCTCACAAATGTACCTGCAGTTTGGGCAAACGTACAAGTCAGGCAACAGGATAAATCTCTGAAACAAACGGAATTAAGGCAACCATCTAGGACTACACACTTGAGATAATTAGAGTGAATTAAAGATGCAAGAATCATGTTGCCTTCAACTTATATCCTTACAATGCCCTTTAGTAATGTAACTTTCCAAGACAGGGCATATCAAGCGTTTGTGGTTGCCTTGAACGAAGTGGTGTCTTATGTATCTGCCTGACTAGGCAGAAGAATTGCTTGAAAGTAGATTACTGCTAATAATAGAATCAAAATGAGATTGCCTCCTCTGGCCTGGTATAAAGAGGCCTTTTAATGTGGCCATTATTGTTTTGTAGGACTTAGCTTTCAATGTGTCCTTAGACATTTAACTGACCTGTTAGTACACTGCGTCAATTTCGATAACTCAAGATCCTTCATTACGATGGCGGTATGTCTTTACAAATAAACCTCTACACTCGGCTACATTTCTAATCTTGTTATTACTAGTCTGCTTCAGGGTACATCTTCTCCGTCCCTAAAGCCTGTGCAATGCTCACATAGGAATAGGGTCTCGATTGATCAAGACTGCATCACAGCAGCCAATGCTCTTCGCTTCTCCAAAGGTCCTGATAAAATCAAATTCATTATTTTCAAGATCACCGACGACGAACAAAATGTTATAGTTGAAGAGACTAGTTCCGAAACAGAATACGAAGTCTTTCGTCAGAAACTGCTTTCGAGTGTTGACAAGAGTGGAAGACCATCACCACTATACGCAGTTTACGATGTAGACTACGATCTTGGGGAGGATGGAAAGAGGCAAGTCTAACCTCATGATGTAATGCTTTTTTTTAATAGTTGGGTTTTCAGGACTAAAACAATATTCATCTCTTGGGTACCTCAGAACTCACCTATCAAGGTATTATTGATCTGCCTCCTCAATCAAGCGTTGGACTAATAATGGTTAGCTTCGCATGCTTTACGCCAGTACCATGGAGTATTTGAAAAAGGCAGTCAATATCGGCGCTTTTATCCATGCTGATGATCAAGAAGACATTGAATGGGAGGAATTCGTCAAGACTGCAAGTGGTGGCAAGGCCAAGTAGAAGCAGGGGCTGTCCGTCTAATTTCACAAGCCTTTACAAGGGTCGTCAACTGTAACCTCGGGACATCAATTTGGATAATTGTTAGTGCCTTGACCAAGAAATGGAAGAACTTTTAGTTACCTACTTGAAACAAGATCTAGATGCATATTTCCATAGATCTGGAACAATCAAGCTTTTACTCCTCCGATCATCTTGATCTTCTGGTTGCACTAACTTATACAGGGTTAACCCCCGAGACCATGCTAGTGATGCACGACGCGATACAACGATGACGTTGATCCCCCCCAATCTGAGGTCTTTCACTCACACTCGCCACGCCAAATGTCAAACAAGTGTGGCTGGAAAACCTGGAAATCTCTCCATCTTGTCCTACAACCTACAACGTCATACTTTGTACAAGTTGTTGTAAACTTTATTTGTTTGTTTATATTATTACTCAAGTCTATCCTCCCGAGAAGCTTGGACAGCCACCTACAAAGCAAATCAGTAAAGATGCCTTGTACATTATTACTCTGTTTTATCCACGGATTCAAGGTAAACTAACATACATACAAAATAGTGGGAACAAAGCTAACGAATCTCCTCAGGGTACTGACAATACCTTTCAAGAATTCCCATATGTAAGCACCCATCTTCCACAGAATAGACACACTTTGCAGAAACTAACCCTCGGTAGGACCTCAAAAAGGCAGTCGGTAAAGAACTCCTAGACTGTAAAGTCGAATCTGTTGTCTACCCCAAATATGAGACATCTGGAGAACTCGCTCAGGCCTCAGAGGGATTTCTGGGATGGTAGGCCGTCTCGCCACAAACATTGACGACTACGGGCCCGCTAACAATTACCACAGGCTCAAGGAACGAGTGATGGATATTCGAAAGGAAAAGTCGGAGAAACCATGGCCTCCTCACGACAGAGACGTCGGCGTTGTCCTCGTTGCGCACAGCATGGGAGGCTTTGTAGCAGCAGACTCTCTCTTCTTAGCTATAAACGAAAGAGCCAACAACGGAGACGAAAGTGATCCCCTGTTCCCCCTGATCCAAGGCATTCTCACATTCGACACTCCCTACAACGGTCTTGCCCGCTCCATGTTTGTCTACGGTGCTTTTTCAAACTATCAAAAGGTCAACAGTGTCTTCAACGTCATGACAGCTATATCAGCCGCCGCACCTGCCAGTCTTGCTCGCCTAAGTGCTCGAAGAGCCGCTACCACTGCTGTCACCACCACTTCACGAGGACCCCAGTGGAAGACATGGCAATTAGTAGCCGTCAAGACAGGTACAGTCGGCGCCATCGCAGCCGGTGGCGTAGCAGCTTATATGAATCGAGAGCTCATCATGCAAGGAATGAAGAGCGTCAAGAATATCAACAAAGAGTCTGTCGCTGAAGGATACCGACAAAGCATGGATGCTCTCGGTCAAGGTCTGGCTTACATCAACCGCGGCAACGTTGGAAAGTCTTTTGCTTGGCTCTCGGATCATGTCACTTTCGTTGGTGCGCTTCTTAGACAAAAGGAGCTCAACCGTCGACTTGAACGCATTGGGTCTCTCAAAGGTGTTGGCATGCACGACTTCTACTGTTCTCTTGGTGAGAATGGTTACTGGAGTGGTGGCTACTTCGTCCCTGAGCGAACGTTCTGCGCTATTCCGGAAGAGAGCCACTCCGCGTATCCTATCTTTGAGAGATGCGTCATGCCCAAAGCCGAAGATGAGGTTGAAGCGCATATGAACATGTTCAGACCCGAGAAGCATCATGGATACGAAGAGATGACGGATAAATCAGCCGAGCTTGTCAAGAAGTGGTTCTTGAGCGAAGAAACCGTTGTCGATGATCCCAAATTCCGAGAAACACCGCCTGAAGAAACAGAAGAGACTAAAAAGGCCAAAGAGATTCTCGAGAAGGATCCAGGCGCAGAAGAGAACGAAAAGACTGAAGGTTTTGACAAAGATAAAGACGATGAGTTCCCAGACGAGTCACCCCTCGACATCGCCAACGCTGCATCGCTTGTGCCACTCCCCGACGATAAAGGAGACGATATCATCGGTGATGGAAATATCGAAGGCGCTGATACTGTCGAGAAACGAAACTACCTCAACTATCTCTTTGGTGTGGCTCAATCGGCAGGTACAGATGCCAAAGGTTGGCTGCCAAACAAGATCCCTCAGATGCCAAACCTGCCCAGCATGCCGAACATGCCAAATATGCCCAAGGTCCCCAGCTCTGTATCCTCGCTGGGCAATGTGTCTATGCCTAGTATGAGGATATGGGGCAAGAAGGATGTCGATGCACAAGGAGAGGTTGAGAAGCAGGACAATGACACCACTGAAGAGAAGAAGGATTCTGCAGAACAAAATGAATCGGAGGGTGAGCCTAAGGAAACAACAGATGATAAACAAGAGGCTGCCCAAAAGGTGGAGGCGGAAAGTGAAAAGAAGTCAGGTTAGGTGGAACATCAGAGTTGCCTGTCCTTCGTGCTGTTTACCTACCCTTTACTGTTGACACTTAATAGTCCCGCTCTATATGTTTGAGCACCAACTCCTTCACTTCAGATAAAGAATGAACTTGATTCTACAACAGATTAATAGATAGGCCCAATGAATTTGCGCTCTGTCCTCTCTCAACCGCTATCCTGCGGTCGTTGTTTTGGTTTGGTCTAAGCCTGAGTCATATGAGCCAGCACGAGAGGTGGACCTGGCAACATCCTGCTCAAATAAAGTTCAAGCCGGGGCCAGAATCTTAAAAAACGGTGAATACATTTAGTCTTGACAATATGTAGTTTAGTAGCTACGCCTGAGGTAACCCTGAACACCAATCCATAAACAAACGACAGGCTGTCACCGGTATTTTCCTTCCAAGAGCGACCGTCCATCATGGTTCACTACATTGCCCGTTCTCTATCTCGGCCATAACGAGTTTACCAAGGTTCATTCCTAACAGTCAATCATAATCCTCCCCTTCCCACGACTGACACAAGTCAACATCGACTCCTTCTTCTGCTCGTCATTTAAAGCCACACCCTTATGCTCCACCTCTCCCTTGCAAACATCCACCATACACGTCCCACAGTTCCCAACCAAGCACGAAGACTCAATCTCGAATCCAGCGTCCGAGAGTACCTGGAGAAGGGACTTCTCACGAGAGACTTGAATAGTCTGGCCTGTAGACTTGATTTCCACTTCAAATGGCTCTCCTGTTCCCGTTGTAGCATCGCCAAATTCTTCGAAATGTGCATTGGCTTTGGGATAACTGAGAGCCGTGGTGATGGTGCGACAAGCATTCATCAAAGATGTTGGACCGCAGCAGTAAACGACTGTAGTAGTTTTGTTTTCATCTTCAGGTTTGGGTATGATTTGACCGAGATTAAGCCGTTGGTCCTCATCTTTGGCATAAATAGTCGTCTTGTCGAATGGTAGGCGTTCAACATAAGCTGCATCTTTCTGGCTTCGCACAGCATAATGTACCTGTACATCTGCCTTGACACTTGATAGCTTCTCGATCTCAGTGAGGAATGCTGTCACCCCAATGCCACCAATGATGAAAATGTGTTGAACGGCCTTTGAAACCGAGCCTTTTTCCTGTTGTGCCACAGAGGCGTTGCGTCCAGAGGCGATCTTGATAACGTCGCCAACGTTCAAACTGTCATGCAAATAGACGGACCCGCCTCGCGAGTTATCGTCTCGAGAAACACCCAGCTCGAAGCGGTTCGTGTTGCCAGACACGACAGAGTACGCACGAGAAAAGTTCCCATCTGGCCCAAATCGAAGCCTTACAAAAGGAAATTGCCCAAAAACTGAGTCCTCGGCATTCCCATCGTCACTATCGACTTCAAAGACAAAGGACTTGACTCTCGTGGTAAGATCCGTTTTGGAGACCATCTTATAAGGTCGCCAGACCACAGGGGTCTTATCTCCTTCGAGACGGCCACTCATATCTTCAGCACCGTGTTCAAGACGTTTTCGAAAGATGTTCAGCATCTCTTCAGATAGGGTAGGTAGACTAGCCAGCTCTCGAAATGCCCCATAGTTATCCTGTTCGTGGTAAAGGTAGTTCTGGACACGAGCAAGAGGCCAGGTTGGATGAATTCGTTCGACAAGCTCCATCTCGTCGCCCTGCTCGATGAAGCCAGTCTTGATGACACGGTAATACCAACCCATGCGACCAGTTGACTGTGCCATGGCTGAAGCTTTCTTGTGTTGAAAACGATGGTTCAGCTTGTAGCACGGCTGGCGAGGAGATGTTACCTGGATTGTTACAGAATCCTTTCCTATGCGATAAATATCGCCGATACAGACATTGTTCTCCGACATGTGCATCGTCGAGAGATTCTCTCCAAAACCACCAATCTTGAAGAGATCTTGGCGACCGGGGAGTTCGGCGTTCCACGCATCATAGTGCGCAGCGCAGTATTGATGCAGCGCTTTGTCAGGACCGCCATGATGGATGTAGTCATGCTCGTCGCCGACAAGTCCTAGAGGAGTGACTTCCCATTTGCCTTGACGATCTCGCTTGTTGATGGCGCTGCGGATGTTTACTCCGCCCATGGGGCGGACTTTGCCTGTTCGCAAGCTGAGAAGGGTATCTGTGGGAGGGAGAGGGGCAGGACCTACAGCGGAGCTTTCAAACTTGGCGGACATCTTGACAACTGTTATTATCGGCTTTTGATCTGGGACGTGGTTGTTAACGTTGAATCTGAAGTGAGTGAAATGAGGAGTCTTTTGTTGGGTTCGACTAGGCATCCTACACTTAACCCAATCTAGCAGGTCCAAAAGTTCATTGTCATCACCAATGGCAATGGATGACTAACCTGGTTGTCCACTCTTATTAGGTATCTGAATCACTCGATTACAATTTTCCCGTCTTCTCTTCCAATCCCAAACATGCCCAGTATCTCTTGTCGTCCCTCCATCACCTGCTTCGCCTCTTCAAAGCATTGAGCAGACTCAATGACAAAGGACAGCAATCTTGTGCAACGCATCCATCTATCTTCGAGTAACCTCACAAGCTCCTGCTTGTTCTTATAAGCACCCAACCATGACTCGGGTAACTCAAAGATGTCATCAACCGTTTGTGGAAACATGTTCGCCTCTTGTTTGAGAGCGGCAGAGATCAGTCCATTGAAGCGTTTGAAAAGAAGCCCCCAAGCTGCTTTCCAGCTACTTATCTCAGCCTCAACTTTACCCTGCTTTTCTTTTCGTCTATTTGGTTGCTTGTTAGAACGATCAGTAGTTGAAAAAGTGTCCAGAACGCCGTTACAATAGTTCAAGTCGTCTTGGGCTGTTTGCAAGTCCAGATGGGCCAAATTTTTGAACCTTTGCGCATCCCAAAAGCTCTGAAGCTCCAAGAGTTCTGTGAAAAGGTCGTCCACCAGTGATGACTCGCGCTTGCTGGCCCAATCTGGGTCTTGCTCGAGCTGAAGTCTCCATATAGTGATTTCATCTTCTGAAACAGAAGGCGACTCGATCTCAACAACAACTGCGTATCTGACATAAAGATTTGTGGCCTTCTCACGCTCTTTCACCAAGAACGAATCGGCTGAGTTGAATGTGGCTAATCCTTCTTCCCTTGGCAGCATCAGGTATCTCCACTGGTAAAGGAACGTAATGATATCCAGGGTCAAAGGATATGTCGCTTCTAGGATACACGCCCTATCGAAGTCGGTGTGTTTACTGTATGTATGTCGTTTCCCTATCCAGTATATAACAGCGGCCACGCATGGGTAGACTAGCCGGTATGTAATGACGTCCTTGTCTCGAATGTATTTATCGCATACAAACAAAGTTTTGCAACCTACTATTCTCACCAAGGCCAGATAATCACTAGATCCGAGGACACGCTGTGGATAGCTTCGTATCGTTGACATCGGACCACTAACAGCAAGAGTTACCTCGCCCTGTCGAACCACTCTGTAGTGAATTTCTCGGTGGGCATCATCAACTGTGTTGTTTTTTGATAGTTTGATGAAATCTGCACGTTTCAGCTCTGCAACCTCATATCCTGATGTTATGAGGCAACCTGTTTCTGCATCAACGGCCTTGTAGATGCTTTCTATGCTTGAGTCTGTTTCGATTTCACAGGTTGAAATAGGGACGTTTTTTCGAATAGATTTTGCTGAACGATTCCAAAGAGGCTGTGATGAGGGCCAGGTAGGTAGGGATAGAGCCGGAATCCTCGCTGCGGCTTCGTCTATACCAATTTGGATATCACCTAACCTTTGTGATATATCAGCTGCGACGTATGGTCTTTGTTGTAAGTCCCACATGGGAACCCAGCTGGGGATACCATAAGTGTTGCGTTGCGTAATATTGGACAATGATTCTGAGAGCTCCAGTATCTCATGTCGCCCTTTCTTCTGGATGAGATATGCGGCAGTTCCGATGTATACCTCGCGAACAGTGAGATTATAGTCGGCTGCCAAATTCGATGCATCTTGAACATCTATTAGTCCTAGTAAACCAAAGATTTTATCTCTCAAGTCGCTCATCTGGCACAATGCGGTTGCGGCAAGAACTTGAACAAGCCCACCCTTCACATATGGCCCTATTCTGCCGATGTGATTCATCCACCAGGGGATTTCCACGCCATGCGCCTGAGCTTTAACGACAATATCCCATGTAATTGGTGTCGACTGGCCACCGCAATGCAAAATGACAGACCGAGCGAGTAAGACTTCCTGGACAACCCATAATCGAGAAAAATAAGGTCGTTGAAAGAAAGGGCCTAGCGTTACCCGTGCACGATCTCTCAACTCACTGCCGGGTGGCATTGTTGATTCAACAATACTTTGAAGAAGAGAAACAGCATTGGTTCCTCTCCGAGAGTTGCCAAGTTCATCTTCTCCAACGTATGCATGAACGACGTTTGCTCTAGAAAAGACATCGTCCATCATAGCAACTTGGTATGATCTTTCCTCAAGATCAGACTGATTAATGCAAACTGAGTCAACCCAGACAAAGATCGATTCAAGCTCTTGGCGTAGATGACGGAGAGCCTGGTGACAACTTGATGTAATCGGCAGAGCCCTGTTGCCGCGCCCGATGAATATCCTCTGGCACAAAGAAGCATCGCTGTTGGCGTCAGCCCAAGTGTATGAAAGGGCTTCATAAGAAGGCGGCTTGTCCACATCAACGACCAACAATCGACCTTCAAGTGCCTTTTCTCGAGGCGCGGGCAGAAGTTCCAAGATCCTAATATGCGAAGGCTGGGTCAATTCGGGATATACCACTTGTTGAATCTGGCTTGGCTGGTAAGACCTTGGTGTAATTGGCAAGCTTGGAAACTCACTTCTCGTCCATAAGCATCGCTCACTGTGGCCGCTTGGTGAGTGATGCCTGAACACACCATATCCTGGCTGACTTGAACTTGTTGCAAAGCTCTTCCGACATGCTCGTCAAGTGCGTCTGTCAGATAACCGACACATGATGGCCACGACAAGGGTCGAATAGCTTCATATTGATGTCTTTCTTCATGGTTTGCAGAGGAAGTGGTTGTCTCAACAGGTTCCTCGATAGGAAACTCGAGAGGACCGATTGTGCCGCAAGCTTGGCAAGTCCAGAGTTTGTCGTCGAATGGAATTGGATCTATCCGGCGGCAATCAGGGTCGTGCCAATCCATGGCAAACATACGAGAAATGAAGGTGAGGTATCAAGGCAGGCTAAAGAAAGTGGGGGGGTCAACATTTTATAAAAGTGCAGTACTACTACTACCTTAGTAGTCAGCCAAATTTGTCCAGCGAGGCTAATGCGGCTGTGCATCGCGAGGCAGACTTCGACTTCATAACAGACAGTTACGTTTCAACCAAATCCTGCTTCCTTTCTATCCCATACTCACTTTCCTCAGACCCAGTGGTATTTTCTTTTTACAACACTCTTACCCACGGCTACGTTGTCAAATGAGCCAAGCAAGTTCAACATCACCACGGCGCCGAGGGAAATATTTCATCTGCCTTAAGTGAAACATGGAGTGAATCGTATATAATTAAAGGTATATTGCTACAGAACTGCTCGCTGATATGTTCGGCCGCTCGTTATCATCAAATTCTCGCTACCCAGTCGAGATAGTCTCAGAACAATTCGACGAGGTCAAACACAACGTTGAAATATATTGAGAGAATCCCATTAAATAGAGGCGAGTTCCTCGATAGCTTCCCAATAACCATTCCAACAGATTTCGGTCTTCCAATAATTTCCTCATATATCCACAAGCGTTCAGTACGACCAGTTGCTTCCCACATCTATACTAAAAGAAACGCTGCATTCTGGCTGCTCACAGTAGAAATTATCCGTTCACGCACTATTACCCCATACTTGAATTCGATACGCCAGTTCGCCATCACTGCCCAGCTGAAGATTCCATTATTTCGCAATGATTTGGGCAGATCCCTTGCTTTCATGTCTCCTCCGCTCTCTCTCCTCTGTAGTGGCGCAGGTGGAACAGACAACACTCTCAGTGTATGAAGTTGTAGCTACTCCATAGCACCGACCGACAAAATAGTTGTCATTTCGGCTGTCGAAGGGCTGACGAGATCTTAGACCGCAGCTTTCAATAGGGCCTTGGTTGGCGTTGACGTGGCCGCAACGGCTACATTCTTCTCGCGTCTCTGTTTGCGTGCACATGGTGAATTTGTTTCGCGGGTTATATATGTCAAGTTATGTGTCGAGGCGTAGATGTTTGGAAGAGGTTTGCTAAGCGAAAGGCGTAGATCATGGACAAGGTTCTTGATAAAGCAGACTTGGAGGGTCATGTACCCGGGATATATAGCCTGTCAGCTGGTTCGCAACTTGATTTATTCTGCCTAGACGAGGCAGACGAAATTTCCCAGATCAGGCGGTGTGATTTGTTTATTGAAAGGCATGGTTACACAGACACTTCTGATCAATGATACTCCTGACCACGTATGATTATCGAGTAGTATCGGAAAGATATCGGTCATGACTTGTTTCCCTACGATCCATCAGGGTCTTCTTCTTGGCTTATCGACAGGGTTTGAACAGTTATACCCAAGTGCGTATCGTTTCGTTGTTGCAAACATATCCGACCGATCCTTGACCTTTCGAAACCATATAGAGGTTTTGATATTGTTGCTAGATTGCACTTTCCGCTCAAGTTTCACAAAGACGTCCTCAACTTTACAAGTACGAATAACAATACCCATGCTTCTCCCAAGGTATTTCCAAAAGCGTTATTGCGCAGATGAAGCACGCCACTTCACAATCAACAAACACTTTCCGGGTCGTGCCCATGGGCGACCATCCTCTTAGCCCAGTCGCCTTATTGACGCAATATTATCCATCGTAGGGTTACATGTGGTGTGGGTATCTATGGTAATTCCTTAATTTGATTGTTGGACGATTTCTATCTTGGTAAATTGCGCAGACTCCCATGCATTTCTGAACTTCCTGCTAAACAATAATGCACCGTTGATCTAGGCTTCAGATGTCGTCTTGGATATGAACAGATATGCCTGAATATAACTCATGGATCTCTGGTGATAGTCGTCAACGAAAATCAAACTGTGTTGATATCTATACGGTCGCATTGGCGGACCTTTGTGATCGGGAGGGGATCAGATCAGGAGGCACATCGTTCACTTCTTGATTTTGTCTGTCCAATGAGTCAACCAGTGTCATTGATCCTATCACTTGAAGTAAATTACTTCCCTTCCACATAAAATCAAACACAAATATTGGTCTACCTACCAAACCATCATCTGCCAGTCCGAAATCAAAGCTCTTAGAAGCATATTCTCAACCCATGTCTACATGTCTTCTTAAGCGTTCGGGGAGACAATAGGATAAGATTTGACGTGTTCCTCTCAGCCCTCTAGACCTAAAGCTATCTTGGTTGGAGTCATCGGTTAGACTTTCGCACTCGCGTTGAAAGAAACGCGGTGGCAGGAGCTTACAGGCTAAGTTTACCATGACAGAGGCAAAGATTGCAAGAGTTGCCAGGTTTGCCACTGCTGCTTCAAATAGTTCTCATAGCTGAGGAAGGAGAGTGAAGGATTAGTTGAGTTTGCAGCGCGAACTAATCATCTAATTTATATAAATGCCAAGTTAATAAGATGTTAGAAAATGTGAAAGAGCATCAACTTCTGTAATGAGTAGTCTAATGCTGGCGGCTTCTGTCGCTTTGCGTCGCGTCACAAGGTTAGGTGGTTGTAATCACACCCACAAGCCACAAGGCGTACTTTTCGGCTGAGCCGGACAAGAAAAATAAGTATGTGCCGCAGGATTTAACAGACTGATCAGTAAATGTGCTGTCAAAAAAGAGTCAACCAGATGTGAATCTTGGCCAGGTTAAGTTTTGTCGCAAACCATCTACGGAGCATTCGGCTAAGAGAGTCACTGAATGTGGAAACCTAGGTACATAAAACAAACGGAAGCGAAAAGATCAAGAAAAAGGAAAAAACCCTACCTGGAAGAAGGAGGACTTCAAAAGCCAATTAATTTTGAATTGTTGGGAGTAAGAAAAAAACAACGTGGCAGGATATGAATATTGGAGAATGCGGTGAGGGCAGGGCAAGACTTGCATAAAACTCTCGTTAATAGACTGAGGTCTGACCAAAACAAGCAACTATGTCCAAAAGGTAATTGACGAACTCTTGGGGCTATCTCGGCTGCTTGGATTTGGACACGCCGTCCGATACTGTAGATCTACCCAAGGAATAGGGATATGCAAATAATGAGGTTAAATCCGAATAACATGACGTTCGTTTCAAGCCCGACGTGGCTGAAGATAATGCATTTTGACAGCGCAATCCAGCGGTGGATTCACCCTGAACCTTGGTATAGGCACCCGAAATAGGTACCCAAAAGGAAGGGTCTCGGATGCACGGTTGCATGCGTCTGTAGGGATTAAAACAGCCATTCACAATGTTGAAAGAAGGAATATTCAGCCACCAAACAAATTCCTATTCAACAGAGGCGTCAGTCAATAGGCCGACAACTTAACAGCCACCATCCGAGAAGCTCTGCGTGATGTGAATTGTAGGTCGTACTTGTGCTGCGTTGTCAAGAATGGCGATGACGATGATGCTGATCTTGTCGTGATGGTGTGCGGATGGCGACAATTGCGTCACAGTAAATAATCCGACAACGATTACCTACCTCCATTCCCAGACCATAAATGGGTGCCTAGTCTATATAGTTACATTGAAGTAGTAAAATGGCAGAGATTAAAACTAAACATCGAGATAACTCATGAGTTAATATCCAAGACATGCATGAAAGTTTCCATCAGGTACATCTATAAAGCCCAGACCCGAGAACAGGGACGCTGGTCTAAGTTTAGCTCTGATATTTGACGGGTACCTTGGAACTCTTTAGACATCCGCTGAGCCCGATAGAAACCCCTGAACAAGAGGTACAGCACTGACCCCCCACAAGTGAACGGATACTCTAACAGTCAAAGCCCAGCATCATAAAAACCTGGTTCTTCATCTAGCGTATGATTTATTTATGCGACAGATTCAGATCCAAATGTGAGGTGAAGGTGAAGCATCGGCTATTGACGTTACAGATTGCGATGGACGATGGATTAATTTCCCCCTGTCTGCACTTGGGCTGGGCTGAAATTTTTAGTGCCTTCCTCCGAGCTTGCTCACCAAGTGGGTATCTCAGATGTACCTGCCCCCCGTAACTCCCGCCCGGCTCGTCTACCTCTAGTCTGGGTGAACCCTTCCCTTCTAAAACTTGGCCCCTTCCCTTCCCCATTTGTTTTACCACCGCTGCCAACTCAGCGCAACTTCCCTGGCTCTGTGGCCTCCAAACTCCAACCTCTCGATTCCACGATAATTCACTTGCCATCCGCTTCTCTCCTTGCTTCAACTTCACTCCTTTTCTCTCTTTTTTTGTCTTTTCCTTTCCTCTCTTCTCCTCTCCTTCCGTCCTTTATACTTTGCCAGTTCTCTTTTTCCCAACGTGACGGTGTCTTCAGCCGAAACGCGAGCGCAATGAACGCCCTACAGCAAAAGTGTCGGCCGAAACATCAGGTCCTTGTCCTAAAATGTTATCCTCGAACCGCGAAAGGAGCTGTCGATGTCAAGCCAAATAGCAGCGAGCTCAGTTATCTCTTATACTACGCTACAAGTCGTCGGTCCAAGATTCAAAAGATTGGTGCCTTTCTCGAAAAGAAGACTGCCAGTGATGTCTGGCGTCTGCGTATTGGGTACGTCGCATCATCGTCAACGTGTCAGATTCGTCAGACTCGACGTTTCTGTCTCAAATTCTCACCACAGCTCGACATTGCTACGATAAACTCGAATTTCTTGTTTGCTAACCTCTCCCCTTCCGTAGGAATGTTCAGGTCACCCTCCAGATCCTGTCAGCCTTGATGGAGAAATTGCACAAGGATTCCGTCCTGATTGCTCCATTCGTCCTCAAGATCCTCGATACCGTCCTCAGATCCGACGACATTACCATGATCGAGTCCTCGCTCCCCACATTCGGAGCCTTCTGCGATTATCATGACGCAGCTTTTCTATTAGCTGATCAAACCTATCTCCGCCAATATGAAGAGATTGTCCGGTTATATGCTCAGCTTGCTTCAACGACACCCACTCCGGGCAAAGAGTCGCTTACAACGCCCGTCAAGGTTCGTTGGAGGAACGCAGGCCTCGAAGCTATCCGCAGCGTCTCTACAGCCAATGCCCTCTCATCTATAACAGGTAGCCAAATGCATGTTATTATGCCCCGAATCCTCGAGAACCTTTGGTCCGACACCCCCGACTTCCTCGAAACCCTACACCAACGACTCGAAGAGGAGGAAAAGGTCGATACCGAAAAGCAGTTACGGCGTAGGACAAGCATTGCTACAGTCGGGACAGATGTGGCAAACGACCCTAATCCTGTTGCCCTATCCGGAACTGCCGGTGATGTCGATAAGCTCGCTGAAGAGGAAGTGGGAGTATTGGCTATGCAATGTTTGAAGAGCATCTTCATTGTACCCACACGCGCTCAGATTCATGGTGCCACCGTTTCTCTACTAAAGTTCATTCAAGAAAAGGTCGCGCGGGGCGATTCGGTGGTCGAGCTACATGACGATCGAGAACGAGACAATGGCTGGGCTATCAGCATATATGGCATTATTGCACGTTGGGCTCCCGTGCAAGATAGATACACCATTCTTGTGGCAGCCTTGGAAACGTTACTCCGAATTCCAGCACAGGATACGACACTTGATGAACAGCTAGCGTTGGTAACAATCATGAGTTCCCTCCTGCGATCTGACGTCAACCTCATTGGCTTGAGTATGATGGACGTGCTCCTAGGTCTGATCAAGCAGATGAGGAAGCTCTTTAGACTACGAAGCCCTGCCAGCCGGAGCGACGATGGCAACGCCGCTGCTGTTGAATCCGATACGGTTGTGCGTCAAAAGACCAAGCATCTCGTGGGCAGACTCGAATTGTGCATTGGCGACTTGGCTACCCATGTTTATTACGCTGACCAGATTGCCGACATGGTTTCCGCGATTATCCTTCGTCTCAAGCCAAGTCGATCTTCTAGCATCAATTCTTCTCCGGGGGGCGAAAAGAACGGCAACAACGAAGCTGGACCAGGTGCCTCCGCAATAGAACTGAATGAAAGCCAGCAGCTTGACCACTATTTCTCCCTTAGTACTGGTAGGGCATCTGGCCTCCGTGCTATAAAGGAGATTCTCCTTGTTGCAAACCCACAGAAAAAGCTTACTGGCAACCTAGCCATGTCTCGCAATCCTGTACCAATACACGTCTGGGAAGGGACCCACTGGCTTCTTCGTGATCCAGATGGCCACGTCCGCAAAGCGTATATGGAGTCTATCGTTACATGGCTCGATCGCGAAACATCTTCTGCGAGTGAGGTTGCTGTTGAAGAAAAGCTTCCTCGTTCTCGCTCATCCATCAAGATGAGTAAGGAAGCCAGCTCCGGTATCAATCGACGAGCCGTCTCAAATGCTTCTCACCGTGAGCGAGGATCGAAGCCTCGACAATCGCAGTTCCTGGCTCTACTACATCTAGTCATCTACGACAATGCTCTTCAATATGTCGACTACGAAAACGATCTCGTTATGCTCCATATTCTTCTCACCAGGCTCGTCTTGCAGCTGGGCGTGAACGCCGCTCGATATGGCCTGCCCATGATATATCGGCTACAAGAGGATGTACAAGAGATTGAGACGCCCCTTCATAAAGTCCGAATTGCAGCGCTTTGCCATGGCTACTTCTGGGCGCTCAGCGAGAAATTTGACTTTAAAGAATCCGACATTGGGAAGGCCATCGAGAGTGAGGTAGCCCGTCGCAAGAGAAAGGCATTTTGGGTTCGGGGCATCGACATGCCCCCTCCCTCTCTAGATCAAGTTGGTACCCCTGGCGAGGCACGCCCGCAGCCAGATTGGGACTCTGCTTCATTGGAAAGGGAGGAATTACTTCCATTTGACGATCGGGAGGCTCTTGTAGAGTCCCTTGCGGCACACTATCATGAGAGCCTTCGAGCCCCTCCAGGGAGCCCTGGATCTCCTGGTCGAAATCTTTCGGGTCCAATCCTTGGCTCAACTCTTGCTTCCACGGATCCGGCGGAATCGGAGGCAGAGTTGCCAATTGTGTTCCGTGAGCATATGCTGGGAGACTGGTCCAGAGATGCAGCGGCTGCCATGCTTGCCGCTGCTGGAAAGTCGGAGTCATTGACGGGATCCAAGACGGAAACTACAGGCACACGAGGTCATCTCACTGTAAAGACCAATGGCATGAACGGCAACGGGCTCGCTAATGGTCACGGGCCAGCATCACTGTATGGCAGTCAGTATAATTTGATGAGACCTCACTCATCACATGGCCATCGCGAGAGGGAACGCGAAGGAACAATCCCGAGGAACCGCAAGGGCAGCGTACGCAGTGCCCATTCACCAGCTGCCCTGTCCACGGGCAACCGAGGCACGGTCGCCTCGGTTGATCAGCTGAAGCTCGTGCTTTCGGGCAACCCCCCGCCAAAAACAGCAGCTCTGGCGGGAGACGACGACAGTGGAGACAGTATGGTCAGCTATGATTACAGTCTCTCGGATATGAGTTTTAATCCGGCTACGCAGAATGACCAGCCGGGTAGCCCAACCAGCGTCAAGCGGCCTGGCACTGCTTCCAAGCGAGGGCCGTTAAGCGCGCATCCTCCTCTTGGAGGAGCACCAAACTTGCATGATGAACGCGATGAGGGTGAGTCAGTACCTCCTGTCCCACCACTGCCAGATATGAACTTGTTGGGAGGCAAGAGAAGTCCGATTCAGGCAGTTGAGAATTCGTTCCAGGATAAAGGGAGACGGCGTAGTCTCAATAGCCGCAACGGGGACGGGATGCGGCCCAAATCGGTTCGCTCGCAAGATACCAAGACAATGGATCTTCAAGATCTTCTTCGAGGAATCGATAGCCGGCCGAGCGAGGGAAGCTTGGGTAACGTGACGAGACCTCCATACTAGGGAATATGGGCATAATACTGATAGGAGTTCAAGGAATGCTGGTATGAAGGATAATAGCGATGGTTGATTTCCAAGGGTCCAGCGATGCTGGTGTAATTTGTGAGAGCTTTGAGAATAAAAATGCAAAATGGAGATCTTCACGCCCAGTTCGAGTATATTTGTGGTGGCGCTGCTTTACTTGTGGGAATACTAGTGAATATAGACTGATGGAGCAGATCAATGACCCTTGTTGGAGATAAATTTGTCCGTTGGGTCTGTGACAAGGATACAGCCGGTTTCAGAGTTGAAGATCGGCAGCTGCCGTGTTTAGTTTGTGGTTTCTCGCATTATCATAAGGGTATAGAGTAGTTCGTACGAATGTAAGTTTTTCAGACTGGCGATGTTTGACAGGCGTCGTACAAGAGTTCTACATATAGCTTGAGTTGAGCAATACAACGCATATTAGTTAGCCCTTTGGCTGTTCCAAGGGCTCGTGAGGATCATCGAGACTCTCTATCTGTCATTGTAACCATGTCTTCCTCCCCTGTCTCGGCCTTGGCAGAGTGCACCATTTGTTCGTCTTATTTCCCGGAGCGGTCCCCGCAATTGCGAGACTCGTCTCGTTTGTGTTCATCCTTGTTGACTTCCTTTAGTGCCTGTACCTGCCCGTGATCTAAGAAGGGGGCAGTGCTTTCCCTTGTCTCTGTCTTTCTCTTCAATCTCTCGCCATCATTTCGCTTCGACTTGACATTTCTGTCCGCTCTTTTCTTCCTTTCTTTCTTCTATTTTTGTTCTCCATTTGTTACAGTACCCTTTTACTGATCAGCTCATGGTATAGGAAACTTCGCGCTCTCTTGCATAACAAGTGCCTTGAATAAGATCTACATAACAAAGGCGGGTTATTCATCTGCTCAGCCCCAATACCGGGTTTCACTACATGGCAGGGAGAACAGGAAGATTGCCCGGACAGACGAGATTAATTAGACAAATTGGCTGCGACAAACTGGTGTCGATATACACGAAACAAGCATTCGGCAAACTCGATAGAGTGTAGACCACCAACACCCTTGACAGGCTATCATCCTCTATTATAACTAACAACGAGGTTTTGAGAGAGAGCTTTGACTAGGAGGGAGCAAGGTTAAAAGATTGGAAGTGAACAGTTCTACCGCGATATCTACCATTTACCCGTTCTCTCACGAACACGGCCTTCTAGCTCGGCTGGTTTCACTTCACCATATATCATCTACCATGGCCACTTTACATCCCCCGAATGCAAATCATCCGTCCGAGTCTATTCCAGACGCTGCATATCCGAACGACTCTCCTTTTCGACCAAGCAATAACTTGTCGCAAGCCATGGTCTCTCCTCTTACCATCCCTCCTCCAAGCGCATCAGGATCAACATCGACACCATCATCACAACCACCTGTCTTCGGCGCCAGTGTCCCCGCCTACTCGGGTCCAGTAACCTCATCATCCCCATGGTCTCCTGAAATTCCATCCAGCCCACCACCGCCATATGACCCGACTCGTCCACCAGCGATATACTCCCCTCTGGAACCACCATTGTCAATCTCCTCGCCACCGCCTCAATACCCGCCGTCGACGCCATGGCCATACCCACACGGCGGATCGCTCAACGGGAGTATCAACGGCGTATCACATAAGATGGGACCGGTGGCCGCAGCTCGGGCGCGGCGGAGGCGCAAGATGCAGTTGATAGCTCTGGCGCTTTGCGCTGTGATGATGATCATCTTTGCGCTGATCATGGGTGTTCTGATGGGTATCGTGAAGTTGCAATGGAAGGGTGACGATGATGACGACTAGGATCGTTGTCGTGTGTTTTTTCTCTCTTATCATTTTTATGTTCTTGTTCTTTACTTTATGTCCTTGTCCCTTATCAAGCGGTTATCGTTGACGAATGGATCGGTGTGGCGTACGAGTAAACAAATGACTTTGTCAGAAACACAGCGTTGTTATACACGAAATATTATTCTCTTTTGTCTGGGTTGATTTGGTGGTTGGTTGATACGCTGCAGTTTGCAAGTGTCAGTAACGGAGGGAAACAGACTCAATGCATTTGCAATGTAAAACAACCATACTAATCATGAACTGGACGAGGACTTGGCATCCAACATTGGAACATGTGAATCAATATTCATACGGTAATATTGAAAGGTTTACTACGCCTTTCCACAAGATTGATAGTGCATTTGATGCTAATAACGTGGTCGGGTGTGTCGCTATTACGGATGAGATGTTGATACATCTACCGCTTGAATTCACTCGAGTTCTTGCCCCTTGCCTTGATCCAATAGCTATAATCAGGTATCTTAAATTTTGTACAACTATCAGGAAATGAAAAGAACGAGTATCGTCCAAATAAATATGAGCAGATGGAGGTTTCAAGTTGATCTCCATTGTAGATATAGGGTAGCTTGGTTCGCAAGTCTAGACACCTGAAAATTGAAAAACTACAGGTGAATGAATGTAAGAGACAGTTAACAATTGCATCTATGTTACTCTAACTTCGGGTTCTAAATCATTTACTCTTTCCACCCTAAAGCTCGAAGATCAACTAATCTGTTAACCTTCTCTGCCATGTTGGGTTGAATGCATGTAATTGAGAGACAGTAACGAAATATAGCTAACCACACAAGAGAATTTTGCTTCTTTCTGTAGTTCACCAACGTGACTGGTCTTGTTGTAAAAGGTTAGGGAGCCTGTGTTGTCAGCTTTCAGCCTCTAGGCTCCCTTGCACCCTGAAGCATGGACAACCTCCACCGCCAAGACGAAAAGCCGCCGTGGCATGCGCAGAGGAATGATGCTCACTAGAAGGGATGTGGCGGGCTGACGAACTTAAATAAAATACAATTTTGTAGATACTAGGAGAAGATTCAGCCGAGATATGCGGCGCTGGCTTGGTGGTTGATGTTGGCATAATTATGGTTAGTGAGTGAGTGTTGGATGACAAAAGCAAAGCACTGGATGGGAATAGTTCCATGACCATAAGCGGGAGTGAGCGGGAACCAGATCCAAAAGTGCAACGGGGGAGAAGAGAATTGTTCCGATTTGAGTAAGGACTCTCGTCTAGTCTCTCCAGAATGATGAGTGATCGGCAACTGAATGTCGAAAAGATCAGCCTTGACTTGAGGCTGGCTGGCCTTAGACGTTATTTTGAGTTCTGTCACTTGAACATACTCAATCTTAACGGTTGGGTCTGGACTGGACTCAATGAGATGGAGGAGGGCGGCGAGTCTTTACTCTCGAAGTCACTCTCCTGTGGGTTGGTAAGTTAGCCGATAGAACGCCCTAGATCGCCCTAGATCCACGGATATGCGTGTACAGATGGGTATCACGTTTCCGTAAATCCATCGCAAAAAGCAAACATCGCCGACGTCCCTCCATTAAGTTGGCCGAATGTGATATTGTTGTTGTTGCCTCTTGTCTCTTGGACGTCTATGATCTACCTATCTGAGGAACATATGTACGGGAACGCGACGTTTGTTTTAGCATTGCTTTTTCCCCTTGCCTTTCTTTTCTTTGCTTGTCTTACTTTGGTTATCACAAAAGAGGACACTGTTTGATCCGGTACTACGCCACGAACTGATTTTTGACGTGTCGTTGCTTCCATAGCCACGATAGGTCAAACAGGGCTGAGAAAACAGACAGTGAACGCCACTCCGATTCGATCGAACGATCCGCAGGGTCCAAGGGGGGCCAGTTGATACTATTCCTGGCCAACATCTCAGGCTGTTAGCCTCTCGGGGGTTAAGGGGGAGAGAGGAAATAAAGACTCCCATCTCGCTGTAGCCTCCGGCCGTTGAAACATCAATATGCAGTCGAGCTATCAGTAACCAAAAATTGGATTGACGTTACTCCGCAGCTTCCACTTGCATGCATCTCAGTGCAGTTCAGCGCATCATGGGTCGGTCTCCAGCCGGTGCAGGTACAGAGGTTTTCTTTCAAGGATGTTCCTAGCTCTCAGGTACCAGGCTCTCTATATGTATGGATAATATAGATCTGTAACCATTATAGTATGGATTTTAAACGTGCACCCGGGCATCAATACATTGCCAACAAGCCGTAAAGTTTCTCAGTCCGAGGCAAGGGAGAGAAGAACAACAGTGATGAGGCTTAGAGACACAGCTGCTGTTTCCTCAATAGTATTTACTTTTTCTTCCTGTGTTTGCACTGCGCCCTCGTATCGCGGCGATGCAAAAGACTTTGACCTGCATTGAATACGATGATTGTCATGACGTGGTGGATTGTTGAACGGTTCAGGTGAGAGGAGACTACCAATTCAACTAAAGATTGAACTAAAATAATGTTACCGATGACGTCGGGATGAGGAACCTGGAAATAGAAGGAAGGATCAGGGCGTGCTTGTAGGCAAATGGAAATGGGAATGAGCATAAGAATGGGAATATTCCCGAGAAATAGGGAAGGGAAGGCACGTGGCACATATCGCACTTGCACTCTCTGATCAGCGAAACATACCTAACATTCAGGCCTCAGGTTCGAGGCCTACCTCCAAGCCAAGTCTTACAAAATAAGTGCCCACCAAAAGTCCACTTCAATCATCTCATCATCTGCATATTCCATCTCCGTGCAAATCATGATTTGCATCACCCGAAACTACTTCCGACGGTGACATCAGCGCATGCCAGAGATGCCTCAATCCCAGTCTCGGCAGTCAAGCCCATGCCAAGCCACACAGACACCTCAACTCTGGGTCCTCTGGGTCCCCTAAGTCCCTAGTCCCTTAGGTTCAGCAGCCGCCTCTCCCGTTGTGCTAACGCAGCTCAGAGCAATTACGGAGAAGCGAATACAGTCGTTCCAGTTGGCCGCTTTTTATCTATCGGCACCGGGTCGCTCAACTTCCAACTCCCTAAACCGGCCGTCCATCAAATCGGAATTCTTTTGCTCCTTCGCTATTCCGGTCCCAAGGTTCAGTCTCCTGCCAAGTGGAGGGAAAGTAGGCTTCCTGTCACCCAATGATCCTTGAGCCTTCCCTTCCGCGGCGCAACAAGCTGCTGCCCCGTCCCCTGCGACTGAAGCGTTGTCTGCTTGTGTAATCCACGCCCCAAGCTGTCCGCTGTCATCCTTCCGGGTCTCCACCTTAACACCGCTGCAGATGCAACTATTCAGGGCGCTGCCCGCCATCGTCTTCCGCTAGCTCTGCTTTCTCCGAGCTACAGCAACAAAGGGCCAATCGCTGGCCATCCTTAACCATGGCGCTGGGAGCCCTCCCAAACTATTGGGAGATTCTGGAGCTCTAAATTTCTGAGAAAGACAGGAACGATCGGGGACTTCTTGCATCATCATCGTCGTGAGACAATGCCCCTTTCTAGTTTGTTGTTACTAAATTGGTTTTACATGAGTGATGCTCCTCTCAGTCTCGCGCCAGGGACTTTCAGTCTGTCAGAGGCGTCAACCTCGTCACTGTATTGACATCAACGTTGAGAATCATTGGGTAGCCCGAGACACGAACGCTGCGCAACCTGCGGACACTAGAATAGCGATTTAGATGCCTCGCCCTTGTACCAGAATCGACCGGGACCCATCCCTCAATTGTCACTATTGATGTCGCCTAGAATCATCAGGTGTCAGTCGGTTAACATGTCCCACGATCGTACCCTGAATTTCCAGGGACAGGGAAGGCTTGTGAGAGTCTTGTTCATAGAGCTTCAGCCAACCATGCTTTCTACTTGCATTGTTGCCAGAAAGCCCCTTCGTACCAACCCCAGCTAGAGACATTGTCCCTATTCAGGATCCTATGGCCGTGCTTTTGTTAATTCTCAATGTTTATCGGCAATTGTTAATGCTAAAAGATAATTGGCTGTTGGAATTCATTACTTGTCATGCCCTGGCCTTTTGCCTCTAGCGACATACCCATACCTAGGCTATTGAAGCTCGTTAGTTGCCTCGAGGCTCGTGGTTTACATACTGTCCAGTCGCTTTCATATGTCGTGTTTTGCTTCACAAGCTTATCCTTGTACCTAGCGGCGACAATCTGCCGATGATACATGGATTGACCCATCGACCTTCTTCTTTCTTTGCTCCCTGTTATTACGACTCTCTTTTCTGATGGATGATTCCCCCTCTGCCCCTCCCCCTTGGCATGCTGTTATAAAAACTCCCCTTGGCTGAGTTTTGCTTTTGCCATGTTCCTTTGGATTCTTACAGCCGTTTCGGGGAGCCACTTACTGCCGCTGTCATAATTACTGCCCTCTCTTCCCTCGATTTCCCCTCAGACGTGTCACATCCCTGTCATCAGGTGTATTATAAGTGTCTTTGTTGGCTCTCCGGTCTTGATTACAATTGCTGAGAACCTACCTTTCAACCCTAGACTGGTTGATAACATAAAACGACGCCCCTCAACCCTCAACAGACAAACAGCAAATTACAAGTTTATCGCACCGATACGGCGACGGCTGCCATCTTTATCGAATCGGTTGATAACTCTTTAAGGGTCATCTCGTCCCAACCTAGGTCCAGCCGAGCCCAGCCCGATTCAGTCTGGCCCCGGAGCTTGACGATCTTGCTTTCGGTTCACGCCAGTTCTAGAACGCCGAACCAACTTGACAACCACCACATTACGCACCACCCTTGTTGGTATTTCGCTTCTTGGTGTGTCGAGGCTTTAAATCAGCCAAAAACAAAATCGTGGTCTTTCCCCGGTCATTTCCCTCCAAATCCTGGTTTCTATCACTTCAAGCAAGCAGTTGTCTGTCCAGTCCTGCGTGTCTTTTCTCCCTAGCGGTTTCTTTCTACCATCTTTGTTTACCGATCTTGTTCTCTCCGCTTCCCCAAGAAGAGAAAAAGCTCGAGCTAGCCGCCACGGCGCTTCCCAAACTCCTGGTCCTGGGACCAAACGTGGAAACTCAATTTCAGGCATCATAAACCCTGGACATCTTTATTCGGCTCTAGTTTGCTCTTGCTGACTGACTCTGTCTCCCCTCTTGAGCTTTTTTATCCCCTCCTCCCAAAGCTCGATTTCCCACCACGCTTTTTGAGCTTGACTCAACATCTCGGCTCTGCCCGTGTCCTCCCAGCGTGTGCTAGTCTATCAAAGCGTCGCAGCACACCACGAAGCACTCATTGATCGACTTGAGATTGTGAATACAAAATATACAAAGCTGCAACCGGCGCAGCAGTCAGTTTCGATTTTTTGTGTTTTGTTCTTCACTCTCTCGTCAGTTACCTGTTCTTTGACGAACTGTCGGCCAACAAACAGCAAGGTCACTTAGTGCCTCATCCTTCCCTCGCTCGGACATCGCTTCACAGACGCTCAGTCTCACCATCACCAGCAGAAACGATTTTTTCTTGTCGCTAGCCTGATATACAGTACCATAATATCCGACACTCGTCTTCTTCGATACGCGTCTGGTCGTCGCGTATCCTCATCTTCTCACTTTTTTCCCTTTTTTACCGCCATCATGCCACGACATTACCATTACCAGCCTAGGTATGACCAATGATAAAACTCCATGAAGCTTATTGCTAATTAATTGCTTTAGTCGCGAACTCCATGTAGTAGTGCTGGGAGCAGGTTCGTCAACCTCCAGTCTGCATGCAATTCTTTTTCCCTATATTTTACCTCTCTCCTCTCATGCAATTATGTCTGACTCGGTTGTTTCTCTTTAGGTGGCGTGGGTAAAAGTTGCCTGACTGGTAAGTTGCCTGTTCTGTTCTCTCATCCCATGTTCTCTAAGTTGCTGCGCCTGCGTCCCACCGTCGCACACAATCCTACTTACGACCTTCCCTATCTGCCCTTTTGTTGCACAAGACTCACGCGAAAACAGCACAGTTCGTCCACAATGAGTGGATCGAGAGCTATGATCCCACCATTGAAGATTCTTATCGCACTCAGCTCCAAGTCGATGTAAGTATCGTGCATGGCACAAGTGCCGCTTCTTGACACCCCAACTGACTCGTTCGGCCTAGGGACGTCAAGTTATTCTAGAAATGTGAGTTTGCGCCTTCACGGTCTCACCCTTCAGTCCATATTTGGCCAAGAGCTGCGACTGACTCGATCTCTAGCCTCGATACTGCGGGGACTGAACAGTTCGGTAGGTCGTCTATTGCTCAACAGCATTCACACCTTGATCCTCGTACTGATAATAATGGTACAGTCGCTATGAGGGACCTGTACATGAAAACCGGTCAAGGATTCCTTCTGGTATTTAGCATTACATCGTCATCCTCATTGAGCGAACTGGCGGGTTTGCGCGAAGAGATTATCCGAATAAAAGATGACGAAAATGTTCCACTCGTCATTGTTGGTAACAAGGCAGATCTGGAAGAGAACCGTGCTGTGGCTCGAGCCAAGGGCTTCTCCATTTCGCAACGATGGGGCGCACCCTACTATGAGGCTAGCGCGAGGACGAGGAGTGAGTCGATCCGCCCACCCGTCGCTCTTATGCATGGGTGTCCGCCGCATTGGAACTAACAGAATACAGCCAATGTCGATGAGGTCTTTATCGATCTCTGTAGACAAATGCTACGCAAAGAGGATGAACAAAACGCGAACGACGGTCCTAATGACGATTACAAGTATGACAACGGTCGAAGTTCTCACAGACGCCAACGTCGCCGCCGAAAGAAGGATTCACCGCGATGTGCGATCCTTTAAAACTTACGAATCACCGTTCTTAAATTGATGACCACTGGATGGCATCCGTACATTGGAATCCTTCACTTCTTACCCTTCACGATTTAGGGCCCTGGAATTTTTTATTGTTTTTTTCCCCTAACCTCCCACACAACCTAGCATGTATTACGTGGATTACGACCATTGATAGGAAATTGACCAAGGAAAGGTCTATGGAAGGACGAAGTACACAAGAGGCCTCGCGGTCTTACACGAAATGAAACGATATTGGGAAGAGCGATTGACCGCTGGATGGGGCGGTAGAACCAGATCGCATGTTTGAAACGATACTGGAGCGAACACATGATAGGACGCATCACATCAAATCGAATACACCACATGTCTGAATCAAGTGACGGGTGTCGCAGGTCGATAGGGGCCCTCTCTATATATGTGCACATTAAGGCGTCAGTGGCGTTGGATATATGACCTGGGGTAAGGTCTGCATATGTTGTTTGTTTCAGGGGTTGGTTGATATGGACATTGGTTCAGGTTCGCTCGACGTTGAGAAACGAAACAGAAAGACATTGACACAGGGACATGCATCTTGACATAAAAGCGAGAACTGGTGGGGATAGTGACTATACGATCACGGTTATGCTAGCGTATATACTACTGATCCGAGTACCAACTACTATTCACCATGATATTGATGGTTGTCAATCCAGTCACGTTCTCGCTCCTTTCTGTCTCAGAAACCCTGGTCAACGCTAGACCTCTGCCCTGGTTTGTTTCTTCGTATCTCTTGGATTATTAAAGTCCAGTGTTACCAACTGTCAGGTCCTCTGCGAGTCATCACCATTGCATGGACTGTTTGCTGTGTTTGGGCTCACAAACAATCCATCGCATATACAGGTAATAACCATAGGCATACCCTGTCATTCGCTATCTAAGATTGTTGCAACATACAGGATGGGTTCCGATCATATGTACCATGTTTTGTGTACCTTAGTCATGCCAACTCGCAGGATCCAACGCCAATCTGAATATTCACTGCACAACCAGAACAGCTGCCAACAAACCAGCAATGGGGCGGGAGGGCTTGGGACATTTCCCAAGTTTACTCAAAGGAATCGTCGAACGTCGCCACCATCATTATCGACCGCCACCCATCGCTTATTTGCGACGAAGCATGCCCCAGATGTCGGAGACGACACCAAACCATCCTTTGACCCTTTCAGCAGCATTCAGCAACAGAATATATCTCTTCACGAATGCGTCGGTGTTGTCGTAGTCACCAGCATAACACTCCCACGCAGCTCGACCTTGTCCATTGTTCTCATGCTCCTGAACGACCATGAGGTCGTCATCGTCCTCAACGCCCTCGACACCGGCCGATTTAAGCTTGGGACCAACGCAGAGAGCACGACCGGCAATCTCTTCGTCGGCGATGAGGCGTGTAGCAGCGTCGATGACATCCTCGATCTTGGCTCCGCCTGCAGTGCCAGAGAGGAAGGCTACCTCGACGGGCAGCTTGAGCATGTTGGACTTTGAGACGTAGTAAGGCGTGATCATGTTCACACGGACACCGTTCCGGAAAGATGTTGCACGGAGAGTGCGGAAAAGGCCAAGGATGGCATGCTTGCTCATCGTGTACATGGTCTGGGTGGGGAAGGGGCAGAGGGAAGCGAGGGAGCCGACCAGAAGAAGGCATCGATCACGAGGGGAAGATCCATTCTGAGGCAACCAGTAGAGGGCGAGGTGAGTGGTGTAGGTAGCACCGGTGATATTGACATCGAACTGTTTCGTGTCGGGCTTGGGCAAACGGCCATTCTTGAGAACAGGCTCCTCGAACTGAATAGAAACGTCGGGGAGAATGATGCCCGCGTTGGGAACAACAATGTCGATTCCACCATGAGGGCTGACATGAACGGCCGTCTCAAATAGACTGACCTGGGACTCCCAATCAGTGACATCGCAGTGTTGAAAGGCAAAGGCCGAGTCCGGATATTGAGCTGTGAGTGAAGCTACGAGCTCCTCGCCAGCTGCATCGGCAACATCGCCAATGATGATATTTGCGCCGTGGGAAGCCCACTCACGAACCATGAAAGATCCCAGTCCATTGGCGCCTCCGGTAATAACAATTGTCTTGCCCTTGAGAGTCGAAGGGTCGTAGGGCCTGCTCACATCGACGGGCGGGGACTGGCGGATGAGGCCCTTGATATCGTTTGTGGGTTGCATTTTTTGATGATCCTGGGGTTTAGTGTATTGAGAGAATGTGGGCGATCCTTTCGGCAGATGAGATGATACCCAAGAATAGAATACCTTAGTAGTTGCAGTAAAAAAAGAGTGCGTGTGAGTGTCGAATACGATTTGCTGGCCCTGTCAAATCAGACGTATCCGTAGTATTTGTTTAGCTTTAGCTATCAAGCCGAAAGCCGTTTGGTCAAAAATAATCCTTCAGGTGGAGTTGAGCTGAACCTCTTTTGCAAGGCCTTGTCAGGTTGTCTCCCTTCTTTCTTGACAGGTCCCGATAAATTAGCTTGCTCTAGCGGGGTTAATCTGTGAAGTTGATATATCCACTCCAAACGTTTGCGATGATTGTAAAGAGTGCTTGCGACTAAAGATAAAGGACTCAAGGCTGGAGATGTTTTGGTGCAAAAGGAAAACAATCGGATTATAGGGATAAACTTGTAGTATTTATCCTTTAGAGATCCCTGTTCTTCTCTGCATTCAATGCTGTGCGTGCTGTGCTGTGATGTTACTGTCTACCTATGGCAGTGACTGACAGGCACCGCACGCAAAGATAAACTTGACAGTGAAATGTGTGAGCATCAACTCCATTCTGTATACATCCAGCTGGAGAGTAGTACATGTCTTAAAAGAATCTGTTGCCTTATAGCTCGTGACCTTTGATATCCCCAAGGCCAGGAATTGGAGCTTCATTCCTGGAACCTCATCAACAAGGTTAGACGAGAGTTAATAGATTACAACTCAGAGAAAGGGAGGTGCGGATGTCGTTCGATTCAGTAGTGGCCAGTGAACTAGTGCAAACCGTCAAAATGGGTTACTCTCATCCCTCTCGATACCCTGACCGCGGCTACTCGGAGAGATGGTCACCGTATCATCGAGAACGGCTGTCTCGGTGCCTCAAAAAACGACAAGGGTCAAGCTTTAGGACGAGACTCTTCTCTTGTCAGCGGCGTTTTTACGAAGGGATGAAAACAAGTCACATGAAAGAAAAAGGCTGGCGCGGGAGTCGATCACATCACCCAGTAGGTATAAACGAAACCCGAGTTTGTCTGATACAGCGCGGCTTCCATGAGCTGCTTGTACATATCTGGATCGGAAAGCCAAGATCAAGGCTCTGCTTTTTTCCCATTGCTTGTGCAAGCTACAAAAGAAAGTCGACGAATGCACTCAAGCATACCAGCATCTGTGCATATGTCTGTATGTATGTATGTATGTATGTACATACTGTACTGGGCGACTGGTTTGTGAAATGATGCCCGGGAAGTGACGGGCTGTGGAGGCCAGCCTCCAACAGGCTGGGATGCCGGGCGGGTCCTGTCCACTGAACTTAGATGCCGCACCAGGAGACCCTTGCGACGTCGAGCATGGCAGGGGTTGGTTGACTCTCCCAGGGCGATCAAGGGACAAGACAACTTGTCAGTGAGAAACAGGTTTAATATCCCCTTCCCACTAAGTTTGAGACATGGCAATGTCTGTACCCTCACGAAGCAACAGACGACATCTGTCATAAAGCAAAAAAAGAAGAAAAAGAAAATAGCTGCTAATGTTGGCGACAAGATGAGTGTAAACCTAGGGGCCTTTCGAATCAATGGATCTGACCCTGTTGTTGTCGTACCTGAGAACATTGTGTCTAGCCACAACCCAGTTCTCACGTGGTGCCCGTTAGATTGTAAAGTGGCTCTAAGTGATCGTCCAACAGTGCGCGATTGTGCCTAACTGAAATGTGATGGCGCCCTAGCAAGAAGGCAACGGTCTCTGGTGCAGAGATCAGCGCTTGGGCGGGCGTTGATCTATTCGGCATCTACACATAACTATCCAGTTGCATATTCGCAATATATCTTTTCAAATAAATAGTTCTTTGATGAATAAAAAGTCGCCTGGTCATTAATTCTGCAACATGGCGCTTAGTCGTCTCTGCCTTCAAACCCATCACATCCTGCACTGCGAGGTGGACAATACGTAGTTATGTGCCACCGCGAGGCTCTCGTCACACACTCCTCCGGTTAAGCCAATCAAGAAGTTTCTGGTGTAGGGGTGCGAAATCCTACTGTTCAGACCTTTCTAGAGGCAGTGCGGGTTGGTCAAGCCCAATCGGAGGTCCTGCTTAACGACTAAAGTCGAGTTAACAGATGAACGACGATGCAACCTAGGGTCGTTTATCCGGCAGCACGGGACACCAGGAAGAAGGTTGACTTCCGAGCAACATCTTGCTCGATACTAGTCTAGAGTTGCACATAACTCACAATCATGGTACTATGCTTTGTATTTGGCAAATTCAGTATACATTCCTGTTTGGTGAGCAAATAACAAAATATCCTTACTAAAGGTAGCGTGGAAGACCTTTCCAGCCCAGGGACACAGAAACCTACATCATCTATTTAATACACCACATTGTTGCTGCTGGAGTCTGCCGTTATTGCCAAATCTGTTTCGATGACGAACGTAAGCACACAGCCATCAGCTCATTCTAATGATATCTCCAGGATTGCTTTAGACGGTAGACCATGCCGTAGCGTTGAGAGGAGCATCGAGGTGAGAAGTGCAGGGATGACGATGAATCGACGAGGCTCTGCGTCTCTTTTACCCACAACCCTAAATAGTGAAAGCGAGTTCCCATCGCATGGAACGGGTGACTATTGCATTGAGGAGACAGTCAACTCATGGTGTGTTATGGACATGGACCTGCCAGGCTATCGGCGGCCGAAAGGTGAAAAGTAAACATTCGAAGACGAGGACAGGGGCTGCGGAACAACGTAGGTCTCACCAAATAAGTACAAACGAAACCGGCTCCAGTCATATTTCCCAGGTTGTGTTATGTATATCTATGTTGTTTAGAACAAGAGGCTCTCAAGGCTACAGTACCGTCCTTCCATGGTCCACTGCGCACTGATCAAACGCTTCTATTTCCTGTCATCTTTGCGTACCATTAGATCGCAAGAATCAGAGAATTAGATCCAAGGCACAATGATATGCCAAGGTCCACTGTCCGTTTCTGACCTGCATTGGCATATTTCACATGTATGGGTTCGTGGGCTGTCTACAATGTTGATATTGTCGTTTCGTTTCTCTGTCCAAAGTTCTACTTTTCTTCTGGTCGTGTGTGAGCGGCCGCTTGATCGACCCTAATCCCCGGTAATCTGAAAAGAAAGGCAGTGGATTAATTTTTGAAACCGTATGCAGGCGAAATATCGGTAACCTCTTTCCAAGTGGTGTTTTGTCACCTTACTCTACCTTGACCATGTCTGATGGGGGAACAGCAAGACATGCCTGCCAATCTTCACACCAAAAAGCAATCTTGTGTGTTCAGTTGGTGCAGCTACCCAATTAATGACTGAGTCGTCATACCTGTTATTGTTCTACACAACCACATGAACAGACCCCAAATTCCAAAAGCACAAAAGTCCTCGATTTTGGGTTGCTGTGTCCTCGATCCGGATGGTTTTGCCCAGAGAAATGCGATGAGTCTTTAGCACCACTGTGTTAGTGAGTTCTGCACTTGTTGGTGTTGGCCTTGTTGCGATGGTACAGGACAACCACTCAGTCGATAGGATCCGTCAGGGGGGGAAAGTGTGTATGCATCTATGGAGGTGGTGGTTCCGGTTACCCCTGCCAACAGACTGCATGACTGGCTCACCGGCTGTGTACCCCTCCCGCCCGCGGCCATAGCCCTGGGTGGTTTAGCACATCAAAAGAGTGAGAGCTTGACAAGCAAGCTTTGGATGCAACAGAAGGATGTTTACGATGTCGCGAGGTCGGGGCATCCGGGACATATGGAGGGTAAAGACGTGGCTCCTGTCGGGATAGGACGCCCCAGAAGGTAGGGCACCTCGGAGGGAGATTGTTCGTATGCTGATTGCTTGACGGACCGACATATCGGTCGGTCAGAGCTCGTAGGTTTCACATCATCAGATGCAAGCTTTGGTTTGGTAGCAGGCAGTATTCCTCCCTGCCTGTTGTGTCGACATGGTCTTACCACAAGACTCTCGGACAAGAATCAGGCTGGGTTTGTAGCACAAGGTTTGTTACAAACCCATTTGAGGTGCAGATTGACTTAGGCCATTTCCAGCCAGGCTCGCAGGTAGTGTGACTGTGGCTGCTGTATTGCGTTCTCAGATGTACGGTTATTGTAGAGCAACTTGGTACTCAAGTAGATTGGTAAACAAGGTGCAGGCTTGAGCTTAGATGCTTGTGTGACAGCGACAATGACGACAAAAAGGATGAAAACAACGAGTAGCAGGCCAAACATTTTTCTCGACCCTGATGATCTGTTTGTCGAGGGGCAGGGTTGAATTAAAGTCTCAATTCATGCCTGGACCCTTGGGCTTGGGTTTCAGGCTTAGGCGCAGTCGCGTCACCTCCCGTGCTCGAGGAACTTGCATATGCACTCACGGATAGATATTCATAACCAAGCCAGTATATATTATATCGGGGAGGAAAGAAAAAGAAGAAAAGAAACCTCGTCTCTGGTTAGAAATTACTTGTAATTATTCTGTTGTATTGTTATCACAATATTGCTTTTGGCGCTTATACCTAGCTACAATGTCGATGTCCCTCATAGAGTTACCGAATTGCTGCCAGACCATGAACATATGGTGGATGGAAGTAGTCAGATACCTAACCCAAATTGCTGTCCCACTATTTTTGCTCTGTCCTGTCGAGTGGGGAAGACAAGTGCCAGCCATTCATTCTGGGTTTCATCACCTCAGCAATCTTTTTTCAATCTCAGATCTTCTGACCTGTTTCTTAGTTTGCAGGCTTATTGACATACATTCAAATCATTTTACCCAATGCAAGATCAAGATTATACTATTAGGTAAGCTCAGTTTACTTTGGGCAATGTCACACTGACGCCACTAAGAAAAGAAAAGAAAAGAAAAGAAAAGAAAAGCCTATAGATGATAATTCTTTCTACCGAGTGATGCAATTCAATGTTCACTTTTTGCTTTGTTTGCAGGTGAGAAATCTAAGCTACCAAGGCAAACATGCTAATAGTAGCCCGGTATTACATCACCTGCCCCTCGCGTCCGTGTAGCTAGTTTATCGCTTCTCTGGTTCGCCTTCAGGCGCTGCACTTCTGACCCTCCAACCGTTTATTAGTCGGCATTTTGCTTCTTTGATGCTGGTTGTTGCTTCTTAGCGTCAGTCTTTTCATCTTTAGCGTCTAATACTGCCCGTCTTCAATTCTCAAGCAGTCATCTTGCTCCCCAGACAGGCCCATTGTACTATTACCAACGAGGAAGCGGGACTGTCTTTTGTTTTAACTTTGCACCACTCCCATGCGATCGAGCTCCGATTGGTACGATAGCCTTAAACGACCTTGACGCCAAAATTGCGCCCACCCCTTGTACAAACCGAGCAAGCTGTTTACACTCCCCCATACCCATAATCATAGTCATAGTCATAAGCCGAGCCGCTCTGTGCGCTCTCATCGCAAAGGTTGCTTCCCTGTACGAAATGCAATTCTGTCTATTGTCCCGACAAGGTCGAGAAAAAGGTTCATGGGAAAGTGAGTTAACAGTTTCTTTCCATTTTTTAGACGCGCCATATTGTGACGTGTTATCAATATACGCCGAGAGCTGGTTGCCTTCACTCAAACTTTGTCGTCCCCTCGGTATATTAAGAAGTCATCAACACCTCCCCGCATCCCGATTTTTTAGTTTCCAAAACACACACGCTCTGTCTAATGTGTCCGTAATATCACGATCATTCACTGTATGTCATCGATTGATCGTATGGACCCTGACAATAGAGGCTAACTCAACTATCAAGCACGTAAACAAAGGCTGAAACAAATACGTTGGTCATCATCATACATGCATCAAGCTTACTTGCTAGGCCAAAGTAGCATTCATTCTGTTATCTACATACAGACTTTGAGTGAGAGCCTGATCGGTTTATCTTGTGCAGTCTTCCCCTCAAGGGCCGACTTATCACCACCAGAGCCGAACCACTTTCTCTGGTGCATTAATCAACAATAACATTGGTACTCGAGACCCAACGAGGGTCTTTGAAGGCTACCTACTTGGCTTGCTAGTAGTCTCATCCCAGCTCCCCGCTATACCCCATTGGTATAAGCTCTCCTGAACCCCTTGGCCCCCGGACTGATCCCCCGGAGACGCATTCACTAGCAAGAAGCCCGTGTCTCTCCAACACTCACAGACGAAACGCATATTACAAAGTGCCCAGCCCAGCCCAGGAACAACAGGGACAGGCCCCGATTTACTCCATCGATCCAAGAACTTGGAAGCAACCCAAGATACGGAATCGATCCTCAGCGCCCGGACCAAGCACCAAGCACGAAACAGAGGAGCAAGCATGAGCTGAAAGTGAATTATTTGCTACTCAGACGACGTGCAACATTGATACCAAAACCAAAACCAAACTTACGCCCGTGCCGCACTGACAATTCTAACTCTCGCGGCCGTTACTCTTTCCCCTCCGCTGCCACCCTCTAAGTTCTTACCTCGAACATCTGAATCTCCAAGGTAAGTGAGGACCAGTTCCATTATCTATCTCCATCACACCTCCCTCCCTCCTCCACACCATCTGTTCTGTTCATTTCATTTCATTTTATTTCATTTCATTTCGTTCCATTTCCCCGTTCCCCTTCTTCATTCCCCATCATCGGTATTATTCTGCCACCCTCCTTCATAAGAAACAGGAGCCGAGCATCCACACACACGCACACACTTGCTTGTATATGTGCTCTCTCTACTATACATGCACAAGGTTGCCTTTTCTTGCGCGCTCTTTTGGGGCCCAGAATAAGTAATTCCTGCTATCGCTATATCTCTAGGGGGTGTTCCGCCTGTCCCGTCGCCTCGTTGTTACTGCTACGCACCGAGGCCCTGTTTCTATTTGCACTCATTATTCATTCTTCCTTCATTCCCGTCTCCCCTCTTTACGCAAGGTGTTTAATGCTCCCTCGTTTGATTCAGGTACCAGGTCCGATTCCCACGTTCTTTCCCTCAGCGCACCTCTTGTCACATACCAGCCATTCTGGTCTTCAGAACACCCATACCTCCCATCCCACCCTCTTCTCCCAACAGGCACTACCACTGCCACTACCGTTTCTACCCTACCTAGCGACTTCCTGCCGCTGACGGATGGGGAGTTTCTGGTGCCCTACATTAACTACAACGGCCCCCCTCCCTCATCTACCCAACATTGCATCTTGCACCACACCTGCTCACTGCGACAAACTGTCTGTCGCACTCTTTTTCACGTCATCTCAACAGCGCATTTTGTCCGTTCCCCTGCTAACACTGCATCGCATACATAGGAAGTTTTTCTTCCTGTCCTCACAACAGTGATACACACATTCAATTGCCCCAAACCTATTAATCGTCCGACTGCTCGTGGTCTGACATTACTGCGCAACCGTTCACCTCGATCTTCGCTTCACGTCCCCCGCGGTCATCGGACACAATTACGCCCAAATACTGGCGGCTTCCAGACAATCAACATTTTCGTTAATCTTTCCGCGTCCCAAGTCCCAATAGCGCGACTCGCCGTTCATTCTGCGATTACGACCGCGACCGCGCTTTCCATCGCGACGACTGAGACCACGGCATCCTCTCTCTTCACTGCCAGACCTTGGCGATTACCGCATTCGCTTGACTTCACGTCGCATTGTCCCAGCAAATCGAGATCTACTCCGACACATGCAGCCAGGCAGTAGGCGATGAAGGCTTATCGGACCGCACCAACACCCGACCCAGCAAGGATCGTATCTCCAACTGTCGAACATCTCGACCGCGCAAGTCCCTCTCCGCCGTTTACTGGTTCAGCAAGTACCAGAGTCGCGGACACAAACTCACCATTTGCCACAAGTTCGGCGGCGTCTACCGCGACACTGCCAGCCATGACTATGACTAGTTATCTTCCCACAGGCCACGCCTTTAGGCCGACCAGAGCCCCGGGATCAACATACACTTCGACCATGCACGAGATCCCTCGATATGGAATGGCCGCGTTCTCAGGCTCTGTATCTCCCACCGTATGTGTCAAGATTCGGTGCCTGCCACTCAACACTACAGAGGAAAGCCTGAGGCTCATGGCCGTTTTCTCGCCAGAACTCGCTGATGTGGAAGTACTCCCTGTGGAACAATCAGAAGACAGCGGGTTTCGCTCCGCTCACATGCGATTCCGATCAATGGAGGCAGCACAGCAGGCCAGAACTATGCTGGATGGCCGTCCCAACATTTCCAACAGCGCCCAGATGATTGTCGAGATCAAGTCCGATACCTCTCCATTCGCGCAGCGATATTCCACTGATCCTTTACCGGCGAACAACTCGAGTTCACCGGCTTCGGCTGCGTCAGCATCATCTGCAATTGGACCAGGTCAGGCTTCAAGATTCAACGGTGGTTTCCACTCACTCGAGAGCCTCTCCCCTCAAACAAACCATGCCTACACTGGACACGAACTTCCCAAACCGAACTCAAATGTTGATTTCAAAAGCATGTTCTCCCCGCAATCCCCCATCGGTAACCATCTGAATGACCATGGTAGAATGAGTGGAAAGGACCTCATCGCTAATGACTCTGTTGACGACGAAACGAGCAATCTCTTGAACGACCCTCTGGCGTATGCCGACATCAATAACACGGCTCCTCAGCGCAGGGCTACTGCACCTCAAATCCCCATCACTGGTATGGCTTCTCTCTCACTAAACACGAGCAACATGCCACCATCAGCTCCCTCATCTTTGCCTCATTTCAACAGCGCCATGTCTGCCCAGCCAGGGCAAATGTCTCCCTTAGACAAGGGTGCCTTCAACCGTTATCAACCAGCCCACGCCCGACAAGCCTTTCCGCCAGTGAATCCAGCCGATCAAAATCCCCCCTGCAATACCCTCTATGTTGGCAACCTTCCCGGCGACGCGTCCGAGGAGGAGCTAAAGCGCATCTTTGCGTTAGCACGTGGTTACAAACGCCTCTGTTTCCGAACCAAACAAAACGGGCCCATGTGTTTTGTTGAGTTCGACGACGTCACGTGTGCTACCAAGGCGCTCCACGAATACTACGGGACAATGTTACACAACAGCACTAAAGGCGGAATTCGTCTCAGCTTCTCCAAAAACCCGCTCGGTGTTCGGTCTGGCCAGGCCCCTTCACACAATAATTCCAACACAATGAGTGGACATCTACCCATGCCAGGCTCCACGAATGGTTTCGTGTCGGCAAACAGACCACCTCCTGGACTTGCTGCACCTCCAGGGCTCGGAACTGGCCGTTCTCATCACTACATGGCCCCAGGTCACGGTAACGGGGCTTTGAACAACATCGCAAATTATGGCTGGAATCCGCCCATGTATAATGATCACGATGACTCCAGGAAGAAAAGACCTGTGTTTCCTGGAAGCTACAATCCTCGCTACAGCAACTACATGCTTGGAAAATAAGACCCTGGAAAAACAACGACGGCACTTTTAGCAACGTTCGTCTGTTTTCGTTTCCCCCTTCTTTTGTCTTCACACTTTTTTACATCACTTGCAACATCTGTTTATTTATTTTACAACGATTCCCCTTTTCCTGAACATATCTGCATTCGCATCGTTTACATAAATGGAGTTGTCTTGGTTTTGTTTCTTGTCTTTTTATCCCCTTTTGGCCGAGGTTCACCAGACTTCATGGTGGCTTTGCCATCCTTTCAACAGAGCGCCTACGCAGCTGAAGCAACTGGGTGTTTCTTTGTCATTTCTGCTCCGTCAGCCAGGTCGGTAGTCATTCACCCTTATCTCGATGTCTCGGTCTCGGCCACAGGCGCCGCAAACCGACAGACTGCTCCCGACCTGGACTTGGCCCAATATTTTCAAGTTTGTTGTTATCAATGTTCTTGGTTGGTTCACGATTTATGGTCTCGCGAGATAACAAAGAGAAAAAGAAGAAGAGAAAAATATACCCGAACAAGTTGTCGTGTTTTGCGACAGGATAAAACGCCCTTTGCCACAGGGAGGCGTAATTTTCAGGGAACGCGAGGCTTCGTTCGAATTCATTGAGTTCTTCTCAGAGCTGGGAGTTTATTTGGGCTATTCCGGAAAGGCAGGGAATGTTGGAGCACGGAAGATACTGGAGCGGTCGCCCCGCGTCACATTTTGCATTCGGGAGGATTGGAGCATAGGATTTTTCCTATTCAAGTGGATTAGACGACTTCACGAAGAAAAGGGTTCATCATACGCATGCATACGAAGATACCATTAGCTGGCGATCCAGCAAATCGCCCATGCACGATGGCGGAGTTACGTTTTTCGGTCATTCAGAACGGAAGCTGGCGTCTGATCGTTTATCTCCTTTTTCAAGATGCTAAACATGCCTGGCCAAGAGTATTCGCGCGAGGCAAAAGTCTTTGCTCTGGCCTAACACTGGCCGGGGTCTTGTCATGGTATCACTCACATTTGAACGGAAAGGGATTGCATTGCATTGGATGGGATATTATTGAATGGGAAAGGTTCTGATAGCGATATATCCACTAAGGCAGCACTCGGTACGGTGCAGGGAACAGGGCGTCTCTTGTTTGTTTGTTTGTTTTCCTCTTTTCTTTTCATTCTTTCTGGTATTGCTACACTGGTTTTAAGGGGTTCATTTTGGAATACCGTATCAACTTACAAAATCCGGTAGCGCGTTTTGCTACAGTGTAGCTGCAAGTAGTCACATAGCGCAAAAATCTAACAAATGCACCCTATAGCATCCTAATACTTATCGTTACAGGCGTGGATTATTGACTCAAAGAAATATAAGCTTGCATGTTTGTTGATCTTGACTTGTGCTGAATTGCAACATGACGCATTACGTTGTTGTTCCTTAGTAGGTAGTTATACTTTGACCGCCTATATATATATACATGGCTTTTTGTGTTGTGCGTTTAAGTAATCGATTGAAAGTAGTCATAGACTGTGTTGGGTCTTGAGCCGCATCATACTGTCCAATAAAGAGCTCAGATAATATCCTGCAGAGGCACTACTTACATGACCATGGAGTCTATAGGCTATTGGTGTTTATATTGCAGTTTCTCGTCGATTTAGCGCGTTCTGTCAGCTTGACGTTGTAGCTACCACCTGGGGGATACAGGCATTCAGGTTTGAAGCCGATGATATCCTTGCCAGCGAGAAGAAACATGGGTGCATGCACCTCGTCTATATCATGCGCAGAGTCCTAGACTCTTGATTGTTTGAGTATCGGCCAACATCACCGGTGAGGCTTATCCATCTCGATGAGCCCGGCTATTTAACCAATGGCTACGAGGCATCCACGTAAGGGCGATAGCAGAATGCTGACAGGGTAGGGTTGTATGCATGTGGCTAGACTTCTTGATTATGCAAGTTAAAGTATAGTCGGCGCTTCAGTCTTGAGCCGAGGCGCCTCTGCTGTGCCTGTCTAGCTGTTCAATACTATATTGTGCATGTAGTTAGTTGGCAGTAGTCATGTACGTAGGTTATGCCTGAGCTCGTGCTTGTGTCACGCACCCTTCTGCGTTTCTTTACACGCTCGGTAACCGGTGACGGGAGATTGTCCAGAGAAAGTGTTTACCGATATGCATCTGCCTTTGTTCAGAGCTTGGGGTTGATGGGGGGTTACTGTTACACTCACTACTACACCCTGCGAAGGTAGGGTAAGGTAAGTAGGTCGAGGCAGAGCAAGGTAGGTAGCTTACCCACGTCGGCGGGCCGAGCCCTTGGACGGGTGGACGGGACGGACGCGAAATCTTGAAACCACGAGCCAGGGGATTGAATATGCTGTGTGACATGAAGGGTTGTCATGTGGGAATAGCCGATATCTATGTAGCAAAGGAGGGGCGTTGGATGTGACGACAGGGGGTGGGAAATTAGGAAATGCCTGAAAAGAGTCGTGTGCAGAAGGGGAATGGATCGTGTGGAAAGAGGTTATTGGGTAACTCTTGGGTACGGGGAAAGGGCCCGGTGAGTTGATAGATGACAAGGGTGAGATCCATTGCTGCAACTGGCATGTTAATTGAGATAGATCATGGATCAGATAACTTGTTGTTCCCCATGTAGACACCAAAGTCCGAGGAGGGGCAATGCAGGTATGTCAGATTTGGGACCAGACTCCATAAGTAGCTATGCTATTTAGGAATACACTGCATTTGATCAACTCAGGGATCAATCAGACAGTGAAAGTTGTCAATAACGTTGAAAGGACAGAGTAGTAATATAATCAGGTTGCGTCAATGAGGCTTTTGTCACATGTTTGTTTATAAGAGACAATGCACTAGGCTTTCACTTCTAAACCCAAGACAACGCCATCTGCTTTAGCTGCACTTGAAGGGGCATACTTATTGGTGCGCAGTTATACAAGAGATAAGATGCCGTTCTGAGACCTCAAGACCCCATTGTGTTATCGTCATTCGCCCAGCTCATAGTCATGGTCGCCCAGAGATCATGATACATGGGCTGCTGTCCCTCGGCGTTGAGGTTCTGCACCGGGAGCACAGATTGAACGTCGAATCCCGCGTCCCACGCGGTTAGGTAAGGTTGCATATCTTTATCAAACATGGGACACCCTTGATGCCCCAGAGGTTCGTTCAAAACTGGTGCTGTCAGTATGGCGACACGTCGGTTGTATTTTGTCTTGAGTACACGGAGTATAACCCGGCTTGCGGAAAGCACATCTACACGTTTGCTCGCCGGTGTGAGATCCTCGGGGCCCTCGGTCATGACCTCGAGGAACTCGCTAAAACGTAGCTGTGAGCGTGCCCATGCATGGTCCCAGTCCGGAACGTCAACGATGGGGAATGAAAGACAGACTGCGAGTATGATGCATAGAATGAACTTTGTCCAGTCAACGCTGGTGAAACATGTAAAGTTCTCGAGGTTCATGAGGTGGTCCAAGAGAGTGCGGATGTTATTCACGCAGCGAACGAGGCGGGTCGGTGACGGGTTGATGAAGCTAGGCTTTTTTGTGTTGATACGGGTGAGATAGAATATAGAACCACCTTGGAGGAAGATTTCAAAGAAAAGAGAGGCGAGTTTAATGGGTGCTGGATGTTGTTAGAAGGATACAAAAAACAAACTGGATATAGCATACCAGAGCGCGAAAGATGCGGCACCATAGATTCCTTCATATCTCTATGCTGCGTCTCCAGCCCAAGAAGCATGAGTTGAACCTGCTGATTTACCTGAGGATCGTTGTCGCGTACAGAATTATTCGCTGTGTTCGTCATGCTCGCTAGCTTGGTGAGATAACTCAACGAGACATCCCCATCGACCTCGGCATGTCGTTGTAAAAGGTCGCAGCAGGTTTCTGTCCAGGTCGTCCAAGGAGGGATCAGGCTGTCTTTCTTCTTGAACATAAACATGAAACTGTCGGATTTGTGAGTGATCTGGTCCTGGTGCGTTTCTTGGAGGACGTACTTTGACACGGCGTAGTAGTATGCCAGATACACCCGTAGCCGGTCGAGCTGTGCACTGCTCATTTCTCCTGGGATTGCGCCGCCAATATGGGCTGGTTCTTGGTCAAGCTCGAGATCAGTTACGAGATCACCAGCCATGCGATAATATTGGAAGGCTTGTCTGTTCTTTGGCCTGAGATGGAATGGATACCTATAATAAATGTTAACAGTGTGAGGCGACGGGTACGGGAGCGGACGCACCAAGCGCAGTAGATCATAATGCCTTGTAGTAAGTCCATACTCCTTTCGCCGCCGGCGACGAACTTGAGGCCCAGAACTTTACGGAACTCTTCATCGTAAAGGGTGTGTCCTTGTAAAGTCCGCGAACCGGAAGCAGCAGCCAGAATAGCCAAGAGAACGAAAGGTTTCGTCGCAGCAAGACTGGCCACTGTCTCTTCGGGCATCAGAACAATGCAAGGGTAGTGAATCAGCATCCTTCTAAAGGATGCCAACAATGACTCGGCAGAATCGAGGTTGAACTGAGGTTTTGCATGTAGAGACTGGATCGAATGCGTATGAGATGAAGAAGGCGTAGGGAAGCATGTGAGAGGTGAGTCTTCAAGAGTGCCGAGATCTGTATCTCCATCCAAAGGGAACATCGAGTCCATGAACTGCGCATGGGTGTCACGCAGATTGTCAAAGTTGTCGTCCACCTCTGTTTGAGTAGAAACTTCAAAGTCAATAGTGAAAGTCTTTGAGGGTGCCGGGGGAGGTGGCGCAGGTGGTTGATGAGTCTCTATAGCACTGCGAGATAATATCGGTCAACTATTCTTTTCAGCATGACTTAGTGGTGAAGTCTTACTGTTTTGTTCTTCGCCTTCGTGTTCGGGGTCCCATTCGTGATATGCATTCCTTCTTTGACTCCAAACACCTTAATCACCACGCCTTTGTTAGAATAGATTAGCTAGGTGCGGTTTTAGAGGGGAATTCTTACTTGCGACAAACCCCGGGTTGTTCACTCGGCTGGCATTTGATCTTTGCTGCGCGACATGCCTCGCAGGCTGTAGAGATTCTCTTGCGCGCAGGACATGATTCGATTGGTGACGGTTCGCTTGCCATTTGTATTTGTGAGTGTAAGACAGTGGAAATTAATTGGTCTATAGATGGATGCGACAAGTATTGGCCAAGGGATTGGTTGATTGATTGTTAGAAGGAGATGGGAAAGTTGAGAGTGAGATTCAATCGCCAAGTCTCCGGTGTAATGAGAAGCCGAATCCTTAATCGCCGACGACCCTCGGATCTTACGGCCCACCAACCAACCATGAGTCTGTATTCTTCTGTGAACAACGCCCAAAACAATGCGTAACATAATTACATATATGCATACATGCATGAGACTTATATGCCTAGTCACATCATAGAGCATTGCAGAGCCAAATTATTTCCGTACAATATGGGTACTGTTGATGCAATTAATACTAAGGTGAAGTCCAACTGATGAGTCCAAACCAAACTTCGTACAAAACTGGACTCCTCAGGTCGACTCAGCTACTACATAGTAGTACAACCAATCTCACTCGACCAGTGAGAACTTCAAACCCGGGTTCCCCTCCTTCAATATCTTTTCAGCTGTCTCCCAAAGTGGTAACGCAAGGTTGCTGACCTCATAACCAGCAATCGATGTCATGTGTTTGCCTTCTCTGTGTCTCCCAATGTTCGGCTTTGCACATTCTATTGAGCAGTATACGGCAACTTTCCCATCACCCTCTACCGACCCTTGTTCTCTTATGTCGCACTGGTCGATGCAATCCTTGCAAACCACCGCCTTGGATGTTGTATCCTCTCCCATCTCTGTGTCCTCGTAGTCGTATTGCACACATCTATCTCCCGCCTCGCAGTCGTGCTCCTTATCAACATGGTCGTTCTGATAAAGTTAGCATCTCATCTGAACAAACATATGTCAACACTTACAAAGCCCTTGTCTAGGCATTTATCCGAGCAGTAAACCGTCATCTTTTGTTGGCCACCGAGTTGGACCAGTGCTTGGCAAAGTGGACATGAAAGGACATTCTTCGGGTCCATCGGCTTTGCGCAAACAGTACATGGTGGTAGGTCGTACAAGTAATCAGAGATAGCTGGCGTCTGGCTTGCTTGGGCTCGACTCTTATTCTGCAGCCTGTTCTGCTCAAAGGCCATCTTTGCTCTGCGCAGCTCATCAAGGCGGCTCCTGTGGGTATCCCGTTGCGGTTCCGTCGTGAGGCTCGCTTTGAGGTCTTGGGCGATGCGGTCGATGACTTGCTCAAGCGACATGGTGTCGCTTGCCTCATATGCTTCCAGGTATGGCTGTGCGTTCTCTACGACTTCTCCTGTTTTTGAATCCTTGAAGAAGAAAGTGATGTAAAGCTGTTTTAAAGCTGCGGCATCATTCCTGACAGTTGCAATCTTCTCTGTCAGCGAATCCACATCGGCTTCCCAGTTGACTGGTTTTCCGACGCCCTCCCAGATTCTCTCAATGAGTTCTTCCCGTCTCTTAACAGGGTCGTCCAACATTGCTCTCAGCTCGTCGGGGTCCGCTCCACTGTCTCCTGTCGAGAGGAACCGTGGGTACATGCGCAGCACCCAGCGATACCACGCCTCCTTTTCTGATGCGATGCTATCCTCAATGGTCTCCAAGTCCATTTTCTTGTGGTCCTTGACGTCGGTGAACAAAACATCCAGCTCGTTCAGGAATGCTCTTCGCTGTGAGAACCACTCCCTGCCCTCAGCGTCGCAATAACGGGCGCGCATTCTGTCGAGAACTTTGGGGAAGCATTTTTCACAGTCTACCACGCTTCGTTTTCCGCACTCTTCCAGACATGTTTTCTTTATGGTGTCCACCTCGTCGGCGCATTGCTGTCTGTGGATCCTGGCGGCGCTGAGCTCTGTCCAGTGTTCAGGCAGAGCAACCCTCCCGTTTGTGCCCATGTCGCAGTAGCGTGGGCTTCAATTTTTAATTCGATTTTGTTAGTATAGATGAATAACCTTGGTCTGACAATATCGTGGCACGATAGTGTTTAAGTCGGGAGGTTGGTAAGAGATGGAAAGTGTTGGGGGTGGCTTGAGTGGTGAAAACCGCAAGTATGCAGATATCGGTCAAAGTGCAAATATGAGTGCAGACGTATAAGATCTAGCTCACTTGTTCGTTTTTGTTGTTTGTCTATTGTTATTGATGAGATGAGAAGCAGGGGGTGATGGACCTCGAGTCTCAAGACCTCGACCGGTTCAGTTTCACCGAGGTTTATGCGATCAGAATGCTCCTACCCAAGTTTACTATGCAAATGTATCAGTGGCAGGTTTGATGGGGTTAATCTTTCCTAGAGAACAATGCCGTGTGTTGAGCGGTTTGTAAAAGAGGTGAAACTACATAAAGACCTCTTTGATATGGAAGACTGTGTACCTCATTACTTACACTGCATGTACCCATCCATACTACAACAAAATCATATTACAAACAAATACCACCAACGCATTCATTTACATTTTCTTCATAACAAAAATGATAACAATATCATGAAAGTTATTTTTGTCTTTACTTCAGACATATCAACTGTGTGAAATGTCTCTGTTCTACCTGACTTCTTATGCATATAACGAGGTCCCACTTTAAGCAGCTAATCTTATCAGTAGTCCATCAGTCGCATCAACTTTCATCATTTCGCGATCTCGGCGCAACCAATCCCAAACAATCATCATCCCCAGCAAATAAACAGAAACAAATCAGTAAACAATGGTACGCGTCAATCAATCCCATTGTAATATCCTTAGATTCTAACAAAATCAGGCCGACAAACTTAGAACTCAACAAGAGCTCGAGCGCCTTCAGGCAAAGTACATCGGTACTGGTCACCCCGACACCACCAGCTGGGAATTCCGTACCAACATCCAGCGCGACACATACTCTTCTATCGCTGGTCACCGACCTCTGCTTTCCTACATTGCTCTGGCTGAGAACGAGCCTATCGCCAAGGTCCGCGCTCAGATGATTAGGGTATGTTTGACTATGCAACTTGATGGACAAACAACAACTAACAATCTTGCGTAGAAAATGGTTCAACCCTGCGGTCCTCCTCCTCCGCGCGAAGATTAGAACGTGTACGATATAAGAGACAATGTGAAAAGCATACAAATATTCGAAACTAGTTTGGCTTGGACATTCAGAACGGCGTCATGGATTGATACCCCGTGGAAGGGAGGATTTTAGACATACAATACGAGAGCTCGCCTTCATACTTTATATGCAAACATAATTCGCTGAGCTGTATTGGGTATCATAAAGCCGACCTTACTCCTTGTTCCCTCGGTCTCATTCTTGCATTCGACTAGCTTCCGCATCGGCCTCCTCGTCGTCATCGTTTTGCTGAGGCTGTCTAATATTCAGACTTGCGCGCAACTTCTCTTCCATTTCTTCGTTCCAGCTCTCGCCATAGATTTCTCGTGTCATACCCATCACACCGCCCAGCCCGACTTCTTCCTTCCCGCGCGGCCCAACATGCCATGTTATGATATGCTCGCCATCCTGACCTAGAGGCGGCCGCTCGACTCTTTTGATGACGTATCCTTGTCTTTCCATTTTCTTGAGGATAGCCTCTGTCTTGTCCATCGAGACGTTTTGATCGGCATTCATGCGCTGGAGGTGACGTCTCAACTTTTGTTCACTGAGCTCTCCACCACTGAGCGAGATGAGCGTGATAATCAGTGTGTAGAAACCTGCGTATGTAGCCTCATCGTCCGGGCTAGGTGTTTTCGAAGGTCCGAGAATCGCAGCGCTACGATAGGCTTCCGGTAATGTAGAGGTGAGGATGTAGGAGCCGGAACCGAGCTTCGGCTGTGAGTTGCTCTTCATGGCTATGCTTCGTTAGTAGGAATCTAGGTATGAAAGAGATTCGACATGCCTTGACGCTTCTCCTGGAGTGTGACCTTTTCTCTGACTGGCAGCTCTCGCATCTCCATGCCCCAAAACTCTCGCAGCTGCTTTTGCGCCAAGTCCAAAATACGTCTGAAAGAGCGACCTTGGTTTCCAAGAACTAGCCCTTTGTTAGCCTAGGCCCAGCGTCCGAGATTGGTTTTCTTTTACCTCTTTCCTTAATACCATCTCTTCTGATGATAGTTCTTGAGAATTCGCAGGATATAACATAGCGAACCAGCTTCTTCGCTAGTTGTTCATCGGCGCTCTGCATCTGAGACCTGTCACCATCCATCTCAGCATCGCTAGGTTCTTGGTCGTTGTCTTCACCCTCGTGGTCAACTCTATTTCTTTGTCTGGGGCGGACATCTTCCTCTGATTCATCAGCCTCAACCTGGGCTGGGTTAGCTTGGTCGTTCCTGAATAAATCACTAGGGACTTACAGGTCGACGGCGTCGTGGTATAGGCATGGCGGAAAGGGAGACCTAAATCAAATGCGTAGAATTACTAGGACACAATCAAATGATGCAAATGAAGTTGCAATGAAAGTGTGATTAAAAGACACTGAGGGGTGAATTCACATGGTTTGTTAAAAGGCTATACGCGGTTGTTCCTACATGAACGCGTCCAGGCTTATCGGAGAACCACTCGCCGCTTATCACTTAGTCGCTTATCGGATAAAATTTCCTTGGGCCTCCAATTCTCAGTCTTCAACAGGACCGATCGCATTGTCGCAATCCGCTCCCTTGATGGGGGTTATTCTTAATATTTTCTTTCTCGATGATTTCTAGAGCGGTTCGAGTACCGCGCATTTGCCTGGCATGCAGGTTCGGTCTCATAACGCAGCGCAGCGCCGGATTAGGCTTCCGAACAAATCCAGTCCGTGAAGGTCTCGGACGACGATTGTATACATCCGACGTAGGAAAATTGGGGGACAGCAAGGTTGAACCTTTGGTTTCGAATACAGACACATCAGAGACCAACTCGGAAGAACGGCTAGGAGAAAACGACTCAACAACAACGATACCGTTCACAGTTGCGACTGGATTGAACAATAGCGACCCCGCCACCGAGATCGACCTTGAATCAACTCCAACCTCTCAAGAGAAGCCAATTGGATTCGCACAGACCGAGCTTGATGATATTTTGGACGGAGCATCACCCTCGAAAGGGAATACAGACTATGGCCACTCTGAGCTGTCCTCCAAGCAACTATCAGATTCTTCTGATCATGAACTGGACGATCTATTAAACGAAGCAAAGCCAGAGACACCGTCGCCGAGCAATTCGAGTGATAAGGTCTCCGGACCACTTGATCTACCCCAACTTTATACAATACCAGAACATGGTTTTGATGTGGACGAGTTTCCGGGTGGAATGGCACCGCCAATAATAGAATCCCAGTTTGGCATATCCGAGCTACCTGACCTCGACGATGGGCTGTCTGGGAACCCTCAGGGTTCCAGGCAATGGCCAAAGCGAAGGTTACGCGATGATCTCATGCACGAAGAGCCACTTGGTGTTCCTTCCTTGGGACTTCCAGCCGATGCCATCATTATCAACAATCCGAATAAGACACGCATCGAAAGATCTCCCATCGTGATAGAAGAGGAAGAAGTTGCACCAGCAAATATCGACTGGGAAAGTCTGAATCCTAGCGAGATCATCGAGCCTGAGGAAGAGGAGATCAACGCCAACATTGAAGAGTTCCGCCCCGATACTCGTATTCTCCGGTTGACAGAGATAGGGACTCTGGTCGAGTCTCTTTGCGACGGCTTCACTATTAACCAATTAAGAGACTACCATCGCGACTGCGTGCCGGAGCAGGAGGAAGGCGAGATTGTGAACTATACTTGGATCGAAGCGAGTGTTCCCTGGAAGTCGGTCAACTCGGTTCAAATCCGTGGTACAGACAAGACAGCAATCGCCCAGAAAATCGTTTTCGACAAGTGGAGAGTTGATGTAATGGAATACGAGAACGACCTCGGAAAAGCCTACGTTTGGATGGATCCAGATATCTTCCCTTTTCTCTTATGTTTGTTATCCCAAAATTTGAACAAAAGTGTACAGTCACTAACAGATAATTCAGATGGCCCGAATAACATATCACGCTTGCTATGGATGTTGAGACGAGACTTTCTGGTAGGAGAAGATGAGAAGTTGACTTTGACCATTCAAGCGTCTCGACTCAATATCACGGCGAGGAAGTCGACAACTTACGGTGTCCTTGCCTATATGGATCAGTACCTACAAGGAATGCGCTCTCGAACCATCGACGTAGCCCCTTATCTCCCGACCGGTGCAAGCAATCTGAAACCGGCAGAGCTCAAGGAGCTTGGCCGCCTCACCAAGACTTCCATTAAGCGTGTCAGAGAGGGCGAAAAACAGGTACGCTATTTGGTCTTCAAAAGAGGTTTCGCCTACTAAGCAATTGTTAGAAATACCGGGTCTCTTGGTTACCTGACACTGATGAAACCCCAGCCGGGACTGAAGATGTCGCTGATATGGTATTCCGCTTGATGGTTGGCCTTACGATCCCTGGCACCCACAATGTTCTTCAGCGCATCCCCTTGAAAGGGGAAGATGAAGTCGGTGGTCAGTTTGTCTCGGTTCGAAGACAGACTCGAGCCATGTCGTGGAGAGATAAGCTTGGTCGGTGGTTTAGGGTTGCTGACCCTGTCACCAAGTCTTCCTGTTCTACCAAAGAGTCCTCGCCCCTCGATCTGGCGTCTTCCGCAGATTTGCCAGAGTGGAAAATTCCCGGCACCAAAGATATTACCACAGCAACGTTTGGTCATGTCCTTCACTCAGAGCCTCAGGATTCGATGAAGCTGCTCTCCCGCCAACGTCACATTCTATTACCATTCATCCCTCATCCTGCCGCCTTCTCCGCCTTAAAGCCTGATGACAACGGGATACTGAAAGAGTCTACGACCATTATCATGAACCTTGTGCCTCGTGAGGAACGCAAGAGAGGTCGAACCAGCGATGCACAGAAGGGGGTCAAAGAGCCTGCAGTCCGCATCAGAATACCCGTCAATCCAGACGCTGACTTTGCAAATTTCTGCCTTCCTGATGACCTGACTGTCGAGTATTTTGCTTCCTGGCATGTGAACGATTTGTTATTACCAACCGAGGCTGTTGATGTCCGCCTCCAACACGAACGCGTGAGACCTTTAAGTCTCAACAATCACGATATACAAAAGTTCCTCAAGGCGTTGCAATTCAACTTGGCTGAAGGCAAGATTCGAACGCCCGCTCAAGCCACACTCAACATCCCAGGGAATTGGTTAGACGGTGCTCGCACAGGTTCAACCCTGGGAAAGAAGAAGGAGGTCCTTTACGATTTCCGAGGTACTGAGATTCATAAGACTGTGGAAATGCCATGGCGAAACCACACATTGCGCTACTCTAGCATCGAGGCGGGACAGCAAGGCGGCCAACGTCAGGAGATTACATTGAAGGCCGGTTTACCGGGCGTGGGTCCTGTCAAGTTTAGTCCCCAGGTACGACAGAACTTTTTGCAGCTGGTGGAGGACATGGCTACTGGGAAATGCTTCTCTTGGCATGACGGCGACAAGTCCATCAAGAGCCGCCAGTTGGAAGATTACAGTTACGATTTGCCTGAGCAGGAGCTCACCGACGACATCATTGTTAGGGATATATTTGATGCAAAGGGTCGCCCCAAAAGCGTCAAACGAGCTGCCAAGAAGCAAGTTCTTGCTGATGAAGGTGCCACCAAAGCCAGTGTGCCTGAGAACAGCGACTCTACCACGAATACCGCCAATGCCTCACGCGCTCAGAAGGCCGAACCCACAAACAGCAAGAAGAGCGCCGCCGCGACCGAGCGTGACAGAGTTCGCACCGAGATAATGAACAACTTCTTCGGGGTTGAAGAGACCAATGTCGAACCCTCTACAACCAGTAAGAAGAAACCGAGCGCAGCCCGCAAGGCCAAGGTCACGGCCCGCAAGTATACCGTTCCGGACCTGGAACAGCCCAAGAAGACCAAGGCAGTGCAGGTAGACCCGTTCCTCGCACAGTTCACCTCTCGCGTGACTAGCGACAACAAAGTCACGGATCCAAAGGCTACCCCTGGTTTCTTCGACACCCTTCCATCGGAGAAGAAGCCGAAGACGTCAAATAAGACCAAAAACAGCGGTAAAAGTGGCAGCAAGAGAAAAGGAGGCAAGAAATAGGTGGATGTACAACAGATCACATGAGTCGACAGGGTCTACGAGAAGAAACAGCCCATCGAAGGAGAGGGCCAATTATCACGACAATTCATGCCAACGTTATGGGGATATATGATTGGAAATACTGTTGCGACTATAGAGATCTCTTTGGAGTGGGGATACGGTCTTTTTGTATAACATAAAAGAATTATGTGTATTATATTATATGTAACAACATTATTAGAATTATAGACTAAGAATGTCAAGCATGGTTACTACAGACCACACGTGGAGAAACGTCAGAAACTACATGCACAGTACCGATGAGGGCCAAGGTGGAGATGGCGCAGGTTCACATACAGAGAGTCATCTGAATACATCATCATTAACAAGGCTGGTGAAACAAAGTGATAGACGACAACGTCACGACAGCTTCATTTGCTTACAATTCACAGTGTATCACAGGTAGCATGAGGAACAAAAAAGATTGCACGAATCACTTCTAGACTCTCTATTCCTATTTTTGATTTGCACAAGATCCCGGGCTTTTCTTTTCGCCTCATCTTGTACCCCCAGACATAAGCTGAATGCTCATGCCAACATGATCATATCGTCGTAGAAGCGAGTACATCAGCCCTTGGGCGTGAGACCAAAGTCGTAAGATCCCACTGAAGGTTGTCATTTCAGAAATAAGTCGCTTATTTCTTACCAGCCTTGGCAGCGGACTTGGTGACCTTGCCAGCAGTGCCAGTGGACTTCTCGACGGCCTTGATGACACCGACGGCGACGGTCTGTCGCATGTCACGGACGGCGAAACGACCCAGAGGAGGGTAGTCAGTGAAAGCCTCAACACACATGGGCTTGGAGGGAACCATCTTGACGATAGCGGAGTCACCAGACTTGATGAACTTGGGGGCGGCCTCAGTAGCCTTACCGGTTCGGCGGTCGATCTTCTCCTGGATCTCGGCGAACTTGCAGGCAATGTGGGCAGTGTGGCAATCGAGGACGGGAGCATAACCAGCACCGACCTGACCGGGGTGGTTGAGGACGATAACCTGGGCGATGAAAGAAGCGGCACCGGCAGGGGGGTCGTTCTTGGAGTCACCAGCGACGTTACCACGTCGGATGTCCTTGACGGAAACGTTCTTCACGTTGAAACCAACGTTGTCACCGGGCTGGCCCTCAGTGAGCTGCTCGTGGTGCATCTCAACGGACTTGACTTCAGTGGTGACGTTGGAAGGAGCGAAGGTAACGACCATACCGGGCTTGATGATACCAGTCTCGATACGGCCAACGGGAACCGTTCCAATACCACCAATCTTGTAGACATCCTGGAGGGGAAGTCGGAGAGGCTTGTCGTTGGGACGCTTGGGGGGCTCGATGGAGTCAATGGCCTCGAGGAGGGTCTTGCCAGAGAGCTTGCCGGACTTGATCTCACGCTCCCAACCCTTGTACCAGGGGCAGTTGGTGGAGGCAGTCAACATGTTGTCACCGTTGAAACCAGAGATAGGGACGAAAGCGACAGCCTTGGGGTTGTAGCCGACCTTCTTGATGAAAGAGGAGGTCTCCTTGATGATCTCCTGGTAACGGGCCTCAGACCACTTGGTGGTGTCCATCTTGTTGATGGCAACAATGAGGTTCTTGACACCAAGGGTGTAGGCAAGGAGAGCGTGCTCACGGGTCTGGCCATCCTTGGAGATACCAGCCTCGAACTCACCAGTACCGGCGGCAATGATGAGAATGGCGCAATCGGCCTGGGAAGTACCAGTGATCATGTTCTTGATGAAATCACGGTGACCGGGAGCGTCTGATAGATGGGTTAGTGCGGGAATGTGATGAAGGTGGCAGAGATAACATACCAATGACGGTGACATAGTAGCGAGGAGTCTCGAACTTCCAGAGAGCGATATCGATGGTGATACCACGCTCACGCTCGGCCTTGAGCTTGTCAAGAACCCAAGCGTACTTGAAAGAACCCTTACCGAGCTCGGCGGCTTCCTATTGACGGGTGGTTAGTGACTGATCAACACGTGATGATGCGCGCCCGTGTGGCTTTGAGGAAGAGGGCAAGCCTGCCGCTCGAGTGGCGGGGTATGAGCCCCACCAAAAAAATTACGACAAAATCGTAAAATTCTTGAACTCGAGCGGGGTAGCAGGCGTGTGTCGAGTCGTCGTATCAGAGCGATTCGAATGATGGATCGATGGGAAGTAGGGCGCGCGATCGAGGAAAATGAGACCAACCTTCTCGAACTTCTCGATGGTTCGCTTGTCGATACCACCGCACTGGTAGATCAAGTGACCGGTCTATCAAGCATGTCAGCACAAGCATATCTTGAGACTACCCCGCCAAGTGTAGGCGGGGTTGATATTCGGTTGTACTTACAGTGGTCGACTTGCCAGAGTCGACGTGGCCGATGACGACGACGTTAAGGTGAGTCTTCTCCTCCTTACCCATTTTGACGGTTGTGGATGATTTGTGTGAAGGTTTTTGATGAACGTGCTGTGAAATGGTTAGCTACTGAAGCTGATGGTGCGATAACAGCAAGCGATGATGATGATTATCGAACAGGATAGGTGCAATGAAGCAAATGATCTTGTTGATTATCTTTCTTCAAAGGCTTGAAGGGTCGTACGTACAGATTCGCAGATCGGATGCTTGAACCGGGTATGCGAGACGAGGAGGGAAGGGAAGAAAAATTTAAAGGGAAGTGGTGGGAGAAGGAGATTTAAAAAGGCCAGCAGGAGGGAGGGGTGGAGTGGGGTGCGAGGCAGGTGCGGCGGCGCGGGGCAACCAGCTTGGGAAGCCCTAACAGAGTCGAGGTTTTTTTTCGCACGGCAGGTGGGACTGGTCGGCCAATGACTGAGCTTCAAACCATAATGACGGCGAGTTGAGCAAGAGCCTGATAGAATTGAGGAATGTTACGAGGAGGGGCCGGAGGAGCTCAACAGAGGGCACGATATCAGAAAGTTTTCACTGAGGAAGGCTCTGTATTGGGAATCTTCAGAGCATGTTTCTACTGTAGCTTTCACTGAGTTTATCTACGGCTTGCCTCGAGAATCTGTCATGGTGCTACTCGTGATTCTTTGGTCGATATCAGGACCTGAAGCTGGACTGACGCTGCGCAGACAAAGGCGATGCGCTTGTTTCAATAGATCCCTGCAGACACTCAAAGAGACTATAGAGAGTAGTACAGATGGTCCATAGCCTACTACGATGCTCAACAACACTTGAAAACGTCTCTGGGAGTCTCATTACCAGCGCAATCATCTATCTCTATCTTGATTTCATACAATATCTGTCTACCACCGGCGACCATCTTCATCCAAAAAAAAAAATGGCACCTCTGTGTGGCGGTACCTAGCATCTGTTAGCAGGTACATGCGGGGCAATACATTTTTTTGCGAATCTTTGTTGTGCGCAGGCATCGCCGCCCAAAGTTCAAAAAAAAATTCTCTCTTTCGGCCTGAAGAAAACTCAATCATGGATGCTTGCACCTTGAGCGGTCGAGGCTCGGTGGGTTACCTTACGTGTGGTGGATGCGCGCGTCCGTCCTAGATTGTCTGGGGCCATTTTAGGCCTGCTACACCACGCCGTGGGACTCTTTTGCCCAACCCGGCCAGCATCTGAGGATTATGTTTTTTGTCCTTGCCCCTCATTCTGCGTCTGTCAGCCTAACGCAACTCCGGCGTGAGTCACTACGTGGTTTTACAGTCGTTATCTTGGCTCTAGGTTTTCCTGTGAATGTGTCATATACGTGGGATAGGCCACAGTGACAGAAGTTGTTGGCCATGCTATTTTTTCCCACCTCTGCCACCATCGATGATCGAAGAAGGAGGGGGAGAGCTTCAAACTGCAGACTACCCCTCCACTCTGGCGCAGTCAGTTTCTGGCTCAGACTCCCTGCACGAATCAACGTCATGCTCCACTGATACTCTTAGCGTCTATGGGTTGCCACCACCGCTGCGCGACCAGTGCACGGAAGATCTGGGCTTGGCCAGGATGTTTTGTTGCTGTGAGGTGGTCAAATAGGAAGTTGATTGTCGCGTATCAAAAAAATTTCTTATGCCTACCAACCAAGCTGGAGGGGTAAAATGGAAACACCCATCAATAGAACTGTCATGACATCAGGAATAGAATTGTACCTAGTGTAATACTCGCAGTAGAGTGTCTACTGCAAATCCTCCCTCTAATATAATATCATATCGACTGATGATACTGATTATAATCTCCGTCTATTGTTGCATTCCCTCGTCTTGCGTGTCTCATGCAACAGCTGTTGACTCGTCTTGTGCCCCTCCCCTCCTCGTCTACAAACCCCTCCATAGAAGTTCGGTCCAGGCAAAACAAAGCCCATGCTAACCAGAGACAGAGCGCGCGCCAGACCAGAAAAAAAACCAGCAGAAGGAGGGGCAAAAAAAACTCATGTCCAGCCACTGTGGATCCTACACGAAGCGCAGCTGCAGCTCACCTTCGTTTGAACTTTCAGTGGAGGCTCTGATAAGTGAGGGTTTTGTGAATTCATGCAGCTTCAAGTGCCACCTCAATACTTTTTTTGATCAATACGCCGAGGTGGATTCAGCATACTAGTCACTGCGACCTCTTAAATCAGTATGAATTGTCAATTGTAAAACATAGAGAGAAACCCGTGGCAAATCATCCGTTCGATGCAGTTGGAACATGTCACTAAATTGCCGCCAGGATTTCTCTGGAATTGTAATGGTAGGTTGAAGAGTTGTTTCAATGCATATCATCAATCTCTTGGCTTCGAAATTGGGCGCATATTCACGGCGGCTATGCTCCTCTTTCGTCTCCATTCTTGATATTTTTCTTCGTTGTCACATTGCCATTATGGAGAAGGCATGTCTGCAGACATGAGACTGGTCCAAGTGGTTTGTCCACTATGGGTATGGTCTCTTCTGCATGCTTTGTTCGTTTCGGCCCCGCCGTCTGTTTGTCGCTTCGAAATATATCGATTTTGTCACTTGACGAAAGATATCGTGAAGTTATATGTGGAGGGAGCGGCATCTGAAATTATCTCATGATTCATAGACGATTTTTTTTATTTTTAAAAAATTCACTCTGCTCGTACCCTTAGACCGCTATTGTTAAAATTTGTTGAGACGCATCAGAGACCCGATCTCGATGTTTGTTTAGGGTAGCAAAATAACTTGTAACTTACACCAACCTTGACCTCACTCACCAGACCTAGGTACACAAGCTAAGCTTTTGTTATCCAAAGGTGGCATGTATATCAATTATGAAAGTCTGTGCATGTTTATGACCAATGATTGTGAAATTGAGGGTCGCTATCATGTCTGTCGAGCTTGACCTATCCTGGCGGTTAGTTAAGCGGAGCCCAAAAAGTCATATAAAGTGCAGAACCCCCCTTGACTGTGTTACACATGGATGTTCGAATAGCGCCGTAGGCATGTCGCAGTCTACTGTTGTCGCAATTCGCGTCGAACAAATCGAGCAGCGCCGATACCGAGTATTCAATTGATATTTCGAGAGTCGACATTGGTTGCTTCTTGACGAACTTTACTGCGCACTCAACGACAGATCCATTTGCGACTACAACCAAGACTAACATGATAAACTTGACGACAACATCGAACGACGAACCAATTCACACGAGCAATACCAACTGCATGTACAATGACATCTGCTGAAGCCACTGTCTTAATTCATCCCATGCTATCCAATCGCTACATCCCGACCTGCACTCCGCCGTCTGTGACTCTGCAGCATCCCGCCAGCCGCCACCAACTGGCAGACAACCGCCCAACAGAATATAGACTGCAACAACAATCCTTCTTTCAACAACCAGTAACCCAGCTCGGCCCCGTGGCCGAACGGTTAAAGAATTCGCAAGCCCGTATAGAGTAATAGCAACTCGTTGGCCTCCTATAACAGTATAGGCGAAAGCCAAGGATCCTGGTGCAAATCCGGGTACGGGTATCTTTTGTTCTTTTTAATTTTTTACTTTTTACTTTTTTCTACTACTTTTGAGAAAACAACTGCTCGTTCTTGTTCTATGTTCGAGACTGGAACCGAAGCGACTCCCGTTCTGCCCGCTGCATTTTGCTGTCTTATGAATAAGAAAAACAGCAAGCAAACACGTTGACAAGCTACGGTATGAAGTCAAGCTGCTCAATTCAAGTCTATCGTAGTAAACTCAACAAGGCCGTAGAAGTGACATACAAAATGAAAGATAACGTTCAGTTGTCTATCAGCGGTCGTACTATATAAAGGTCAAGTCCGGCTTAACCTCAATCTCTGTTATATACAAATCTCCTAACATCCACTTCGTACATCAACTACATAATTTACTGAACCTTACTCTCAACCTTCTTGCCCTTGGTGTTCATTCCATTAGGCGTCTTCAATCCACCAAACACCGCTGCAGCGACAACTGCAATACCAGTGGCACCCATAGTATATGCGACCTCTCGGCCAGCCCACCAGTATACACTTGTGAACAAGATGGGACCCAGGCCTCGGCCAAGCTGACCCCAGCTTCGTAACATACCGAGCTTGTTACCGCGCTCGTCCTCGTGAGCCTCGAAGCTGCTCAGAGCGTTCAAGCCAGTGACGACCGTGGCGGATGTGACTGCCAAACATGTCGCAGCTAGGTACAAACCACCAATGGTGTTGACCCGTCCCAAGAGAACGAAGGACGCAAGGCACGCAAGTGTCCCGATACGGACGGACATCAGGGGTGGGAGACGTCGTGTAACACCGCCCTGAAGGATGGATGCCACAAGTCCGACATAGCCCAATAGTCGTCCATTCTTGCCAGACGTAAAGGAGAAGAGTTCATATGTCATAAAAGACAGGGAGCTTTCCATGCCGGAGAAGAACAGCAGGAAGACGAAGTGAATGGCATTCAGAAGGAAGTGAGAGTTGGTTCTCTCGACCTTCTTGGGCGCAACTTTCTTCTTCGCATCACCCTTGGCCCCAGCGTCGCGCATCGAAGGCAAAGTCTCAGGTAAACTAAAGTACAGATAAACCGTCTCAGTCACAATCAGCGCCAAACTGAAACCTGCAGCTGCAGCAAAGGGGTTCGCAGTGAAAGTCGAGAACGTGCTGAGCCAAGCACCAAGTCCAGGGCCAAAGGTAAAAGCGATCGAGAAACACGCGCCGATTAAGGCCATGGTCGCGCCACGAGACGATTCGTCCGAGATGTCACTGGCCATTGCGGTTGCGAGCTGGACATTACCCTCCGATAGTCCACCAACAACACGGCTTGCGATAAAGGTTCGGAAATCGACAGCTGCAACCCAGAGCAGCACAGAGAGGATGTTACCGCACATGGACGCTAGGAGAGCTTTGCGACGGCCGTATCGATCGGAGAGAGCGCCGATAAGGGGCGATGCAATGGCCTGAAGAAGACTATACGTAACGCAAGATTGTCAGCTTACGACTCAATGGCTGTTCATAGGACCTGTGGTGAACGCACGAGAAGAGGGAGCCGAGAGCTCCACCTAGCAGAACGATATCATGACGCGACTCGATCGGGCGTGAGAACGAGGCCTTGTATCGGTGGAGGCCTGATAGAACGTGCTGGAGGAGGGTTTGGGGCGCATCTTTGTCAAGAGGGACTCGGCCTTCGAGATCGCGATAGAATTCGAGAAGCTGCGGGAACAAGGGAAGGATAAAGGTGAAGGAGATCTAGATCAGAATAGTTAGCATGTAAAGCATATTTTGGTTTCAGCTTGCCGCGTACCAAGTCGAGGAGTAGTGAGACAGCAATAACGCGGAGGACTCGCTTCCTTGCAGCGGGATCAAACGAAGCCATGATGGCTATCTACTAAAGGACAGATGATACGGTAAGAAAAAGTAGAAATGATAGCAATATAAAAACAGAACAAGTACATATATGGGAAAGAAGATAGAAAGGAAGAAGCAATCAATAAAAGAAGCGGAAGATAAAATCAGGAGACAGTGGACACTTGACCATCAAACGACATCGAATCTTCAAATAGAAAACGTGGTGGTTTCGGTCGGTGGCTGCTTGCTTTGACCTACCCACGGCGAATGGATCCAATCCAATGGCTGGCTACGTCAACTAGAGTGCTGGATAATAATAGGTGTTGTATCAGGTTATGTGGCGTCAGTCGTCCCCTGTAAATTAGGGGCTACTAATTACTCCATGGAATGGACCTCTCGACTACAGAAGCTCCACTGCCATTTCGATGATTGTTAATAAATTCTCGAAGCATCAGATGAACTGCCGTGAATGTTTCAATACTAAGCCTGGGATCGGCATTGGAAGCGAGCCTTTATATTACAAGGTGACATTCATACAAGCGAAGGAACCAACATGTCAAGATGAATAATTGATGTTTTAACGTTTTGATTTGTTTATTTCATAACAGTAACTCATGGTTCTTTTTTTTTGGTCTCTTCGTCTAATAAATTTTATCTCTAGAACAAGTGCCCTTGTACTGGAGACGCGAAAATAGGCAAAGTAAACTCCTCTGTAGTTAATCCTTTCGGATTCGGCGTTCATGTAATCTCATACATCGTATTTTTCGTGACATAGAAGACCATCCTCTTGCCCGTGCGCCTTTCGGCAATTGAAGATTGGGTCATATTCTTAGAGGTCCTCGTTCATCCATGCTCAACATAGGTGCTCAAGAATCGCGATCAGATTCCCCCTCTTCAGGAACAAGATGTGATAAACAGACGACCTCCAGTAAGCAAAAGTACAGAACAATAGCGTAAGACATAGGAAAAGGCACGCATGTGCCGTATCGTATAAACATAAACATGAAACTCATAGCTTTCTCATGACATGATAACATAGTATAACCTTCGTACAAACTCATTTCCATCAAAGGTTCATAAAGAGAAAGAGACAGAAAGACACTTGGGTATCGCAAAGCAGAGCAAGGAAAGATACCAGTACCTTGATTTCAAAAGTGTGAAGTTTTTTACTTCACTTAGTAGGTTTCGAAGGCGAAGCGTAAACCTTCAGATCCCTTGTATGGGATGGGCATGAAGTAGTCAGCATCAATCTCACAATCTCGAACTCGGGTTTCGAAAATGCTGAGGTAGCCAACATCTCCATAGCGTTGATCGCCGTCATCGCTGCCAAACACAACTCCACCACTTCCCCATCTGCGGAAGAGTTTGGCTAGTGTAAGGTAAAGTTCGGCATGAGCCAGAGCCATGCCAAGGCAGATGCGGGAACCAGAGCAGAAGATGTCAAGGTACTTGTCGAGCCGCTCGCCATCTTCAACCCAGCGCTCAGGGTGGAAGCCTCGGGCGTCGTAAAAGATGCTCTCGTCCATGACAGTCTTGTAAGGACTCATGCCAACGATGGATCCTGGTGGAAGATTCCAGTCCTCGCCGTTCTCACGATCATGGTATACGAGAGCTTCATCTGGCGCAACACGCGCGAGACGACTGCTAGTTCCGATACCAAGTCGTAGTGCTTCCTTGACTACTCCCCGAAGGTAGGGGAGCTTCTCCAGTCGTGACAGCGGAACCGTCTCATAAGCATCAGGCATGGCAGCAAAGAGTTCGTCTCGCAATTTGCGAAGAGTCTCAGGGCGATTGAGGAGATGGAACGTGGCAAGGGACATGGCCCACGAGGTAGTGAGGGCGCCACCTTGAACACTGATTTGGCTTTCCTGAGCCTGGTGTGAAGCATTCTTCTCCCGTGTAGAGCGGGTCCTAGTCGACAGCATGGTAGGATGACCTCCATCCATTCTCCATTTACCAGTGCTCTGAGGAGGATCAACACTGTGAATCTGCTCGAAAATATCATTCTTCATCTTGAGAAAACCACCCCATCCTGGCATACATCGGTTCGAAATGGACTCGGGCAAAGCGTTGACAAGAGTGAGTACCCAATCGAGCTGCTGCACACATGGTCCCATGTGGGTACCGATGAGAAGGTCGTTGGTGACTTCGGCGCCAAAATCGGGTTTTTCGACAAGATGATCACTTCGAGCAAAAGCATATTCGTTGATAACGTCTAGTAATACTATTAGAGGTGCGAGGTGATATAAGAATAAAGGAACTTACCATTGGTCAAGGCCGAGTAGGGATACATGACATCAAGAGGTTGGCCATTGGATACCTCGGCGTAGTTCATGAACGCAGTAAGAAGGGCTTCCACTCTTTCCTCGATCACCGGCTGCAGTTCGCGCACAGTTTGAGTTGTGTAAAGAGGGTTCAGCGCACTTCGCCGCAACTTGTTAAGGCTGTGGTCGATGGCAGCAAGAGGGCCTTCAGTCGCAGTCTTGGGGGCTGCGAGAGCGTTTGGGTGAGGGACTTGCGTACGAGGAGCACCAGACTAGGTTGATGTTAGTGATTGTCCTCGTTCTTCTATAGCACAACGTGTTTACCTGCTGGGTGTAGAATGTCCACTTGTCCCTGCGTCGGCTAGGTCCGGAGTAGAGGTCTGAGAAGAACTCGGGATCTCCAACATGAACTTCCCAGGGGTTGATGCGAACGATGGGGCCATATCGTTCATGCATATCGATGATCTTGTAGGTATATTGTCCTCCTAAGACAAAGTCGTAGTAGAACTCATAGTATTGAGTTAAAGCCGCCAGCTTGGGACCTGGAATATGGGCCAGAGGGCTAAACCATAGTCTCCAGACCACAAGGGCAACGACATAGATGAGCCAGATGCCTGCAAGCAAGCACCCGGCCTGCTGCCAAGTAAGGGCAGCAATGGTCTCTTGGACCGCCATGATGGTGTTGGAATCCATTCATGAGCGACTCGCCCTGTAGGACGGTATTGTCATTGAACAAGGTAGGGTTAAATATGAAATACCGGAGCGGCCATGGGCTCTCCAGGCTGCAGAGCAGAAGCCTTTGTGAAATCAGTTGGTCGAAAGCACGAGAAATAGTGCTGCATTTGTATTTCAAGCATTATAAGCACAAGCCTTCACCGCATGGACTCTCCTTCAGTCGGAGCGGATAGGCTGAGAGACGGGGAACAGTCTGCCGGGTGCGCGAGCGGGCCGCGTGGGGACGTTTCGATGGCGGTGAACGACAGCTCGGAAACCCAAGACAGGGGCGGCGCCAGTTGTCACCGCCAGTGCTGCGGATGTCGTTGGTCGAGAGGCAATCGTGCCTCATCCAAACAGTCTTAGTCGCATGGAGGGCCAATTGGTGATGCATCCGGAAGCCGGGGAGCTTGCAAGCATCGCCGCCGCTTGCCTTTAATAGGATGCGCCATCGGATCGCTAAGACGTTTATGAAGGAGTTTTCAGGAACGAATTTAGTTCGAGGTTGGGAACTCCAGGGGTCCAAGAGGATGATTCTGAAAGCTGGTAGATTTTTCTAGAGAAGGATTCAGAATGAGAGGTTGGTTGGTGGTTGTGAATGTGGGAACGGCAGGTTGGTCGGAGGTCGGTGGTTGGTGGTTCATACATTCCTCAAATGTTACATGGCTTACACCTATTGGTGCAGGAAGGCAGCGGTGCTGTATGAAGGCCTAAGATGGGTGCTTCTGATCGGTTGCATCCGAGCTAATTTTTTGATGCAATGCACTTGGCCAAAAAAAGTGGGAGATGAGATGATGGCAGACATTTGGCAGCCCAGCTCGACCCTTTGATGCGATGTGATGCAGATGCAGAAGCAAAAGCAGACGCAGACAAGTGCTCACGGGCCATATACGGACCATTTTGACGGCAGATGTTAACACGACAGATGATGACATGCAGCAGGTAGAGTGTATTGTGTTTTTGAGCTCTGAGAATAATACAATGACATGACAATATAATGCAAATTATTCGTCTGGCAAAGTGAGACTGGAAGACCAAATCAACTGCACATTTGCTCCCCTTGATACTGCCCGAAAACCGACGACATAAACACACGTGTTTAGTCAACACTTACGCGCCCCTCCTACCCCTCATGCTAGGATAGCAGGATAGTCACATTTTTGCTGTCCGTGATACCCATGAGCCACCCTATACTCATCCCCATCCTATCCCACAAATCCATCTATCTTGACCGACAACTCGAAATGACTATGCCGAAAGAAGCACCACAGTTATACCGAAGCATTCAATTTGTTGCCTGTTCTGTGTGTTTCGGTAATTACAACCCTTGCGTGAAAGGTTGACTGGTACGAGAATCGACGGTATCGGACCACACTGAAGCCATTATACACGTTGAAAAGCGACAGCTACTACAGCAACAATCACCGTCCACTGTTGTTTGTCCGAACATCACCGAGAATGTAGTCCAGGGGAAAAAAAAAAAAAGACCGAAGCTTCATTTCAGCGATATTTTAAATGATTGTAGACCGGCACGGTCTTTGCGCTTCACATGTCACACCACTCAGGTGTATTCGGTGCTTGAGAAACAACATCGTGATGTTTACTTGCTAGAGATAACAGACATGCATATTTAACAAGCTAAAGTGAGACTTTTGAGTCTGGATTATGGTCTTGCATGATATGATGCAAGTGAAGCTCAAGTTAGCCATCACCATCGATGTTCAGATGATCGATGTTTCAACAACCCGCACCTATTATGGTAGGCCACGACCTGGCCATCTAGGTGACGCTCTTCTATTTGCCAGATCTGGATGCCGCATCCGATCTCTTGCATCAGAAGAGGTCAGTGCAGTGGATGATAGATAGATAGAGAGATGAGAGAGTACAAATGGGGTTGGAGAGTAGACATCCCGCGTCCATACTACTCCACCCCCACACGGAAATCCGGGGTAAATGCCTCCATTTATTATTAGTCCCAGATATGAAGCACCTGCCTACCTTGCCTTGCCTTAAGTAGATGCTCATGCTGGGTCAATGCTGAAAGAGATAA